TTGTCTACTTCATAATAATAAATTCCTGTTGCGACGATTCTTTCTTCATCGATTCCCTCAACATGCCATGATCCTCCAGGATATTTCGGTTTTTCTGGAGTAAGTTTGATGTAAGACAATTTCACAATAATTTGTAAATCTTCCCCTTTTAGATCAAATATTTTTTCTGGGGCTTTAGGGACTTCAAACTTAGGAACTGGAACTGGTAAAATTGTACGATTATTTATCCATTCCTCGTATTCTTCCTCTTTATCGCTTTCATCATCACCATCGAACTCTTCTTCAGTATACCATGACCAGTCTTGAATGTCAATTCTTATTCCTCGAGGATTTGCAATATCAGTAAGCGATCGATTGAACATCGGAAGAAATCTTATGAAAATCTTGCCAATTAAGTCATAAAGTTTTTTATTTTTAATTGGATGCAAATTATTGATATAAGAATCAAATGAAACTGTGTCATTTTTGATTGAGATATCAGCTGGCATCCACCTGTATTTGCCTTCATCAGGATTCCTGGCCAAATATCTCCGAGTACGAACCTTTTTTGTTGGATTCTCAATGCTCGGTAACACACTTGGATCAATATAATCTTTGTTAATCAAGATACTCATATCTTCAACATAACAGTAAAGTGATGGATGGACTAAGTCAATTACTTGTTGGTCGCTTCCAGGGTGATAATCAATCTCTTCTTCTGGAATATTTTCTAAAGTTTTTGAAACAAGCTTTTTGAATTCACGAGATAGAGTTTCATCAACAAGATTATCTGCTTGCCATGACCCATCAACTGGTCCTGGTTCAATAGAACCATCTTTCAAAGTTGCGTAATATTTTACTTCTTCAAGGACATAATCTATTGCGTCGACTTTTAATTCTTGTGCCTCAGCTTCTTTTCTCCATTTAGAAGTTATTTCCGATTTCAGCATTTTTTTATGCCAATCAGGCTTTGAACGTATTTGCTGGCTCATATTCAGCATCCTCAATTCCAATAAGCACCTGGCTCTATGGTCTTTATATGGATAATATAGGTCGACATATTCCGGCAACATTTTTCTGATTTCTTTATATTATGAAATAGAAAATAAACGAAATTCGTCTGCATGAAGTTTTGAAACAATATAAGAATATAAAGTTTAAATTTAAATGATCAAATATTTATTTTATGGTAAGTCAATAATTCATTAATGTCATGGAGCTGATTTTTTTTTATTTCAAGTTATAATTATAGCGGCTTGAGCTGTTCAAGCCATTTGTTATTATTAAGTAACTATTTGTAGTGTATTGTTTATACCTGAAGGGTCGAAGTATCTTGTTGAGTTTGCAATATCGGTGCTGAAATGATCAAAACCAACTAAAACAACTCGGTTTAAACTTCTACCTACTTATCTATTTAAACAATCTTGTTTTAAAATATAATGCGAGACTTTCAGTTTAGCAGTCAGAATTGCACTAACACTTCTAGGTAGAACAAAGTGGAGTGCAAATACGGGTTTTCTTTTATTCCAGCGGTATGCAACTAAGCTAATTGATTATTTATCATACCACACCACTTCCTCTCAATTCGTGAGTTTGCTGGTTTGCTTCCTTTCGATCATTCCTCCTAAAAACAAAACCTTTAAATGTTAATTTATTAAATAGAGGGCCTGATGAAGAAGCCAACAAGCTTCGAAACGTTGCCAACTTTGCAAAAATAAACAAGTAAAAAATCTTCCGACTGAAAGCCAAGATATTTCCTTTCATTCAAAACCTTTAGTTGGAACAAAAATCATGAAACTGAGAACCATATTATTTTGATTTTGCTGATCTCGAACAAAATGATATTTTGGATCATGGTGCTTAAACCCATAACTTGAGTTATGGTTATTGATCATCTTCATAGCGCTCTGACTACGGTGTGAATTGCCTTTGACGTCTATACTTAGATCATTTGCCACTCATTCAACGAGTCAAAAAGGAAATTTTTTGTCATTTTTGACATAACTAGGGAAGTTTTCTAATCATATATTCTTTAATTCTCAATTTTATTGAGTTTTTAATTGCACAATGCTTTACATTAGTATGTAATAGTAATGTTTTTTTCCTTAAGTGTAAATAAATGTAAGCATAAATTGAAGATAAGTAAATAGATCTTAAATTTATCCTTTTTTTTCTTTGAATTTATGGGAAGCTTTCTATTTTTTTTAAATATTTCCAAGACTTTCTTTTCATATTAGGTATACAAAAATATAAAATAAAGATAATTTTCTGTAATAAAAAGTTTTTATGTTACATTTTATATTAAGAATTAGGTAGTTGTAAGAGAAGTGTATTCAAATAAGGCTTCGTAATGAGGCATTCTAATAAGGCTTTAATGTTTATTGAAAAATGAGGTAATTTTAAATTGTTTATATGCTTCAATGCTCAATGTTCACACAATGAAAACTCTCTTTCNTATATGGATAATATAGGTCGACATATTCCGGCAACATTTTTCTGATTTCTTTATATTATGAAATAGAAAACAAAAAAAGTTCGTCTGAATGAAGTTTTTAAACAATATAAAGTTTAAATTTAAATGATCAAATATTTGCTTAATGTAGAGTAATTCAATGATTCTTTAATGTCATGGAACTGATTTTTTTATATCGAGATTATTAAGATTCGATCTGTTTGTAAACATCTTATCTTTTTAACAGTGTATAACAACTGAACGAGGGGTTTAACTTGAGTAACACCTACCTTCCTAAGTTTATTTCACTTCAAATATTTAGAAATAATAACACTTTGTAATTATCTAAACATCAAAAATCCTTTTCACTATATTTATTATTTTGATGATCAAAAATCTACATGGATAAATAAAATACAATTTGTAAAGAAATATAATTATAATTTTTAACACAGTCGTATGAAATTTAACGTTCAGTTTTTGTTCATATTTTATAGCAAATTTATTGACAACTTTTTATAGCATTTTGCTTTGGCTTAGGGATTCTCTCTATTTAAATTCCAAATCACTCTTTTCCCAAAAAAAGTATTACCTACCTAAATAAATTTTATATGATATTTGTGTTTATATTATAATTTAAATGGTTATCCATGTGTGTCCAAAAAACTCAAGCCGGGTAAATTAACGAAAGATAGAGAAAATGAGAAACCCAACTTGTTACTTTGTGAAGACTGCAAAATAAAATTTCTCGTAGACAATTTAGTATTTATTCGGTTTTGTTCCCGTCAACAACTTGAAACAGTGCGCAGTGTTGTACAAATATTATCAATCAGAAACATCTGTTATCACATCCGAATGGTGTAATTTGAAAAAAGGAAAACAAGAAAAACTATTGAGATTTTTATGAATTGTCATAGTGAATTGTCATAGGTTATTTCGGATAACTGAGAATTGTGTGAAGTGAAAGAACATAAAAAGAAATAAATGGTTAAATATATAAAATAGGAATTGAATTGAGCTAAATTATATTGAAAGAAATAGAAATCAAAGCATATCGCACTCTTTGATGACCCATCTTCCTCAGAATTTCATAAAAACAGTTATACTAAACTTGTGCGGCATACTCAAGTGTTAATTAAGCTTACAGTACAAAACTGTACCATATTACACCTCTGTTCTATTAAGAACATTTTTGTGGATTTTTAGCTAATCACAGACAAATAAATATGTAAGTACCTAAATAAAATATCAATGAATATATTATAACAAACTATGTAGAAGAGCGAATAAATACGACGAGATTCAACTTTATATAAGTTCAATTACAGTTTTCCTAAATATTCTGAATAATTTTAGGAAGTATATTTGTTCTTTATGTTTACGTCCGTATAATAATAATGCTCAATGTCCGTTTCTTTTTATATTCGTCCATTTATTTTCGTAAATACAAGCAAATGAGTATATCATCCGCCTTGGCCAGAACTATCTATATATTCAGAGCTAAAACGAATTAAGAAAAAGCTTTTTGTTTTTCAATATCCGAATTATTTACCTTCCTTTTCCCTTCTCCTATGCTTGCTCCTGAACATAAAAATTCACAAGAAAGCGAAGAAATTTTGAAGGTTTGGCCATAGGGAGAAAAGAACTGAAAAATAAGAGAACTGAAATGAAAAGTTAGGAAATTTATCAAATATAATAAATAGAGGCGAGGAGCTATGAGGTTAAGCTTCAAAGGATTATGTGGTAGTTAAAGATTGGCATGCTAGTAAATTGCCGTTTAAACGTTAATTCTCCTCTCGCTGGATGTTTACTCAACATCATTTAGAGATAATGCGACGTTTTGACTCTCACTCAATTACACTGAATGATTTTTAATCAACCCTCGAAGCATACATATTTGATACATATAGAATTTTTAACTCTTTCGTCACGAATATCAAAACAATAATCTTTGTGGGTAAAAATAAAATAATTTTTGAGTATCCATGTTAAAACGATAGTAAATTCTTGTATTTAATAATATAATTTTTTTACATTTTTCCAAGTTGTCTCAGGTATTCACTCTAATTCCTTCAAAACGGGTATTTTTGTTAACTTTCTGATACGATTGTATTTTTTTTAACATAATCGTCGCTGTCATCTCTATTCTACTTCTTTTAACTGTCGACTTTCATGAATACTTTGGTGAAAGTGTTTAATCGAGCGCTTAAAAGCATCAAAAGTGATTTAGAGCGGCAGCTAGCTTAAGCACACATATTCGCTTCTTTTCATTTTAAGATGTTGCGGTTCTTTACGGTAGAATCCACTGAAGCTAGCGGCAATTAAACAATAAAAGCAAAATTCTCCAAAAAGTACATTGATTGCTTCAAATTATTTTTAGCAAAATTACCAACTCTGTTTTTTTCATTCTACATCAGCAAATTTTGATTTTGAATGCAATTAAAAGAATCCAATGAGTCGTCAAATGACGATAGATTTTGTTGATTGAGCACTTTAATATTTCAATATGTAATATGTTTAGATATTTGTACCATTTTTAGAAAAAATTCTATTTTTCCACACTTTTTATATGATAAACATAAAATATATTTTAAAAGATCTATTTGTTGTATGTATGTATAATGTGTTAAAGTGATGACTAAAAAGCTATTTTGTTTTCAATGGAAAATTACCTATTTGATAGCAAATGAAAAGTGCATAAATATTTTTTTAATATAAAAAAGCTTTAAGGTAAACAAACATTCTGCTTGTGATCTTTCAAACATACAACCAACCGGGTTTGACTTTCATGAATAATAATGATTTGGTCTCCCTTTTCTCTTACAAAATAAACCTTAACAATTTCCCTTCAAATCTATAGGAATTTTCTGTGGATGATGATGATTATGTTGTTTATTTGATGGAAGGTTTTTGTTTGCTTTCACATTATCAATTATGTTTGTTTTAATTTAGTAGTATGTGATTATTTAGTCAATGAAGTTCTTACTAAAATTGAGTTTTAAACAAATAAAAAAAAGCTTTAAAATTTTTTTGCTTGATGCAGAAGAAAAAAATTATTTATGTTCTACGTTTCATAATCAGTCTATTGTAACAAGCTATTGATTCAGCTGTTTGCTTATTACTTCTCACGAATATGGCAAAATATTAACATATTTAGTAATAACTACTTCAACCACTCAATGCGTTAGTCGTTCACTTTCTTTTATCAGTTTCATTCTTTCTTAGTGTCACGCACGATTGCTATAAGTTTGGCTATTAAATTAAATGAATTAAATTTAATAGCTTCTGTATAGAGAATTTTAATATATGAAACAAAGTTTGTTATCGCTCGCATAAAATTAATAACACGCATCCACACATCAAAATGTTTAGTTATAGTTACATTAAAGTCTTATTTACTCATCGCGCATGGTTTAAAGTAAATCGCTATCTCAATGTGGTCGCCATTCATTTAAATTTGAAAACGAAAAACATTTTCGTAATGTGGTTGATAGAAAATAAAAATAGAACACAAATAATGAAAGAAAAAAGAAAGGAAAAGAAACGTCATCAAGCAAATGAAAATTCATTTTAAATATCGCATGATTTATGAACTTTTAAGCTTTAAATATTTTGATTAAACACAATAAGCATTTTTTGTTTTCGTCTGCTAACTTCGTAAATTGACTGTCAGCAATGAAAAAAAAATTACTGTGAAATGGTAGCAGATGTTTTCATCATCGACAGCCAAGTAAATAGTTCAGAGAACCATATGGAAGAAGAATAAAAGCAAACTCTAAATAATACTTCAAAATTAATGCTGGAGAACGTTCAATTGAAATTATTTTGTAATACTCCTTTGCCATCAATGTTACTTAGACGCGTCTCATGTTTCTTCTCAGATTTTCTTATCAATTTTATATTCTTTTCACGTTCATTTGATGATGATTGTAACTTGACAGATCATTTTCATTGTATTTTTCCCTCTTCGAAAACATATATCGATTGAGTAAATGAAACGTGAAAAAGTTGGAGCACAAACAAGCCTACCAACCTCACACTCTTCACACATCATCGGATATAATTTACGAGGCTTAACTTTGAGTTATGCTGTGGTTTTGTTGAGAAAACATCTTAAGTGTTCTTTATGAAGTTTGAAGCTTTGAATGCCGAAAACGTAACTAACACTCTTCTAGCACTGATAAATAGAACAGATAATGAATAATGATGTGTTGATCCCTAAAAAGCTTTTGAATTTTTCATTCCTTGCAACTCCTTTTTTTTCCATTTTCACAATGTTGATTGAAACCTCACTCGTTTTTAAAATTCATCTTGAAAATGAGAATATTGGAAAGCAAGAAGAAAATATATAAATTTTCATAATTTCATTTTCAATCTCGATGAAAATCTCTTCGTCTCGTCTCGATCATGTTTTGTGTCGAAGTTCATTCATGCGATGAATTTTCATTTTTGTGCTGATGATGGAATAAAAAAGAAAGAGAAGTCTGAAAATGTTTACAGCTTTCTTTTGCGATAAATCATGCCTATTTCCGTTGCGTGGGACAACTGAAGTTCGGTAGATTTTCTCATGCTGATAGCACACTTGGTCGTGTGTAGTCATGTCAATATTTGAACGATTTATCGTTTGACTTAATGGCTATGCTTTGCATGTTGTTTGAACTTTATGTTCAGGAAACGAAAGCATTTAATTACATTTTTCCCTCCCTTTTCGCTTCCTTTTTTATTTCTTCAAGAACAATTTATTCGTAAATTTTGTGTTACATCCGAGCACACTTATCAAATATTTTAATTATATTAATCTCTTGTTCTCTTTCTCAATTGATAGAAATAAAATTCGAAACATAACTTTGTTGTGAAACATTAACAAGTCTTTGAACAGATTTTTTCATTTCATTATTTGTACATCGACAGAAAAGTTCATAAAAGTCTCGTTTAAAAAGGCATCGTATCAGATTATTTTTTTGGGCCAACATCGACTCTGAGGGAATTGCTGCCAAACGATGAAGTCTTTTTACCCCAATTTTCATTAAATTACTAAACATTTTTTTGTTGTGTTTTTCGCTATCTCCTTTCGAAACGTGACACCTTAATGGCGTGCGAGTTTTCAGAGAGAAAAAAATCCTCTTGAGAGTAAACAAGTTTAATGTATTCGGAATTCATGTGTGTCGAGCTTTTATATTCGCCAAAACATTCACCAACACGACAGAAAAGTGTTTCCTCCATTACATTTCGTGTTTAATGCATACAAATTCAGTTTTTCACAAAACTTTTCTTGTATAATTTTTTTCATTTTATTTTGTGAAAAATTGAGGGTTCGTAAAATTGAAGTTTTGTTTCTTTCTTTCCTTTTCCCTTCAAACTCTGACTTTGCTGCTTTGTGCTTTCCCTTATTCCTTCATGTTTTCATTTCTCCAATGGATAAAATAATGTAAGAGAGGAGAAGATAAATGGATTGGCCTTTAAAAATGACGTCAACAAACCTAGTATTTATTTAGCTAAAACTGCCATATGCGTGTTTTTTATGTAAGATATTTATGTTCTTAAATTCTTGGATTTGTTCCCCATAGGAACAGATGCAAATAATATATTATGTTAGACAAAATTTTTGTATTCGGAAAATTATTTATTCTGCCTAAAGCATTTGACGTCATTGAATAATAATTTCTTCTTTATTTATAATATGATGGATGAGATGATATCATTTTCATGTAAATAATCGTGTTTTGATTTCTTCACAATTTTCGTTTTTTTTTAAATTTAAGATGAAAAGAAAAATTAAATGAAAATTAGGTATTTCAATATATCTTGGAACAAACGTTTTAATGAATTCTTTAGAATTATTAATGACTGAATCTGTAGTATTTATTTCACCCTCTTTTTCAAAAAAATTTCTACCGATTCAGCCTCCCCAGTTTTTCTAAAGACGTGGCTGAATATATTTTTTATGAATTCAACGCAGACACTTTAATATTTATTTATTTATTCTCATACTCGCGTTAAGACTCAAAACATGCTTTCGGAAAAATCTTTTTCTTTTTTTTTTCGACAACATAAATTTTCGGTTCTTTCTAAGCGCTTCATCGTAAACCGTTGTTGCAATTTATTATGCTCGCATTATTCCATTTACAATTCTGATTCCATTGTGTATCTGGCTTACATCATTGTATTTAAGCTTCGGTGTAGAGCACTAAATGAAATTTCTCATTGTCGACCTCAAAGCTTTTTTAACGTACTTATTACTATAGCAGAGAAAAAACGCAGCGGGTAAACACGTGTTCAATGTAGTTCCCATAATGCTATCGATTTTCTTTTGTCTTTTCGCAACACGTCACTTGACAATAGACCATCAAAAAGATAAAAGTACTCGACAAAAAGTTACCTATTTGATTTTCAATCTATCCAAACTTGCAACCACAGAAAACAAAAAACTTCGATCATTGTCCAAATTGATTTATAGTTTTTCGGTTTTCCTTCCTTCCAGTTCATATAAATTGCAAATTGGAAAATCACAAAAAAAAAGCTCAAATGACAGGCTGCTTAAAATAATAAAAACGAAACAAAAAGAAGAGAAAACAATTCACCAATCAGTCATTCATTATTGTGATTTGTGTTTAACACAAAACGATTGCGTTAATGACAAGACATGTTGAAACGAAGTTTCCATGAATGTTTGTAATTTTTTTTCACTTGATGGTTTATTTCGCTTGTTCTATTTGCTTTTTATGGACATAAACAACAGTTTAACAAATTGGATTCATTAATAATGTTCTGAATATACACAGCAACGAAAGAAAATTCAGAGTGGCTTCATTTGAGGGTGGAAAAAGGACGAATAAAATCTACATGATATTCCTTTTAATTAAATGAACATTTTCATCATTCTGTCGTTTGTGAAGCTTCTCTTTCATTCATTCATTTCTAAATAGGAAGTAATGGTTGAGAATCTCTCATCTGTGAACTTCATGAATTACTTGAAATCCGCTCGCGTTTGTGTGTTGAGTCGTTGAAGCTTAACAGAAAGCGAAATTCCAAAATGTCCTTATATTAAATATTTCCATTCTGATATTTTTTTCTAGTTAAGGTTTTTCTAAACTGATAGAAAATTCGCTACTTAGTGTATTCACGTATTGTGTGGCACTTGAATTTTTGTGCTTATCATCAAATCTCAACTTGAAAACAGTCATGACTGAAACTTATTTGACTTTGTCGTGTTGTGGTAAACATTTATCGTTATTTTTGAGCTCGACATTGATTTTTTGCTGTGCACGGTAACTAAATATAAATATGAAAAACAGCTAATCACGAACATTACTTTCCACATTTTATTTCACGATTTTTGGCTAGTTCAATGACGCTTTCCAACGCTGTATTGTCACCAACTTCAAATGAGCTTTCAATTGGCTTCATTATCCCGGCATGACATTATACTCAAGCACGCCTCTTACAGTCGCTCGAATAAGAAGGATATATGATTAAAGTTAAATATAATTTCTAGAGCATTGCTCCTTTAAAAAGAAGAAACATCAGCAATCAGTGAGAAACAATGTGAAGAACTTCTCTGAGTGGAAGTTTTCCGTTGACTGAATATATTCTTGTAGTTTAATTGCTTATAATTTGCGCGAAAGAAGATTAAATGAACGATTCTGCCATTCATAACAAAAAGTTTTGTTGAACTGAAGAACTTTTCCACTACGTCCCTTCGACTCATTTTGTGTCACGTTTTCGAATTAAGAAATAATTATAAACGTTTTCATCATCCCACGTACACATTTAAAGTTTAACGTTCCACATTTACGTGAATAAATAATAATAATAAAAATTGGGTTGGATTAGAAATTGGAAATTAATTGCTAGTAGGGTTAAAACAAAGTCAAAAACGGAAATTAATGTTCAACTTCCGTGTCAAATATTTTCTTTTACCTCATGATCAATCTATTAAGCCACTTTTCGTCTGTTCCTTTTTCAGATATTTCGTTCAACCCCTTTTGTCTTCAGCTTTCCTTCTCTTCTTCTTTACTTCTTTGTGACACTCTCAAAGCTCAAGGGTGAAAATGCAAAACAATTTTGTATCATATTATGACAAGTGATTGACGACCCGAAAAATTGAAATGGATGTAATTGAGTCAAAAATGAAATCATCAAAATAAATCTCGCAATCAGTTAAAATGTGAGTAGCAGTCATTCAACTGTTGCTTTTACTGGTTGTTAGTGATTCCGACCCAAATATCAAAAATTGAATCTTATCATGAATGATATGACAAATTATTTATCTTTCCTTTGTTTTTCTTTCCTTTTTTTTGCTCTTCTCCTTTAGAACTATGAGGTGACCCTAAAGGAATAGCAATCAAATTCCTCCCTCTAAGGACATCAAATAGAGTAAATCAACAGTATCATCACACGAAACGACCCAACAATTCTTTTTTTCTCTTCCATTGCATTATTTTTTCATCTCCTCCTGCCAAAGTTCATTTCATAAGAAGGCGAATCTTTCTTTTTCTCTCATTCTACATTTTATTACAAACACTCTTACACACTCAAGAGACGTTTTCTTTTTATCATTTTGGGAATTCTTCTCATTTTCTTCTATTGTTAATTTAATCTTGGACATCAGTGATAAAAACGACGGAAAGGAAAACGGATAAGACAAGCAGAACGAAAATAAAACAAATTGAATCAAAGAGAGAGGCAGCAGAAAAGCATCCTAGACAACGACGACGACAGCGTTGACATTAAAAGTTCCTTAAATGTTTTTCTCGAAGGACGATAATATTAAATTAATTAGCAACAATCATCAATTAAAACACGCCATGAGACTGCCGAGAAATCGACGTACTGTGATTGTTGGGGGGCTCTTCGCATTTACACTTTTAATAGTGCTTTTCAAGACCGACAAACTTCGACCCTCATGTTCCTATCGTGATGGTGATGAAAGCACAATGGTACGGGAAGAAAAATTCGTTCAAGACAAAGATCATAACAATTACGTTTACCATCGAAATATGCCTTTGGTGTTTATTGGCGGTGTGCCACGATCCGGTACAACATTAATGCGTGCCATGCTTGACGCACATCCTGAAGTACGTTGCGGACAAGAGACACGAGTCATACCGAGAATTCTTCAACTTCGTTCACATTGGATGAAGTCTGAGAAGGAGAGTATGCGTCTTGAAGAAGCCGGCATCCACAAAGAAGTGCTTAATAGTGCCATTGCACAATTTTGCTTAGAAATTATTGCAAAACATGGTGATCCAGCCCCAAGATTATGTAATAAAGATCCACTTACTCTTAAAATGGGATCTTATGTTATTGAACTTTTTCCGAATGTAAGTAGAATCAGAAGAATATTAAAAATACTAAATATAGTCAAATCTTCATAACGATTTTCTTGCACATGACTCAAACTTTCAATTGTACGTTTGTTGATTTAAAATAATTTATTCGGGTTTGGTTTACTTCAAACTACTTATTAACTTTTTAAATTTTAATTAGGCAAAATTCCTTTTTATGGTGCGCGATGGACGTGCAACAGTTCATTCAATAATCTCGAGAAAAGTCACAATTACTGGCTTCGATCTCACAAATTACCGCCAATGCATGCAAAAGTGGAATCAGGCTATAACAACAATGCACGATCAGTGTCAGGAAATAGGAAAAGAACGTTGTCTGATGGTTCACTATGAGCAGTTGGTGCTACAACCGAAGAAGTCAATGGAAAAAATTCTTGAATTTCTTGACATTCCTTGGAATGATTCAGTTCTTCACCACGAAGATTTTATCAATAAAGAAAATGGAGTAGCTTTATCCAAGTAAGTTTCATACTTCTGAATTTCTTCAAACTTTATTTAATAAAAGTTATTAAATTTGCAGAGTTGAACGATCGTCAGATCAAGTGATAAAACCAGTGAATTTAGAGGCACTTACAAAATGGGTAGGCAACATCCCAGACGACGTTGTGCACGATATGGCAAACATCGCTCCAATGTTATCGATTTTAGGCACGTCAAACCCTCTTCTTACTTACAAAGTGTTCACATTTTATATCCGTCTTTCTTTTTTCTGTCACAGGCTACGATCCTTATGCAAATCCACCCAACTATGGAAAAGCCGATGAAGTTGTAAAGGAGAATACCAACAAGGTAAGAAGAGGTCTCTGAATTAAATAAATTTTTATTATATATATATACATAAGAAAAAAGGTTTGTCTAGGGAAAGATTCCGTTTTTCTCCTCAGCAAGCTTTCCCTTTTTCCAGCTTTTAACCTTCTGTTTATTCACGTTAAATTGATGAACCAAGGCGGACTAAAAACATTTTGACTTGACAAAAATTCTCTGCGAAAAAATAAATTTTTTAAACATTCTTCTCTTGTCACAGGTGAAAAAGAATCAAGAGCTTTGGGATCACAAAGTGAAACAACTACTGAAGCGTAATGAGGAGGGCGACGAAAATGATGATAATCAAGATGACAATCCAAATGACGGTGAACGAACGTGATGAAGCAGATGAGTAGACATTAAAACATCTTCACTTGTCTCCTTTTATTGAACAGCAAGAGTGATGAGTTCGAAAGCTAAAATAATTCCTTTCATTTTCATTTTCAACCTGAATGATGATGAAATTCGAAGAAGAAAATGAAATAAAAAAAGTCACAATTCTCTTCTTCTTGTCTCCATTCTTTATTAAGGAAGAAAAAATTTTCGTTAATCCAATTTTGTGCAATGACTGAGTTATATTTTTTTTCTATAAAAATAGTCTTAAAATGAAGCAAGATAATGAAGTAGAATGAAAGTTAAAAGTTGCAGAACGTGTCGGATTGAATGGATGAAATTTAGCAAAACATATACGGCACTTATCCAAACATGTTATTCTTTATTTGTTTAAGTCTAAGTACATAGTGTTTAGTTTTGAGAAGTCACGATTCAGGAGACTTAAGTCAACAAAAAAAAAACATAAAAACTTGAAAACTTTTTATTTCCTTCTCAAGAGGGGAAGATTGTTTACGAAACGGTTACTTCAACCTTAAATGTTCTGCCTTCTTCACTGGCCATTCCCAAAGGTGGACAATAACTGACAAGTGCACTAAGTTGAAATAATTTTAAATTCATTTTACAATATAAATAATTCTTCTTCTGTCAGAGTTGATAAGTAAAAATTCTTCAGAGAAAATAAAAAAAACCCATAATAAGTAATGTAGACCACATTTTACAGCACTGAAAAAAAAAATTTCTCTGAAGAATGCTGATGAAAAACTGCGACCTTTTATCATTCTACTTTATTACTTATACCTGAGGGAAAAAGGGAATTTTGTGTTCTCCTTTTGAGTTGAAGATTCAATTAGATTTTCTCCACACCATTTTCCTTAGTATACTTTTTTCATCATAGCTTATTTATTTAATAATAATTGAAGAAGTCAATCTTAGTTATAAAATGAGAATAAAGTTATTAAAGTGCAAAATGACATAACTAATTGATGTTGAATGTTTAAGTGGTGCGGAATAATTAAAAAAATAAAATTAATTCTTATAAGAAGTGAAATGAATGGATTGTTTGAAAATTATGTCAAAAAAAGGAAAAATCATTTTTCATGTTACATCCTTGTTCATTTTATTCGCAATTTTTCAGCATAAATTTGATAATATATTTATAGATGATTTCAACCGTGACTTAACTTCCGTAAAACATTTAATTGTAATGTTTTAGGAGAATGAAAATTAAATTTTCACAAACTCCATCCACCTACGTCATATTAGATTTTTAAAGATGTTTGCATAAAAGTTGAACATATTTTATTTAATTAAAAGAAAGTATGTTTCCATCTGAGCTTTTGGCGTAACTTTGACATTTAAATTGTGCGACATTTTGTTTCCATTTAATTGCATTCAATTATTCATCATATTTAAGACATGAAGATAAAAAGAACATAAAGAAAACAACAAGACGCTAAATCATTAATTAAAAAAAGTTATAGTAAAGAAACAATAAGAGAATACACAAAACGAATAGATAAGTAAGCAAGTAAAGAAGACACACACACACACACACACACACACATAGCTTGTTTGTACTTACAAATTATGGAAGAATAAATTTATCTAATTATAAAACAATTTTTTATATTTTTAATCAAATAAATAGAAGAAAAAAAAATATAAAATTCTATAAAAGATGATGTACTCAAATTAGATTTTTTGTACTGTGGATGATGAATATTTGTGAAATATTTAATATCTATATAAAAGAATTTCATTGAAATGGATAATAAAGAACACAAGAAACGTGATTGTTGATAACTTGATGAATGAATGTTTTGAATCGATATTTTTTGTATTCATTTCACGTTTTCAGTATGTTGAAAGAAATCTGCTTACAATCCTGCCAAGGTAACGGAATCTATCATAACCTGAGACTCTCCCAATCATTTGTAATCCGATTTTCTTTCTTTTTTCACAAAAAGAAAAAGAATTAGATCGCTTATAGAAAAAAGCCTTAGATATCAGCCTATGTTAAGTAATGCTCGAGAAATATCTTTTTAGCACCCTCAAACTTCAATAAGAAATGAAGATGATGAAAGCTCTTGTTCTGTACCTTCCCACGTAAAATTTTTTCTAGAAACAACCGAATAAATATGCCAATTCAAGATTAAGTGCCTGAAATTCTTAACGTTGAATTCTAAAATTCACTGATATCAAGAGTCTTGATCCCATTTGAAATCACGAAAAATTTGTTTCTAAGCAACGTCAATCACGAACTCAAGATATCTTCTTCAAAATGAAAAGGAAAAAACCATTTTGAAAGGAATTTTTGTTGTTTGTTGTGTCAACATATCATCGTCATTCGAAGAAAGCGGAAAAGTAATATTGAAGCAGAATACGTTAGGGTAAAAAGTTGCCTTATTTTTTTCTTTTTCGTTTTTCTAATATGAATCAACCGCATGAAAACGCTGAAATTTTCATAACGAAATTATATTTCACAGAGACATTCCATATTTGAGCTATGTATACCCTTCAAATATAAAGAATATATATTGGCTAAAAAACGAAACCTAAAACAAACATTCATGATGGTGGAAAATGATGTGTCAACTGTCGAATAGACGATACTGATAAGAAAATCCAGTAGGAGTGTCACGACTCTTCTTGATAGCCGTCGATGATGAAAAAGAATGACGAGGAAGTTTCGATCTGTTTTTCATATGATTTCTTTTTTATTTTTTCTACTTTTTCCCTATAATATTGAAATACTCCAAAACGTTCATCTAGCGATAATGAAAACATCTGTTTTCGTTTCAAAACTTTTATCCTCTCTTTCAATTTTTATTATGAAAATATACGCATCGGATCGTCTTGATGCATTTAGTTGACAGAAAACTTTTCTTATGCTAACTTCTAGTTATTATTCGTTTTGAATGGGTGCATTTCAATCTTTTATTTAAAGTAAGCGATTCTTTGAATGTTTCAACTCCAAAGTAGTGAGACTGCATAAAAGTTTCATAAATATATGTGATGTAAATAACCACGTTATTTTATGCAAGTTTAATTGCATTCGTTGTTAAATTTTGAATGTAAATTCAAACTTAAACATTTTAAATAACTTGTTAATACAAAATTAACAACCACTCCAATGATTGAAGTTGATAAATTTGTCAATAGTTTTCTTATATTCCTGGAAAAAATGTATCTAAGTAATAAAAAAAATAAATATCTTGCTTCTTAAAAAATATTTCATTTATCATTACTGCTAAAAGTATTTAAAGAGATATTTTTCTTTAAGTTACATTCACGAAAAGAGAAAAGGAATTTTATAGCATTTATATTCATTACATTCAAAACAACTACTCAATCGTGACTCCTTACTAAACAATGACGTTTTCACAAAAATCCACAAGTGAACCGTCATTTATCCTTATCTCTGGAGAATGTAGTACATCTTGTTTTACGGTGAGAAATGGAAATGATGTTCATTAATTCTACTTAGGTATTTATACTGATGTCATTTTACCACCTTTTTTTAAAGAGCTGAAATATTTGAACTTCACGCTATCATTACTTATAAAACATACGCTTGACTTCTACGGTAGAAACTTGAGACAATGAAGTTACTTATGTGAGTTGCATAAGATGATATGTAAAACGCACGTGAATAATTCGAAAATGTGATAACTTATGTAATTATTATTATTAATTTCCTTGATAACAACGTAAAATTTTGCTGCGATAGATAGGTACATATTAATATTCCAATTCATCATTGTCAATTAGTTGATCACACATCCAGTAACACGTTTTTGAATCAAACCAGCTCTCTAAAGACACTGACTAATGTATAAATTACTAGTAATTTGCTTCCAGTTGAACTGGATTGTCTAATTGTTCCCCATAAATTATCAGAAACATTGATAATGTCTACAGAAACCTTTCACAAAGTTTCCTTCCAATTTTCAACAAGTACAACAAAGTGCAAATAATTTCTAATAAATGTGTAAGTGTTTTTTGAAAAGCTTCTTACTTGACATCATACTAACTAATGATGAATAAATGTTAACATCCTATTTTCATATTCCTGAACTTTATCCTTAGAAATAATTTCTCATCCTGAGTCGCCACGATTATAATACACTCTCTAAGTTGCAAAACCAACTCACATAGTGTTTGAAATGTTGTAAATATTTGTCTTCCGTATGTGAAAAAGAAAATCAATACAAAAAAGAAAAGAAAATGTTTATTGTGCAAGAATTTTCTGTAATTCCATCATGAGATGTTTTTTCTGTGAACCTAACAGATGTTTACATGTATTTAGATTAAATAAACGTGTTAATTAACACGATTATTTATACCTTATTAAAACTTGTATTGAAAATCATACCATCAAATAATATTAATTGCAATGCTTAAAATACTAATGCTTTCACCACTTATTAACGAACTATTTCAAACAATTTAGAAATTTCGGTAGCTCAAGATTATGTAAAATTGAGACGTGATTTCCATCTATAACTAAGGTTTGAATATCATTTAAAGTATAAAGATTCAAATCGTAGTTGATGCTGATGTCGTTGAACAGCTTCTCACTTGGGACAACAAGAGACATTCTCGACGATTCTAAAGTTGGAAAAGAATTTTCGTTTAATGCTTGAACCATTTTGAAGCGTTTGAAGAGCGCAATAATCCATTCCTTTGAATATTTTTTTTTTCTTTTGAAGTTGTGCATAGTTTCATATAGATTGATGAAAGATTCTAATTTCGTATTCAAGTCAGGTTTTGAGAATACTTCACTGGCAATATCTTCATGATTATCGGGAAACTCCATGTGAATAAGACTCGTAAGAATCTCTCTCTGAATGCTCGCATCATTTGTGTCGCTATGTCCTAAGAATTTTGTGAATCGTTTGAAAAATGTCGGAGATCCATCAACCATAACTATGCTGCCAGATTTGCTATTCATCTCTAATATTTTGGCAATTTCCAAAGATAAAAGTGTACCAAACGAATATCCGATTAAAAGAAATTCATTGCTATCAGCATAGAACTTCAAAACATCCTTTAAAAGAAACATAAATGTATACAGTCAGTAAAAGCTTTTTAAAAATCATCATTTTAACATAATTTCTTCTAATATTTTATGCAAAAGGAATTTTCTTTAGGGTATTTTTCTAAAGTGTTCTGAGTCAAGAAATTTAGGTGAAAAAAAATTTTATTTAAGAAAAAGAAAAGGAGAGGAAGATGCTTTGTTTAATCAATAAACAAGCTTGCTATAAGACGCTCCTACTGAAAGCTTTTAATATAAATTCTTGAGAGATCTTTTTGGTCTTCTGGATTGAGGTTTCCGAAATTCTGAGGTTTGATTTTTTTATAAGAATCTGAGTTTGAAAAACAAACTTTGTACAAATTGAAAAACCTTCATTAATGTATTGAAAACTTTATCTGTTTCTAGAACTTTGAAATTGATATTCTCACCTCTGTAATATGATTACAAATACCCTTAATGCTTGAAGAATCAAAACTTTTATGAAGTTGGAGGATGTACGTATCAAAGTTTAATTTTTCTGCCAATTTCTCCCAAACATCTGCACTCATACCTTCAATACCCGGAACAATTAAAGCTTTCACTTTGCTTCCATTTGAAATGCTTTTCAATTGAAGAATCGTATCGTCACTTTTTCTTTCTTTACCTATGTTACTGAGAAGCATTTGTAATCCGCTTTGTGGCGATGCTTTCAGCGAATCAATCATGGAATTAGAATCATTTACATTTCTTCTATTTGGTTTTGTTCTCTGTTCTAATTCATGAAGTGACATCATTTGAAGTTCTTTTAGTGAAAGGAAAATATTAAATTCACGTTCCAGTAACTGTGAGATTTCTACACTCATCAGAGAATCGAGTCCAATTTTAGATAAGGATGCATCCATTGAGACAGACTTCTTATCACGAATGCCAAGGATATTCAATAACATTTCAATGATGTTGCCTTTTCCAATTTCAGAAAACTTCTTTTCAGCAACCACCATACTTTCAACGATCGGTTCGTCAGATTCCAACAGAACATCTAAAACTTCAAGACAAGAAGTAATTTTTTGAGGTAAAGTTCCACTAATTTGCATATCTAAATTTTTATCGATTAAGTCAGCTAGCAATCCGACGTCTCCAACAGCGCCCCATTGAATTGCCTTAGCAGGAAGTTTGAGCCTATGTCGTTTTTCAATTATTCGCTCCATGATTGCATTAGCCATTCCATAATTGCTTTGACCAGCATTTCCACGACCACATGAAACACTTGAGAAAACAACAAAATGCTGCAAGTCAGGGCAAAGTTCACGTGAAACTTCATCCAAGTGACGTGTCGCAATTGCCTTGGGATCAAACGACTCTTTGAATAATTTAGCATTTTGATTCTCAAACATAGCATCTCTAAGTACAACAGCGAGATTAAAAATTCCGCCAACAGACCCAAAATCTGATGCGAGTCTGATGAGATCTTCACATCCATTTTTTGTTGTAACATCTGCCGTACTCACACACACTTGAACTCCGTAACCCTGCCAGGTTCTAAATATAGTAAATTAAAATTTTATACACATTTTTATTTTATCGTATTTTAAAATCAATTCACCTTATTCTTGATGCTTGATATCCATTCGTGATACCTTTGGTTGATGTCAGGATAAGTTTTTTACAATTTCTCAGAACAAGCCAATCGGCAAATTCTAATCCAAATCCACCTAAACCACCGACGATGATGTAAGATAAATTTTTCTGGCAATAAACTCTTGGCACAGCAGGAATAGGAAGGGATAACTGACTTTCATCATTTTCACGAATCTTTATGACAACTTTTCCAATATGTTTTCCAGTTGCAAGATAGCGAAAAGCATTTTGGATATCGCTAGCTTCAAACACTGTTTGTTTCAAAGGCTTCACGATACCTTTTTCCATAGAATCTTTAAAAAATTTGTAGACAGTCTAAATTGGAAAATGTCTTATTAGTTGAGAAAATCTGTTCTTCAAGAATTCAAGTAACTCACTTTCATATTTGCATCGACTTCTTTACCATGTGCTTTAATGAAAACTGGTTTGATCTTTATATTTTTTGCTAAAAAGCCCAAATCAATCTTAGTTTTATTCATGATATCAAATTTTCCTATCTCCAAAAACGTTCCATTCTCAGCAAGACACCGTAGTGATGCCAATAGTTTATCGTCGGAGAGAGAATTTAAAACATAATTGACACCACAGCCTTTGGTGTTCTTTGCGATCATATGTTCGAAAGAAGTGTCTCGAGAATTTCCGATATTTTCTAATTTCAAACTTGGAAATTCATTCAGTAAAAAGTCTCGTTTCTCTTTACTGCTGACTGTTGTGTAAACTTCGAGACCATAGTGCAAAGCAACATGAATAGCAGCAATTCCCACACCACCACTTCCAGCATGGATTAGAATTGATTCGCCTTGTTTGATGGCTGCACTTGAAAAGAATGCTAAGAACACAGTCGAATATACCAAAGGTGTTGTGACAGCTTCTTCAAATGACCAACTATCAGGAATTTCCCAAAGCAAACAATTAGGATCACTAAAATAAGTGGCAATTCCACCTAAATTACAAAATCCTACAACTCTTCGTCCATCGTTTGTTACACCAGCAAATTCATGTCCAATAATATTTTGCCATTCAATTCGATCCACGAAATCAAAATGAATTTTACCCGAAGCAATCATAACATCTCGGAAATTTAAAGCTGAACATTTGATTCTAACACTTTGTTGACTTTGTTTAATTTTAGACAATGTATGCTTTCCTTTGACCCAACTTAATGTTGATAAATCGCCTTTCATGGTGCAAATTACTTGGAAATGTCCTTCACGTGGTATTATTTCGTTTGTTATTTGCAATTGTAGGTGCCGATAACTTCCCCATTGACTATCTTTATAAACATTTATCGACAATCCCAGTTTGATTTGTTGCTCATAAAACGGATGGTTCATGTCGAATGGTGGTGCCGTTGAGTCTTCAATTGCAAAGCACCTTAAAGAAGAGGGATTAGAGAGTTCCTTTCGAATGCAATTTGTTAATCCTATGATTCCTGAATGCTTTTCATGTTCAGAATAAACGATAACGGAAGAATAATTTTTCAATGCATACTTAAGTGGCTCCAGCCAGTCGTCATTGTCCGAAGTGATTTTTATTGCTTTATCTGGTTGATTATATTCATCTTTTGCAAACTTTGCTAATACAATCAATTCATGTTCTGTGAAAAGCGTTGCAATAACATCGATATGATTCGATGATGTCTTAAATGGAAGTTTTTTGTTGCGAGATTCTCGTGATATAATGAAACCATCAAAGCCAATAGCTGCTTTTGCTGACTTCAAGAACTCGTTATCATCTAAACATTCTGATTTTACAATCAAATGTACATTCTCAAACTCCCACAGATCATTATGAACAACATTTACGTTATCGATTGAAAGCTTTCTCGATGTTAGGTAATTTGTTGTTGAAGTAACCATTGGAACGTTGCTAATTGCCTCGTGAATGCATTCACTTAAAGGATCTTTGTCGTCTTTTGCGTCAATTTCTACTGAAACTATTTTTGTCACTGCAGCATTCTCGAGTAAAATTTGGGTGCAAAATTTTACAGCGTCCATATCTGATATCAAAAATGAGTTTGAAGAGATGTGCGGGATGAATTTGTAAGATTCTAAAATTGGATCAGCCTGCGGCCGTCTTCGATTGACAGTACTTCCTTCAAAATCATGAATTTCAACTCCACCTGAAAATTTCATATTAAAAATCACTCAAAAAAGATTTAATAAGAAAGTCAAACGCACCTGCTTGAATAATATTTGAGTAGGGGCATGTCATAACATCGATCAATTTGTCTGATGATTTTGAAATAATTTCGTGATGGATGAATGGATTGATTATCAATTTTCGGAATTTTGTTGGCAACACTAACATTCGAGACTCATTTTTCAACACTTTGAACTGAAGTAGACAATCGATGAACGTCATCCAATCATTGTTCCATTGAATCTTCCCACGTAATCCATCATTTCTCGACTCTCTTATCGCTCTAAATAGGCCATGATGATTGTAACCTCGCAACCGCATTTCTTTATAAAAATCATTTTCAAGAAGGGTGAAATTGTCATCGTAATCGGGAGGCGTAAAACGAGACATTTCGGGGTCTTCATTTGCTTTAACAACACCAATAGCGACAGCTGATTGTCCTTCAGTAACCTCAAACATCCCAGAAGCTTTATTTTTTTTTTTAGTTGTTGAGTTGACAAAAGTTACATTTTATTTTCATAAAAAATATATTAAATACCTTTATGAATGCTTATAGTTAAGATGATGTCTTGATTCTTTGTAAGATTTGTTGCACGAAGAAATTTAACTTCTTCAAATATCACAGAAAAATTTTCTTGTTTACATCCGTTCATCATGCTGAAAGTCTCCCAAACTAGGAAAATCAAGCCAGTTCCGGGAAAAAGAAATTTTCCTGCAAGTTTGAACTCGGTTAAGTAAATGAAGTGAAGAAATTATTTCCAAATCATTTACCATCAATGACATGCCCTTGAATATGTTCATAGTCCTTGTCACTAATGTTAATCAACACACTTCGCTTATCAAACCAATCAAATGTCTTCATTATTGCTACCATAAAATCTTCACTGTGGTTCCATTTGATAACAGGTGCAATCATTGGTGTCCCACGGGAAACAGGAAACTCAACTGGAGGATATAGCTTGCTTGCATCGAAATCCATACCATTTTGAAAGATTCTTATAAGTTGAACAGAAATTAAATTAACTTCTTAATGAAATTAAAGCAAGAGATTATCGGATACTCACTGTCCTAAAATGTTCATCAAATAGTCGCATCCATTTGTTTCATTACGCTGTGTAAGATTAAAATGGGTCCCATTTTTAAACGACCTCTTCAATAAAGGCTTTAAAAGGCCATGTGGTGCAATTTCAATTGAAATAATATCCTCAGGTAGTTGTTCAAGGACTTCTTGAAAGTAGACAGGATGAAGAAGATTATTTGTGTGATATTTGACACCTGAATACTGAGCTTCTTCCTTTCCCCATTCATCCATTGGATAAGTTGAGCTCAACCATTTCGTCGATCTTCTTTTTTGGTGTCTGATGATTTTGGTGAGTTGTTTATAAAAATTAGCTCCCATTTCCTTAATATATCTGCTATGAAGGGGCACACCTGAACATTCAATCTCTTTCGCAAAGATATTTTTTGAAGAAAGTTCTTCAACGAAGCATTCAATACTTTTCTTTGGTCCCGAGATTGTCGTTGAATCATTCGAATTATGACATGCGATATCGATATCTTTTGGAATTAGCTTTAGAACTTCTTTATGATTTAAACCAATAGCTGCCATTCCACCAAGAATTACTTTCGTATTTTCATTCGAAGATCCGCGAGCATGAGCTACAAGCATCGCTTCTTCAATAGTTAAACAACCGTCACAATATGCACAGCAAATTTCTCCAACAGAATGGCCAATAATATAATCGGGTTGGAGTCCTAAAGATTTCAATACATCGGTCAATGCTATTTCAATTGCTGTTATTCCAACATAAGAATTAAGAATATTTTCAAATATTCTTTTGTCAGCTGATGAAATTATTTCTTTAATATTAATGTCTTTAGGAATGAGAATATTGTGACATATTTCAATCGATTCAGCAAATCTTGGAATTTTCATCAAATCTTTTCCCATTCCAACCCATTGTGAACCAATTCCACTATAGACCCACACATTTGGTCGTTTAGCAGTATTAAAATGTTGTACGTTTCGATGAATGCATTTAGCATTTTCCTTTCCATTCGATTCGAATATACCAAACCCACGATAAATGTTGGATGATGAAGTCATGACTTGTGAGCTTTGAAGTAAGGCAATATGTTCAACATCGAGGGGTCGACTTAACACATCATCAAGTATAGAATCTATAGCTTCTTCGGTTCGACCTGCCCAACAAATTAATCGATGCAGCTTGTCATTAGGAATTCCATTATTAATCTTTGACTTTGAATTTCCTTTAAAAATAGCTTGAGCATTGGCGCCACCAAGCCCAAATGAGTTCAAAGCAATAAACTGACCCAGGAAACTTTCAGGTTCGATCGGAACTCTAATTCTGCCTTCAGCAAACGCTGAAATATCATCACGCAACTCCCTAAGATTTATATTCGGTGGAATTATCTGGTTTTCAAATGTTAAAACCACTTTTGCTATTGACGCAATAGCTGACGCTGCTTCAGTATGCCCCAAGTTTGATTTCACAGAACCAATGATTAATGGTTTTTGTCGGTCTTTACAGAAAGCTCCATCAATTGCTGAAACTTCTTCAGAGTCACCAATTATAGTTCCAGTCGAATGTGCTTCAACATAATCTATTAAATTGGGATTTATTTTCAATTTGGCAAAGCATTCTTCAAACAGTTGTTGTTGTCGGTAACGAGAAGGAAAACTTGTTCCTTCCAGCTTAAATCCATCATTATTTGTATTAATTGTCAGAACATGAGCATAAATTCTTTTTGAGTCTTTTAACTTTTGAAGAAATAGAACTCCGATTGTATCCGAACGAGAAAATCCTGTGGCTTCTTTATCAAAAGGACGACATATGCCATCAGCAGCCAGAATTCGTCCCCTGTAGTAAAATATTATAAGGATTATGTAAATAAAGCATATTTAGTCTAAAACTTTATACTTATCACCTTTTAAATTCTGTCGTTGTAGTTATGTTTAAAGATAATTGTGTACCACCAACTAAAGCCGCATCACAAGATCCATCTTGAAGGCATTTGAAAGCTGGAAGGAAGGTATGAAAATTTTACAGAAGTCTTAAAATTATATTTAAATCTTACCCAGATCTAATGCATATGCCGAACTACTACAAGCTGTATCAACAATAAATGATGGCCCACATAATCCTAAAGCAAAACTTACTCGATTTGCTAAGTAGAAATTAGCATTACTGGAAGTTATGTTATAAAATGATAAATTAATAATTAAATTTACTATGTATGTGATAGATTATTGAAATTTTTTCATGTATATTGCGGATAAAAAAATCAGACAAATTTTGTTTTTCGTCATTTGACTCTTCAACAATATTAATAATTTAAAAAAAGTCTTTCACAGTTAGAATTGAAATTAAACGAAAGCTTACCCAGTAATTCCATTGCCGTCTTTTGTCGGTACTTTAAATATGAACATATCTTTTGAGTCAGAATTACTGACACCGATAAAAACACCTGTTCGACTGCCAATTAAAGATTGTGGACTAACGCCGGCATCAAGAATCGCTTCATAACAATGTTCCAAAAGGATTCGTGCTTGAGGATCAGTTATGTGTGCTAATCGATTGTGAATTGAAAAAAATGAAGCGTCAAACTTATGCAAGTTGTTAATTTTTCCTGATCGTGGTGGAACTTCTGGATGGAAATCTTTCCAACGACTTTCAACATCATCAACCATATCCACTTTATTATACAAATTATGCGAAAGTTCTCTCAGATTATTTGAATTCGGAAAACGTCCCGAGATCCCAGAAATAACCACTTTTTCACCATGCATGGTGTAACCTTCATTCTCATCATAATTTTCCATTTTATTATTATTTAATTTTATGATTGATGCTTAAAGTCACAATTTATTTTATTTCTTGAATGTTATCAATTGTTTCACTTTTTAACTCATTTCATTTCTATTCGTATAGTTTTTTAAACATTTAAAATCATGAGTGCTAATCCTTGGTGCACTTCAATTATTCGTGGATAATTGGCCAACTAACTTAATATTTTTCTTCACTTATTGAACTATATGAACATTTTGGTGTGAGCCACAAAAACTTTATGAGTTTCTTGAATTATTCTACTTTCTTTTATACAAAATAAAATCAATTAATTCATCGTTAAAAACATTTTTACGAATTTAATTTGAATGAATTACATAAATGTTAAACAGACAGGCTAAAGGGATGTATACACACAGAAAATAAATATCCGATTAAACGAAACAATTAAACTTTATTTCCGACCATTCTAATTATTTTAGTTTTAAATTCCTGACTACATACGATAATGAACATAAATATTTATGTTGATCGTGGCGTTTATTGACCTCCTTTGAAGCATGTAAATGGATATAGAAATGAGCAAGTGTTGTCATTATAAAAACCAAAAGAATAGCTTAGATTTATTTCTTCACTCTCCTTTATTTCTAAAAAATCTTTAAAACTTTTGAATCACAAAAATTGAATATCTAGTGAATTTAAAATATCTATCAAATACTCATTTGCAATCAACTTTTGTATAATTTTGTACATTATCTTCAACCTTTCAAACAGAAAAACCATTGACGTCAATGGAAACACATTTCACCTTCTGCAAATGAAGGAATCAAAATGTATTAACTGTTGTATATCAATGAGAGATTAAAACTAGATTTCAAGACTAATCATGCTGTTTGGGATAAAGACTGCGAAGTATATAAAATGAAAATTAAAAAAATTCACCAAATGAATGCAAATTTCTATTGTAAGTTCATTGAAAAAGTCAATTATTGGTAATAAAAAATAGAATCTATCTTACCATACTGAAAAGGCTAAATCTACTAACATAAACATTTCTAAGAATTCATTTAATTTTCATTGAGTTCAAGTTCAATAATATCCATTTGTGAAGCAATTCGTTATGACTACCATTAGGTATTAATACTTTAATTAATTCTCTTTTTGATGCTCAGAATGAAATATTTATAGTCACACTCTACCTTTTTCAACTAACTTGATAGGATAATGAAATTTAAATAAATATTAAAATATCAAAATAAATTAGAAAGCCATGAAATCAAATTTCTGGAAACCTCTTGAAGCAAATGAGGAGAAAAAACATTCCAAGAGTTCAGTGATCAAATAAAGGGTTAAATTGAATATGTTTTAAAATTAGATACGAATTTCCTGAAAATATACTCCAAACAAATATTTTTAAGATGAAAGGAAAAACATTTAAATGGAATCACTAAAATTCATTTTATTCATAGGAATAAAATTAAAAAGTATTAAAATAACTTTAATGAAAATAAATATACGTTAAACATAACATACTCATCACTTCTTTAAGTATCTATTCATGCATGTAACTTTTTTACGGAAAGTCTTGAAGTTTCTATGATGAAGCAAATAAATGTCTCTATTCAAGCTTAAATTATTGAAAATCTTTGGAACTACATTATTATGAATTGAAACTAATGATCTAAATCATTTAATCCTTATGAATACTGGCACATGTGAAAATTTCTAAGCATTCAATGTCTTCAACTCTTCAGCTTCTTCCGCACTAATATTCCTGCTTTCCCTTGTTAATCTTTCCAACTCTTCTTTTTGTGATCTTTTAAAGAATCCAAGTCGATACAAGGCATAACAAAGAAGAATCAAAACAAGAATTCCGAGAATCGATGACATCACCCAAGCCCAAATTGGAGTTGAAGTTGACCTTTTCTCATAAATTATTGTGTAAGGATTACTTGTGGTAACTTTCAGAGTTTTTAATTCTTCATCCCCCGCCCTTTGTAAGCGACTGTTTGTTTTGTAAAGGAAAATATTGTGATTTTCATTGAAGATTTCATCTAAAAGTTTATAAAACTGTTAGGAAAATGTGAAAAAGAAAAAAATGTTCTGATACTCACCAATTTTTGATAAATCAATTGAAAAATTCATATTAATACTGAATGGTTCACTTCCTGGCCTAAAATTATGAATGATGAATTGAGCTTCGACACATTCATCCATCTCTTCAGATTGGGAGCAATCAAAGTAGATAGTTCGATTTTTCGGAAGGGTTTTTAGAGTGTTGTCTTCTTTGTCGCTTGAAATTCTATAAGATGAGTGATATTCATCAATGCTTCCAGTATATTGATTGAAAACTCGGAATATATTGTCATCATCCCTTTGTTGGATACTTCTTCTTCGACGTCTACGATGTTGTGATTGTCCAAATGGCTCTTCATTATTATTCTGACGATCTTCATGCCGCAAAGTAATATCGTAATCATAACCAAGCTTAGATGAATCAAAATTAACATTCATATTGTCAACAGCAAGTTGATACTCATTGCCGATCTCTTCTACAGATTGCATGAGAATTTTATTCTCTTTAGTCCACGTTACTTCATATACTTTATTGATGTAAAATCCTCTGATACCGATTTCATTAAAATTTACAATGGGGACATGATAATTAGGTTGAGGAATGAAAATTGTTGGTATTTGAATATTAACGAGAAGTTCCTTGATTGTACTCGGTCCATTATTATAAATGTTGTAACTGTACTGGATATTTTCAACACGGAGTCCATCTTCAATTGATAGTTGAGGTGCTGAACTTTGTCTAGAAATTGGAAAAGAAAAATTATTAACTAAAGTCATTCAGAAAAATCGTTATTCAGCTTACCCTTGAAGTTCAACATCACTGAATTCAGTCATAAAAATCTCGTTTTCATAAGTGTTGTCTAAAGGCTTCTGTTCATCACCAGCACTTGATACAACAGCAATTACCTTAAATGAGTCACCTTCAAGCTTTGAAGTGTCTAAATTGATGTTAATTTTAATAGTTTCACTGCTGGTCACTGGTGCTCCTGAGTTGATATCGCAAATCATATCACGTCCAGAATTTTCTTCTCTACATGATGTAGGAATTTTTGAAAAGGTTGTAACATTAGTGGGAATGGTAATCTTCAATTGTGTCAAGTAAGCAGACTCTCCAGCATTCGAAATTTCGTATTGTATTGTGATAGCTTTGGCACTTCCAAGAACATAAGGTTGTCTTACATTCATCAATGTTCCAACAACTGCTAAATCAGATATACATCTTTCACCATTACAACCAGTGTTGAACGTAATCTTCGTCGATACAACCTTAGAATCACGTGGATCTATTGCAACACAAGTTTCACAAAATTCTGTTGTATGTTCGGGAATTTTTTCTACCAAATCATATTTCATTTCAATAAGAATTGGCTTAAAAATATCTGCTAATGTTCCTTTAACAGTTACAATAATGTCAAAACAACGATCGTCACCAGTTGCAAGTTTAATTATTTCCTGATTGACATTTTGCGTCTCACGAGGTGAAAACGAAGCACGATTATGTTGAGTGTCGAGTAGAATTGTCAAAGCAAATTCTGAAATTTATAATTCTTCCTTTAAAACGAATTTAATAACAAAATTGAAGAATTATCTTTACCAATGTCATTTTCAATCATAGTTGATGATTCTAAATGTGCACAAACTTTCATGTTGAACTTTGTGTCATCCAAAGAAAGTTCGTTTTTAGATGTTGTAATACTTCCAACAAATTTAACAACCGGATAGGTTTTGAAAACATAAACTGATTCGGCATTTGGTGAACCTATTGCAATATCTCGATATCCATTTGAATCAATGTCAACACCACGAGACATGCCGTGACCAAACATTGATGATACAACATCAGTGTATGGGCTTGGAAGTTCAGAAGGTGCTTGAATCTTTTGAATCGGTTTAAGTGAAAGGCCTTCAGGACCACCAAGATATATGTAAACTACACCGTCGCCTTCAAAAGGGGCTGAAATCGCGATATCCTGATAGCCATCTAAATTTATATCACCAATCTTTGACAAAGCAGTTCCAAATCTACCGTTAAGCTCATATTCACTAATTACGATACTTTGAAGGTCGAACGACAGCTAACAAAATAAGAGGCAATGTTCAAACAATTAGTTTTTCTCAAATAAAATTGAAAATGTTTACTTACGTTTCCTTCATTAATGAAGACATAAACTGCCCCATTCTCATATTCTCCACTTTTACTGAAGAATGGAGCTGACACAATTAAATCTGGAAGAGTGTCTCCATTGAAATCGTCAACAAGAAGAGTGTATCCAAAGTATTCTCCCATTTGTGTACCAGAAAACTTGTTGAAAACTTTTATTTTCTTTTCGAATCGATAATCTTCAATATCGAAAATAAACACTTCTCCCGTTTGTTTGTTGGCTTGTGGTGCAGATGCAACATAAAATAATCTTGGAATGCTTTGTCCCATAAAATATCCAGAACTAACAGCATAGCCAAAATATGAATCATCTGATAAATCAGTATAGAAAGGGTTCGGAATCTCACTTCTAAACTCAAATGTTTGTCGCTTTCGAATTGAATGTTCAAGAGTTAAGTCACGACGACTCAAACCACCCAAATCAAGTTGTTTATGTGCACGATAACGAATGATTGATCCACGCCAGTTCATTATTCCTGGGCATCCTATTATGATCTCTTCGTTATTCTCACTGATGTGAACACTGAAACCTGATTCTCCATAGATGTAATAATAATGATGATCACCCTTGTCACCAGGAACTGTTTGAAACTTTCGTTGTCTCAGAGGAATAATCTGTCGTATTCCTGATGGTTGAGTTCCATTTGAACTTTCAACCCAGTAACAAATTCCATGAAGAAGATAATGATCAGATTCTTCAACATCTGCTTTCAGTAATGGCGCGCAAACAACAAAACGATCGAATTCAGACTCATGACCATCCATTGAAGCACCAAGCATTTGAAAATCTTTCTTTTCTGAATTGTAAGCTAGGTCGGTATTTTCTACACGGGTGTTTCCGAGTGTGTCAAAGTGATAAGGATGACAAATTTGATCATCGTGTAGGTTACATTTAAAAACTGCTCCCGTTTCCTCAACTTTCCGTTGAGTTGCAAGAGTTGATTGGGCTCGTGGTGCACCAATAAGTACACTGTTTATTCTTAAATTAATCGCATAGCCAAAATATGATGATCTTGTTTGTGGAAGTGACGTCGAAAGTGATGGTTTCTTAATAATTATGTTGGGACTAGGTGAAATATTGAAGCAATTCGCCAATGGAATAAATAATAAAATCAACAGTTTCTGCATGTTTACTTATAACTTGTTTATCTTGAACTGAAAGTAAATAAAAAGTTTGAAACAAAAATTACAAATAGTGTCCTAAAAATTCACTTTCGCTCTTCACACATATCGGTGAGTTTATAACTTAAATTGGTTGCGGATTCGCTAAAATATAATGATGACGTTGATATTATTTTGAACATTTTGCCGCTTTTACTTTTATTGACAAAAACCTCTTGATGTTGTTTACACAAACGAGGTGCATAAATAACAGAACTCGTTTCATTGTTCATGTTTTACTTTCAAGTTTTAAAAATTGTATGAATCATCGAATTGGTCGCTACATATGAAACCGGTTCGAAATAAGGAGAAACCTTCGAGGAATTCCCGTTAATATGCATTACGTCACATGATATTTAGTGGATTAATCACCATTTAAATATCTGTGCATCATAACGTAGTGGAATGTATAATTTCTTGTATCCATTGTATACATGTGAATCATCTTTATTTAAATATTTTTAACAAAATCTTCGATTTTTTTTATTTTAAGAAATTGGAAAATGAAAATTTTATTTCGACATTCCATAGTATTAAATAAAAGAACTTTTCTATGTCCAAAATATCCATCTCACTATTTAAAGAATCGTAGTTAATTACCAATTGTAAACAGAGAAGAATTGTTTTCGTTGTTAATTTAACTTTGTTTAATTTTGTAGCCTTCTTGATTCTTTTCTTTTTCTTCTTTGTCAACTGAATCATCATTCGTCAGATATTAGTGATGATTATTTTACACGACGGAAATGGAGATATGCTGAATATTTGCAACGTTATCAAATCAGGAATTAAATGAGTGTTGTGAAATGTGGGAGTGCGTTATAAATGAACAAGAAAATGCTAACTTTATCAATGCAATGGAAAATAATTTTATCCCAACTTCTCTTTCAACGATAAGATAAAATATTAGTTCCATTAGTTGCACTCATTTCATCGTAAAATCATTCACATTAAGTCATTATTAGGGATTCAGTTAAACTGACTCATCAGTTTTTAATATACTTTAATTAGCATTCATTCTTGAAAAGAAAAATCTTAAAATTTAAAGAAAAACGAAGATCACCACACCTTAGATTTATTAGTTTGTACGAAAAAAACTCTTATCTATCAATTTGTAATTTTTATCACATATCAAACCACGACACTTATTTTTCTTTGCGACTTGTCGGTTTCATACTCACGCGAAGACTGAAGAAAACTTTGGTAAACACGAGTAAAACGATGAAGTTGTGTGAAGAAGCATTACTCATAAGCTTTGCCGGTTGACATAATAAGCTTTACTACGAAATAAAAAGCTTACGAATGATCAATCTCACTCACACAGCTTCAAAACTTTTAAAAGTATTTATGAATGGACCAACTTTTGGTTCTTTTGAATTGTATTTATTTTGGTAAAAATGATCAATTAAACAATTAAAAAGATCTACATATATAAAGATTAATCTGGCAAAGTTAAAATTTCGCAGCCACTTTCAGTTATTAGAATTGTATGCTCAAACTGACTAGTTCTTGATCCATCAACTGTTACTGCTGTCCAACCATCTTCCCACACTTCACATTCCTCTGTTCCTAAAGAGAAAACTGGTTCGATTGTGAATGTCATTCCAGGATACATTACTCCAACATCGTAATAATTTTCAAAATGATAAATCGATGGTGGGCCATGGAAGAAATTTCCAATACCGTGTCCGATAAATGCTGGAACAGTTCGGAGATTACATTTCTTTGCATATTTTGATATTGTTTTTCCAATTCTGTGAAATTTTCGACCGGGTTTGCAAATATTAATTGCTTGCATCACAGCCTTTTCATTATGTTCTACTAAATATCGCCCTCGTTCATCTACGTTACCAACTAAAAATGTTTTTGAACAATCTCCATGATAGGAATTGAGGAAAACTGAAATATCAATGTTGATAATGTCTCCATCTTCAAGTGGCCGATCATCAGGAATTCCATGACAGGCTACATTGTTAACACTTGTGCAAACTGATTTAGGAAATCCGCAATATCTTAAAGGACTTGGGTAAGCATTGTTTGCAATAGTTTCATTATGAACAAATGCATCAATATCGTCTGTTGTCATTCCAATCTAAAATACTTATAAAAAATTATGATATCAAACCTATTGAATCTAATAAGAAATATGTACCTCTAATATGTCACCACATTTGCTAAGAATATTAGCAGCCAGTTTACAGCTTTCCCTCATCCTTTTAATCTGTTCTTCAGTTTTAATTTCAATTGGTCCGCTTGTTTCGCTCGGCTTATTTAAATTTTTGTAATATGGAGGTTTCGCAATCGTATCTGGAACAGTTGAACGATTTGTTGAAACATTTCCAGTTTTCTGAATAATTGTACATGTTCCTAGGTCGAAGTTTGGCTCTTGTTTCTTGAAGAAAAAATTTCGTATTTGACGAATATTTTGAAAATTATATTTTGGAAACTTCATGAAGTTTGGTTCTATTTTTCCAGCGTGATTACTGCCATCTATTTTACAAAATAATAACAAGAATTAAGCAATTAAGCAGTACTTGCACAACTTGTTGCACAACTTGTATGGAATTGGCTCGGTAAATTTTTTATTTAAAATGAACAAAAATTATTTTGTAGACTTGATGAAATCATTTAATCTACAAAATAACTTTTGCATTACCTACTTCAAAAGTCTTTGAAAAACCTTTTCAATTAAGAACAAAAACTTTAACATCAAGAACTAAAGATGTGTTATATGAAACATTAATTTAATTACCTAAAGATTGTTTTTTGGTAACAGATATAATTACATCTTAAAAACTGAAAAGATTAGATTTTCTAATATAACGTCACTAAAAATTTTTGAAAATAAATCTCTACAAATATTAACCGAGTTAAATATCGTTCGGTTTACTCAAAATACTTTTGGAGGGTTTTATTTGGAATTAACTTTTTTTCCTCTTTCTTTTTCAAGTGATCACTATTATTCAGAACTTTGTTGTGAACAGTTCAATCAAAAAGCATTCGTTTCCTACTAATAAAAGTTAATTTAAATAAAAACCTTGCCAAAAAGTTATTTGATAAATCATAAAGTTACACAAGTAAACAAAGAGTTTTTTCAAAATATTTGGATATGACAATATATTTAATGCCTAAAAGTAGAATGTAAGTGTATTTATAAATAATAGGCGCATATAAAAGTTGAACATATTAATGATTGTATGATTCAAGACAAAGCTTCATAAAAAACATGTTCGTTCAGATAGAGTGAAGACAAAAAAAGTTTGGTTTTGTTAAAATTATGTTATTTATTATAAATTCATATGAAAACGTCTGGAAACGTCTGTATGCGGCATTTCATAGAGACGAAAATGACAATTTAATTAAATTAAATTGATCAATTCATGCAAATCTAAATGAAAACAAGTAGATAATATTTGTGCTTCTGTTTTAATGTTCTTTGTTCTAAAACAAGTATAAAGTGATCGTGTTGTCTTCAAAGAAAAGGAAAATCTGAGTTTACAAATAAAAAAACTAGCTCATAAAATAAATAACTATACCGTATTATTCCTATGTAGTAAGACTTTTTGAGGTCAAGGACATGACAATTTGTTTCTCTTCTTTTTTTTGTTGTTTTCCTTTTCATAATATTCGTCAGATGTAATAACACCTGATTTTGTTGTTACACAAACAAAACACATACAAAGAAAAAATTACATCTATGCAGGTCAATGATCTAAACCTAACTTAGTCCTATTTATAACATGACAAAAACGAATATATTGAGCATAATTTTGACAGCGCAACGTCATGTTTGTTTATGTAATATCAAGCGACAATATCTTGCGTTTCTCCGAGAAAATTAAAATGTTCTAATAAATTTCAATTGAATCATTTAATATATTTTATTTTTCTTAGAATTTCTAAAGCCAAAGATTTTCGACCTAAACAATGGACAATTAAATGGATTGTTGATCAACGTTCGTTTTCGAAATCGCTATATCAACAATGTGCAGCAAAAAATCAAACTAATCAGAGTGCAAATGGCAAAGGTAAATTACATAAAATTAAACGCAAATGGCGTTGGGGTGCTGGTGCTGGTTGGACAATCTTATCTGTTTTGGATTGGTGGTTATTGGCTGCAGGCGGCTGGTTAACATGGCAAGGTACAGTGCTTCGTTGGACACCCCTGGGACTTGCACTAGTGGCAGCTGCTCAGTGGCATCTACACAATAGGGAATGTGAAAGAAAAGGCTTACCTAGGACTGCTCCACATTGGCAGGTAATTTCCTATTTTCAATGTTTATTTTCCATTACTTAGATTTACATATTTGTTTATCATCTAGACGACTGTGTATTGTTCCCTTCCACTGAGGCTTATGAGTAGATGTTGGGGTTGGCTTGCGGAACGTCCTGTACCAGAAAAAATTCGTCCAACCATTTTCGGTCTTTATGCAACAACGTTTGGTGTAAATTTGGAAGAAGCTGTAATATCTGATCTAAAGTATGTAAAGAAATTCATAAAATTATTATTTGATGTTATTGAAAACTTAGAGGGTTTTTTTTTATACATACATATATGTAAGAAGTTTATTATTGCCATCAACATATTTTTATCTATTTAGATCCAACCATGGATGACGTATGTAAATTGATGGATTATATTTTGTCTTCTGCAAAAGTTTTAGATATTAGTTTTGTTTGGTGCTGGCTTATTTTATTTATTTATTTTTTGCATTTACATTTATTCTAATGAATAATTCTTGTTCAATGCGTTGGAAAATAACAGACACTATCGAAGTTTGGCTGAATTCTTCACCCGATCAATTAGAGACGATTGTCGAGTGATTGCACCAGATTGTGTTGTTTCACCATGTGATGGACGTGTTCTTCATTATGGACCAGTAACGAGTGAAACTCATCTGGAACAAGTGAAAGGCGTAACTTATAGTCTTGAAGCTTTCTTAGGGCCAAAAATAGGCAAAGAAATCAAAGGTCCATATATCGACTCGCTGAAGAAGCAGAAAGAAGGTAGCGCATTATATCACTGCATTATTTATCTTGCTCCTGGTGACTATCATCGATTCCATTCACCAACATCATGGAAACCTGAAATAAGACGTCATTTCCATGGTGAGCTTCTTTCGGTTAGTCCAAAAGTTGCCAAGTGGGTGCCAGGACTCTTTTGTCTTAATGAACGTGCAGCTTATATTGGTGAATGGGAGCACGGATTCTTTAGCTTTACGGCTGTTGGTAAGTCATTATTTAATTTATTCGTTTGCTTCCTCTGTCACTATGATAAAGCTCGCGCCTCAAAGAAAAGCACAAAGTTTGTGACGTGTGTTGATATATTTATTTCGGAACAAAACGAATGGACCATCGTACGATTCGTCTTTTAGATCCGCATTCATTAGGCTTTTGACCCACCAAACATTATTTTGATAAGCAATTGGTACTTCTCCAAAGAAATACTACAGAAATTATTTCATTCCTTATCTTTCGGGGAAATTAAGAATTGCATCTCAATTTTTTTAGTAGAAAAGTAAGAAAAATTATTTAATTAGATAATTAATTCCTTATTTCTAATATATAATGAAACTTTAATTAATATTCTTCTTATTTTAAAAGAAATTTGATGGTGGTTCCTATATATGGCCAGGATTGGCCTATAGGTGCCTGTCCTTGATCTGATGATGATGATGAAAAGAAAACAAAAGTTTTGATTGATCCTTTAACAATGTTTAAGTAAGAATCTTATTGGATTTCGACAAAAACATTTCGTTACCCAAACGTGCACAATTTCGAATCTTCCAAAAAAGTATCTAAGAGCGTCTCAATTAAGTTCAATCTAAAGTTTCGACCAATCACACATCACGTAAAATTCCCTTGGTCGTCCAGAATATGGCATGATGAAAACGATGACCTAATAAAATTTAGCAATGCTCACAGTGTAGTGTCATGACATTCTTGACCTAGGGTGAGGCAGCAGCTGTGGCATGCCGCCAACAATTAATTCCTATCGCAATATTTTAAAGGTCTAAATATATTTCAATTTTAATTCCTTATCACTTCTCAATGCATTGACAAAAAAGACGAATGTAAAGAATAAAATTTAGGGTGTCATCTTTAAATACCTAATTGAATTTGATAAAAAGATGACACACATTTGTTTCTACGTTTTTTTTAAGTTATTGTATTAGATATATAAGCGAATCAATCAAATCGAAATTCAAATTAAATTCTTTTCGGCCTATCGTTGCATCAACAGTAAATTTTGTTAGAACTATTTTTGTGATGAACAAAATCCGGGATCATTTCATTGATTATTTCATAATAAACTGTTTTTGTCTTATCTGTATTCAAGACAAAAGTTTTGAATTTTTTTATAATTAGAGTTTGAAGAACAGTTGGCTTTGATAGCAAATAAATGAAACTTATTAGATACATGTAAGGGAGATTCATTTAAAAGAAATTTTGCCTAACAAAATCCACAATAAACACCATAATGATCATCATTAATAATGGAGGGCCTTGTAGATTAGTGTGAATCACACAATTGAAGTACTCATGACTTCTCCTCAACAAGCATTTTATGGACTTATCTTTAAACTTTTAATTAATATTGAACAACTTATGACGTATAAGGAAAGAAATCAAAACAAAAGTTAATTAAAAATTCATTTATTAACTTTGCAAGTATTGATAAAAAAAATCTTCTTTTTTTCTTGTTCAATCTGCATAAAGGCGCTACGAATGTGGGGTCAATACAGGTTTACGTCGATGAAGAACTTAAAACTAACAAATGGAGTGGATTGAAAGTTGGAGTACATAAAGATAAAGACTTCGACGAAGTTCGATTACGAAAAGAAATTGTTCTAAACAAAGGCGAACTGATTGGTCAATTCAATATGGGAAGTACGATCGTGCTAGTGTTTGAAGCTCCAAAAACTTTCAAGTAATTTTTTTTACATTACTGTTTATGTTTCTTAAATTTGATAATGGTTTCTTTTTCACAGATTTAATTTAACACCTGGACAGACTGTTCAACTTGGCCAAAGTCTAGGGTGCTTTTTTGATGATGATGCTGACAGTGGGATGGAAAGTGAAGAGTGAAAATGTTGATTATTTTATCTGCATTTTTCCAACCTCAAGTGCCATAGTTGATCGTCGCTTTTAATCGTACTGATAACATAACTTCAGGGTTAGTTAATAGTTTTAAGTTTTAGGATAAAAGCTCAAATAAAAAATAAAATAAAACATAATAATGTGTAGTGCATATTGCACAATTTCATTCTCCAAATCATTAATAACACTTTCACAGTGAAATTATTTGGAAAACAACAAAAGAAAATCTTTTATTTCATTTTTTTTTAACAAATTCATTGTTTATAAACATCGTAGTCATTTTTATTTTTCCTGTTTTCATATTAAAATGAAAACAATCAATAATGTAAAAGAAAGAAGTCAATGGAATGTGACTTTAAAAGCTTTGAATGCATAAATGTCTTATCTGTAGCAAAACATGTGATATTTTTGAAAGAAAATATTTTATGAACAGAATTAGGTAAGGTTTTTTCAAAATACAATGATTCATATCACTTGTTATGATTCACATTTTTAATCTTACTGATCAAGAAAATATGATTTCCTTTATGATCCACCTTCAGGATAACAGAAAAATATTATGTTAGCATTTTTTATGTCACGAATTGTTTTGAAAGTTATTTTAATAATTAAAAAATAATTTTAGAAACATTATAAATTTCTATTATATTTAACAACTTTAAATTTATTTTTTAGATAAGATACGAGTGCTATGAAATTGAAGAGAAAAAAAAATTGTAATACGGAATTTGATGAGAATAAAGAATTAAAAACACCATGTTGCATTATTCAACTTGTTGCATTGGAATTCTTTCGTATCCCCAGAAGTGACTTCGTGTTCGATAAGTTTATTATAGCCTTCTCTGTATAAAAGTACTCAGCTGTCCCGCTTGCCAAAGTTTCTTTAAAATCTTCTAATGCTTGTTTGTCTTTAAGTGCAGTGAGAGACTCGACAATTGAATTAATAGCACCAACTTTCTTTGAAAGTGTGAGACGACGTTCTGGATCATCAACATGCTGAAGAAATGAATTTAAAACAGCTTGTGGAGCTCGAAGATTATAAAGACGAATGATTGCCAGCTCAAGTGGAATGTGAATAGTAAACGATTTTTTCTTAATTACAGATTTTTTTTGGAAAAGTCCTTCAATATCACGCCAAGCTTGTGACTTTCCTCTTTCGTTTATTGCAACCCATTCAAATTGCGAAGGTGTAATTGCATAATTTATTGCCAACTTGAATGGATTTGTCGATGAATTAAATGATGGATCAGACCATTTTTGAAACTTTTGACAACAATAATATAAAGTTTCTATCACTGATTTTTCCATAATATCATGAGGATGAAAATATAATCGTTCATTAATCTGAAGCTCCAATAAAGTGATAAAATTTGACAATTGTTGAGATAAAAATGGATTGCAACAAGGTTGATCGAAGAGTTCTCGAATATTTTTAAGTTTCTCCAATTTTGTGATGACATTTTTTGATGATACCGAAGCTTTAAATTGAATCATTGCTGCTTCTTGGTTGCGTCCCATTATTTTAAGTATTTCCGAAGCTTCCCCAATTCTCATTGTAGTATTTAAGTAATTCACATAATGATCTACAGCGATTGGTCTGGTCTCTAAGATTTGATTAAATAACGATGTTTTTAGAGAGTTTTTAAGGAACAAGACAATCCTTAGTATTGCATCACCATTTCCACATAAAATAGCTTTGTCAAGAAGATCTTCTTTTTCGTTCAGTGACTTATAAATAGACAAAGAACATGGTTTACCAAGTAAAAGCTTGTTGATTGTAATAGGAATTGGACAATATTGAGATTCTTGTAGTTTTCTTCTTAGTATTTTTATTTCTTCTTCCAATGATACTTTAGGAAATATTGGTTCAGTAATCATCTGATCCTCGAGTATCATTTGAAGATCACTATCATTAATAATCAGATTTAAACTTATCGCACCCGACGATGAAACATTTGAGATTTCTGATACATTGTCATCTAAAAACTTTTGATCAATATCATCATCAAAACTAAATGATTTGTTTAAAGAAGTGTTCCAGTAGTCATCACCATCCATAACACTAAACAATGAGATTCAATTGTAATGCTTAAATTATAAAAATTTTAAACACGTAAGACCCGACAACTTGTTTTTTTCTAAACACAAAATGTAAACAAAGGCGGAGAGTTTATTCGCTTTAGAATTTTATGTTTGGAGAGTTCTTTGAGAAATAGAATTTGAAAAGTAATAAAACGTTAAAAACTTAACATTTAAATTATTAGAAATACAAAGAAATACAAAAAGGTTTAACTTAGTATAGAGAAACCTTTAAGATTTTGACAATTTCAAAACGTTTTCAATTAATTGTGATTTGGTGAGTTTAGATAATCCTGAAACGCCTTTCAATTCCAAATAACTTTTAAGAATTGAGACAGTAAGTTCTTTGACTCTTCCTTCCTTACATTTTTCAAGCACAAGTTCGATGTTTATATCATCAGCAGTAATTTTTTTACGAGGGCCTCCTTCAATGATATCCGTATTTTTGCGTTTAGCTGCTTTAACATCTTCATCCTCTAAACGTCCCAGTTGCTCAGAAAGACATTGAATATGTTCTTCGATTCGATTATCTTGAGCATCTAAATTCGGTACCATTGGATCCTCAAAAATGTCATCTTCGGTCTTGTTTTCATCTTCAAAGTAAGATTCTTCAATTTTTCTGTAAATGTTTGTAACAGTTGGATTGTTAAACATTGTTGGTGCATAATGTAAACGTAGACGAGAAAGCATTTTCTTCATAACAGTAGTTGTATTGGAATCAATTAAATTTTTTCCTGTTAAGACTTCAGACAAATCCCGAATATCGCCAGCAAAAGGAATAAAGTCCAAACGAAATCCCTCATATCTTAAAACTTCACTATCAATACCAACTTTTTGCTCTTGTGGAACTAAGGCAACCAATCGGGGGTATGACTTCAATCTCATTGTAAAAATACAAATTATGACTTTATCATCAACTAAGCATCGCTCCCAAAGTGCTCTGAATAGGGTTGCAGAGTGCTTGATTTTATTGTCATTTGGATAAATGAAATACGACCCCTTAATGTGATGGTAATCGCTTAAAACACTTGAGGGCTTAAATCCAAGAATTTTAATCTTTGGGTCCATTACTTGTTTGATCTATCGGTAAGGATAAAAAATTTACACAACATAAAAAAAATCATGTTTTAAAGAAATTTTACCTCATACGCTTCCAAGTGAGTAAATTTAATCTTTTCACCTCCACATTGCTGATATTTAACCATCATTCCCGGTTCTAATTTTTCTGTGTAATCCAAATCATAATGAAGATTATCAACATCTACAGCATCTTCAGGAATTACTCCATATTTATAACTTCTCTTGGTCTCAATCAGTTCACGTGAATGTCGCGATATTACTGTTGATTTAGGAATTTGAGACGTTCGAGTGAGACTATAAATACCAACACCAAATTTAGCATTGGACGATATTTCCACTAAGAGATGAGCGATCGCTCTTTTATTATGTGCTCGACGAAACATTCGTTGAATCAAAAGTTTTTCATCAAGTTGTGTGGTAGGAAATTCAAACTCTTCCATTTCAATACCCAAAATCTGACACAGTAATTCTTTATAGAATAAACCTCCATCAAAACTGTCTTTCATTGGATAGAATTGCAAATCAAGTTGAAATTGTTGAAGGTCTTTTGCCCTTTGGAATGATTGCTGATGATCACTGGAGCCAACTTGATGAGGCGAATCTTGATCAGTGAACCACATTATCTGAGGAACCTTAATTTGCTTTCCACAACTCGAAAATATAGAAGAGCATAGCCATAAAACATCTGCGATCTTTGCATCTGTGGAATGACCAAATTTATTGTCGAAATCAAGAAAATCATCAGAAGCCAATAAATTTTTAATAAAACGGATATTTTCTGGTTCAATTTGATTGAGTGGCATTAACACTGCACAGTTTTTTGGTACAACTAATGAATTGTCATTATGCATATTGTCACCAGGATCTGGAGAATTTTTAGTGTTGTATAAAATGGCACCGATCTAACGAAAAGAAAAAAAATTAACTTAAAATTATAAAATTAAGAGCCATTGTCACTCACCAGATCCTTGTTATTATTAATGATTTTATTAAGCATCAATCTTTCGAATACATTTAAACATATTGTGAATGAGCTTAAAGTTTTCTCGTCTCTTTCAAATTCTGTAAACATTGATGATGAGCAATCGATTACAATAATGCATGCATCTCGACCAGAAGATTGGAAATGCGTATTATCTTCATCATCAGAATCAAAAGATTGATTAACTGTGTATCCTTCAGCCATAGTTGTCAATTGTTATCAATAACAAATATTTGTTTTAATTACGTAAGATAAATATGTAGAACGAATCGGTGTTTTCAGTAAATTGTGAAATAATGTTTTGGAGACTTTTTATACCGCGGCCAAACAACAAGGCTTCGAGGGGATGTAAACTATGCAGGATAGATAATCCTGAAACAGCAAGAGAATTCAATACTTGATCAATTATCACGAAAAAATATAGGAAATACCTAATATTAAGTAATTCAAATCAATATTAGAAATAGATTCAATATCCGTTCATTTAATTCTGCATAATCTTAAGTGTTTCAACAAAAACGAAACTTAAAAAACAATTTATTACTGCCGTTGTCGTTGTTTTAAGAAATGAATAATTTACTCCCTAAATTATCAAGAGCTGCAAGAGCTTCGACTGACCTAGATACCAAAAGAAACTTTAGCAAGCTAAAATCCTCACATTCAGTGAAAATTGAAAGGTATGATCAAATTGAAATTATTTCACAATACATTTCAATGCCGAATTATATTTCAGATCAACATGGCCTGACGTAAAGAAATTTATCTTAAAAAACGTGGAAGATAGGAAACAAGTACAATTTATTGAAAAGTGCCTTCACGAATTATGGCTTGAAACTAAGGAACTCACAAATAACGAAGAATCTTCAGATCTTATTGATGACTTGTCAATCTTCCTTCTTCGTTTGTTTTTGAATCAGAAACATGTTTTGGTCAAGCATACGGCACAGTTGAAGACTTTTTTTGGTGATGTGTCAAAAAAGCAAGCAAATCATATTTTGGATATTGTCACTGCCATAACGAGTACATTAAATGAGGATGTACTTGAAAAATTACAAAAGTTTATTTCAGAAGATTCTGAAATGTTTGAAGACGAGAAGAAAAAAATTTTCGGTGATTCCATCAAGTTCAATTTATTGTCAGATTATTGCCAGGAAACTTTCTTTCTTCATGATTTAGGACCTGCAAAATCGATTGCTTCCAATTCTATCATTGACGCTTTTTCAATGAAATATGAAGAAAAGAAAGAACCCGAAATTATTCATCAGAACTTTGACCGTTCCTGGCTTGTTACAAGAGTAAATTCTGATGTGTTAGAGCCACTCATTGTGACATTAAAATCAAATCGATCTAATGATGAACTACAAAACGAACTATTTGAATTGCTTGGATTTGACAATATTGAAATTATTCAAGAAATTCTCGTGAATCGTAAAAGCTTACAAAAGAATTTCGAGTCGAATGAAAGGAAGGAACAAGTAAAAGAACATTTAGTAAAAGTACAAAAAGAAGAAATCACAAAGCCAGCTCCAAATTTTCTTATGCCAGTTCTTGTGCATTCAGAAAAAGAGAAAGAACTTGAAAAATTAGCAAGAAAAGATGAAAAGAAATTGAAAAATCTGAAAGCAAATGATTTAGATGAAGATGATGAAGAATTCACCATTGCAAAGCTTCGATTAAGTCAAACGAATTCATTTCTTCAAGTGGCTCAAAGAGCGCCAGTTATCGTAGAGAAAAGTACGAATTGGATTTATAAAGTCGCTGCACGAGCAACTCCAAATTATCCTTTTGTCTTTGATTCCAATAAAGATGCGAAAGCTCATATTGGCTTCATTTCATCGACGAAAATTCTTCTCCCAGCAGACACAGCAAGAAAAGACAATCAAATGTTTGAAGAAGTGACAATACCAGCAAAAGAAGCTCCAAGTGATCTCGCAGTTGGCAACAAACGAATTCAAATCGAATCACTTGATGACATAGGACAAATTGCTTTCAAAGGAACGAAAGAACTCAACCGAATTCAAACAATTGTTTATCCAACAGCTTATCACACGAATGAAAACCTTTTAATTTGTGCACCAACAGGGGCTGGAAAAACAAATGTTGCCATGTTGGCAATCATTAACACTATCAGAGCTCACACTGATCAAGGCGTTATTCATAGGGACCAGTTTAAGATTGTTTATGTAGCGCCAATGAAAGCTCTTGCCGCTGAAATGACAGAAAACTTTGGACGAAAGTTGAAACCTTTGGGAATTTTAGTTCGCGAGTTGACTGGCGACATGCAGTTGACAAAAACTGAAATGTTAGCTACACAAATGCTTGTAACAACACCTGAGAAATGGGATGTTGTGACAAGAAAAGGCGCTGGCGATGCATCAATGATAAGCTTAGTAAAACTTCTAATAATCGATGAGGTTCATTTGTTGCACGGTGAACGAGGACCAGTTGTTGAAGCGCTTGTCGCTCGTACATTACGACTTGTTGAATCATCACAATCAATGATAAGAATTGTCGGATTATCAGCGACATTACCAAACTATATCGACGTTGCAATGTTTCTTCGTGTCAATCCAGCAATTGGTCTTTTCTTTTTCGATTCTCGTTTCCGTCCAATTCCACTGTCGCAACAATTCATTGGTGTCAAATCATTAAAGACAATGCAAGCATTAAGTGACATGAATACAATTTGCTATGACAAATGCATTGAACAATTGAGAAACGGAAAGCAAGTCATGGTGTTTGTTCATGCAAGAAATGCTACAACACGAACTGCAATGGTTTTAAGAGAAATGGCACAACAAAAGGGCCATACGTTGATATTCAGTTGCGAGAAAAGCATGGAATACACGAATGCGTCTCGCATTATGTCGAAAAGTAAAAACAAGCAACTCTATGATCTCTTTCAAAGTGGATTTGGCTTTCATCATGCTGGAATGCTACGCCAAGATCGAACACTTGTCGAGAAAATGTTTGCTGATGGACTTATTAAAGTTCTTGTCTGTACAGCAACACTTGCTTGGGGCGTTAATCTTCCTGCTCATGCAGTTGTTATTAAAGGAACAGAAATTTATGACTCCAAACATGGATCGTTTGTTGACTTGGGAATTTTGGATGTTTTGCAGATCTTTGGACGTGCTGGAAGACCACAGTTCGATAAAAGTGGCTTAGGAATCATTATAACAACACATGATAAATTAAATCATTATTTGTCACTTCTTACCAATCAATTTCCAATCGAATCGAATTTTATTCAATGTCTTGCTGATAATTTAAACGCAGAAATTGCACTTGGAACGATATCGAACGTACAAGAAGCTATTGAATGGTTGAGTTATACTTATCTCTATGTTCGAATGAGATTAAATCCACAAGTTTATGGTTTAAATTATACGGATGTGGAAGAAGATCCATCATTGGAAGCGAAACGACGTCAGCTTATTCACACAGCAGCAATGGCACTTGATAAAGCGAGAATGATTCGGTATAATGAGAGAACAGGAGATTTGAACATCACAGATTTGGGACGAACTGCAAGTCACTTCTATATTAAATATGATACTGTTGAAATCTTTAATGAAATGATAAAACCGATAATGAATGAATCAGAAGTTCTCAACATGATGGCGAATGCTCACGAATTTCAACAACTTAAAGTGCGCGATGAAGAAATGGACGAACTTGATGATCTTAATCGTGATGCATGTGAAGTTCCAGTAAAAGGTGGAAGTGAGAATCTTCATGGAAAAGTTAATATTCTTATGCAAACATATCTATCACGTGGCTTTGTGAAATCTTTCTCACTTGTTAGTGACATGAGTTACATTAACCAGAATGCTGTAAGAATTGCGCGTGCCTTATTTCAAATCATTTTACGCAATAACAATCCAATTCTTGCTGGTCGTCTTCTCACAATGTCAAAGATGTTTGAACGTCAAATGTGGGATTGGATGACTCCAATGCGACAATTTACAATGATTCCATTTGATGTGATTGAAAAGATTGAAAATCGTGGTTTGAGTGTTCATGCACTGCGTGAAATGAGTTCAAGAGAAATTTCTGATATGGTTCGCAATCATAAATATGGTGACATGGTGAAAAGATTTGCACAAGAATTTCCACTTTTAAATATGGAAGCAACATTACAGCCAATTACAAGAACAGTGCTAAGAATCCGCATTTCAATAACAGCTGATTTCAAATGGAATGATCGAGTTCATGGAAAAACTTCGGAATCATTTTGGATTTGGATTGAAGATCCTGAAAATAATTTCATTTATCATTCGGAATACTTTCAATTGTCGAGAAAACAAGCATTGACGCGTGAATCACAGGAACTTGTGATGACAATACCATTGAAAGATCCATTACCACCGCAATATTATATTCGTGCAATTAGTGACACATGGCTTGGATCAAGTAATTGTGAAGCTTTAAGTTTCAAACATTTAATTCTACCTGAAATGCATCCACCACATACAGAACTTCTTCCACTTCAGCCATTGCCATTGAAAGTATTAGGTGATCCTAAATATGAGTCACTTTACAACTTTACACATTTCAATCCAATTCAGACACAAATATTCCATTGCTTGTATTACACAGACACAAATGTCCTTCTCGGTGCACCGACAGGATCTGGTAAGACAATTGCTGCCGAAATTGCAATGTTCAGAGTCTTCAATCATTTTCCTCGTGGCAAAATTGTTTACATAGCACCATTAAAAGCTTTAGTGAAGGAGAGAATGACAGATTGGAAGTTGAGATTTGAAGAAAAGCTTGGAAAAGTTGTCGTTGAATTAACAGGAGATGTGACACCAGATGCAAATGCAATAAGAAATTCGCAAGTTATTGTGACCACTCCTGAAAAATGGGATGGCATTTCAAGATCATGGCAAACACGTGAATATGTTCGTGATGTTGCTTTGATTGTAATTGATGAGATTCATTTACTTGGGGAAGATCGTGGACCAGTATTGGAAGTCATTGTGTCAAGAACAAATTTTATAAGTTCGCATACGACAAGAAAGATTCGAATTGTTGGATTATCGACTGCTTTAGCGAATGCAAAAGATCTAGCAAATTGGTTGGAGATTGGACAAATGGGATTGTATAATTTTAAACCTTCGGTAAGGCCAGTTCCATTGTCTGTCCATATTAGTGGATTTCCAGGCAAACATTATTGTCCTCGTATGGCTACAATGAATCGGCCAGCATTTCAAGCTATTAGACAGTATTCACCATGCACACCAGCATTGATTTTTGTGTCCTCGAGAAGACAAACAAGAATAACAGCCTTGGATTTGATTGCTTTCCTTGCTGGTGAAGATAATCCAAAACAATTTCTTAATCTACCTGAAGACGAACTTGATCAAATTCTTATGGGAATCAAAGACAATAATCTGAAGCTAACACTTGCATTTGGAATTGGACTTCATCATGCTGGATTACAAGAGAAGGATCGTAAAGTTTGTGAAGAACTTTTTTTAAATCGAAAGATTCAAATTTTAATTGCTACGTCGACACTTGCTTGGGGCGTTAATCTTCCAGCTCATCTTGTGATAATAAAGGGAACTGAGTTTTATGATAAGAAGATTAATCGTTATGTTGACATGCCGATAACTGATGTGCTTCAAATGATGGGAAGAGCGGGACGACCTCAATTTGGTAATGAAGGAATTGCGTGCGTGTTTGTGCATGATGTGAAAAAGAATTTCTATAAAAAATTTCTTTATGATCCATTTCCTGTTGAATCAAGTCTTTTGGCTGTTCTTCCTGATCACATCAATGCGGAAATTGTTGCTGGAACTGTCACTACAAAACAAGGAATTCTTGATTATCTCACCTGGACTTACTTTTTCCGAAGACTTTTAAGAAATCCGAGTTATTACAACATGGAAAGTGTTGAAACTGATGACATCAATCGATTTTTATCACAACTCATTCAAAATGTCCTCGATACACTTCAAGCTGCTGGATGTGTTCAAATGGATGATGATGAGAGAACAATTTACGCAACGAGGTGAATTATTAATAAATTTGATGTTGAATGTCTCAACATTTCATTCATTTGATCAAAAATGGTAAAGTTCTATTTTATTTTAACATATTTTTTAATTACAAAACAAACAGCATGGGAAGAATCTCTTCATATTATTATCTAAGTCATCAAAGCATGAGACATTTTGCTGATACTTTGAGTTATTCGTCAAGCAGTGAAGATGTGCTAAGAATTATGTGTGATGCTTATGAGTTCGCTGAACAGCCAGTTCGTCACAACGAAGACAAATATAATGAGTAAGTTAGGATTAAGAAACAAATCATATGAAATTAATTTTAAATTCTTTTATCAGAGAACTTTCAAAAATATGCCGTTTAAAAGTCGATCCTTTGACCTTTGACAATCCACACACGAAAACGTTTCTTTTGATGCAAGCTCACTTCTCACATCTTCCATTGCCAAATACTGATTTTGGAACAGACACAAAATCCGTGCTTGATCAATCGATTCGTGTTCTTCAAGCAATGATTGATATAACAGCTGAGAATGGATGGCTCGCAACGACTTTAAGGATTCAATTGTTGATGCAGAGTGTCATGCAAGCAAGATGGCAAGATGATCCAATTGCGATGTGTTTGCCTTATGTTGATAAAAACAATTATTATGTCTTTAATGACATAAAAGTCGAGTAAGAATTTAATGCGTTTGTTTAAAAGAAATTTCAAAATTTATTTAATCTTTATTAGTTATCACGTGTTGACGTTGCCTTTATTGAAAGAAAAATGTCTGAAGAATTATGAAAGTCTTGCTAGACCTTTAAGAAAGGAATTTAATGAACCAGAGATCGAGCAAATCTTCAAAGTCATCAAAGAGTTTCCAACAATAAATATTGAAATAAAACTTCGTGGATCTTTACGAGATGAATGTGAGGTTGATCGAGTGATTCGTCAACCATCTGATTACAAGACATGGCATGAAGTTCATGCTGGTGAAGAATATACTTTGATAGTGAATCTTCATCGACTTGGCCTTAAAACTTCAAATCACATTTATTGTCGTTTTCCTAAGCCGAAGAATGAAGGTTGGTTCTTAACTTTAGGTGAACAAAATAATGGAGAATTGCTGGCATTGAAACGTGTTTCTTACAAGAACAATCGAAGTTCTCATCCGCTCACATTTTCTGCCCCCACAAAGCTCGGCAATGTCATCTACACAATTTACTTCATATCTGATTGTCAGATTGGCTTCGATCAACAATTCAATCTTCAACTTCGTGTGATTGAAGGAAGAAAAGAAAAACCACAAAATTTCCAAGAAGAATATTTTTCCATCGATAAATAAACACAATCAGATTAAGTTTTGTTATATTTTACTGCTGTTGTTGGCAACAATAAAAGATTGAAACGTATTTTATTTTGATTTTTTATCAACCAAGCTTTGAACAATTTGATCTAATTTTTCTGTGAATGCTTCAAATGAAAAGCGTTGTTCGACTCTCTTTCGACCCATTTCACCCATTTTTTCTCCAAGCTTCGGGTTTTTAATGATTCTTGCAGCGGCATTAGCAAAATCTTCCGGTTCAGCTTCACAAAGGAAGCCAGTTTGTTCGTCAACGATAGTCTCCGTTGGGCCACCACTACTTACAGCAATGACAGGACGTTTCATATACATTGCTTCTAGAGGGACAATTCCAAAGTGTTCATTTGTTGGAGTGTAATATAAGAGTTTACATTGATGTAAAAGCTTCACTTTGACTTCATCAGATGGCGAACGTTCAAACGTTACTTTATCCTTCAAACCAAGATTTTCCATGATGACCAATAACTCTTCGTAATGCTCACGATTTTCAGTATTTAATGAATCATACCCACCCGCAATAACAAGATGAAGTCGATCCCATTCATGTTTAGTCACAATCCGCTCTAATAACTTGAAAGATTTCAAAGCCAAGGGGAGATTCTTTTTTCGTTCGTAACGATTAATTGATAACAAAACAATTGCATTATCATGAATATCATTTGAAAGTACTTCAGTGTTATCGAATGATTTTGTAACCAATGATGGGTATAAGACGTCTGGTGTAACGTTGAGACTTTTGAAAGTTTCACTAAAGACGCGACTGGTGAATTTGCTGTTTACAAGAACTCCATCAGCGGCTCCTGTAGTTTTCTCTTCTAAGTAGTTTAATGGCATTCGGTATATCGTCTTTAAAATGCCCCCAGGCTTGGTTAACAACTGATCAGGGAAGTGACAATAAAACAATATTTTTGGCGAGCGATGAGTTAACTTTAGGATTGGAATTCCTAGAGAAATGAGATCACAGAAAATGACATCAACCGGTTCTTCTTTGGATTGGAACAACACGACATAGAATGCAGCATAAACCATTCGAAAGTAAGCACAGAAAGCGTAAAACTTTCCAAAAATACTTCTTGGAAGCCAATCACCGACAACTCTTACCCGCAAACTTCCATTGCGAGTTTCTTCGAAACAATGAGTGGGATCATGGTGATTTGTCAGGAAGCTAACTGTGTGGCCACGATTTTGAAGGGCAATAGCAGCATCGACAACCAAACGCTCAGCACCACCGATTCCAAGATCTGGATGAAGAAAAAGTAATCTCATGTCTGTTGAGATAAATTCTGACGTGGCGACCGGAAAATGATGATTTCTTATTAATGTTTGTATTTGATTTAACACAACTTAACAATCTATATATTCACTACAATTATATTTCCTTAATTAATTTCGTTTCATAAAATTTTAGAAAATAAAACTTACTTGAAAATTCGCCCAAAAAACGTCAACAAAAGTGGAGAGATTTTTCCATATTATGTTGCAGCAATGTGGCGGAGACTTCATTTTTGTGTTGTAGAGATTTTCAAATTTTACAGCATTCTGGAGATTACAGACTTCTGTAACCGTCAAATCGACTTGACAAAAAATCAAAGAAATTTAATCTTACTTTAATAGGTATATTATATAAGTAGGTATTAAGGTGTTCAAAAGCATTTTTATTGTTTAAGTAAAGAAAGATTTAACTATTGTAAAATACTAGAAGTATTTTAAAATATTTTCATTTATTTAAGAAGCTTTTATGCAAAAGCTTTCAAATGTCTAAAAGTATTGAAAAGCTTTTAATGCTTTTAATGCATAAAATCATAAATAAATTTGTATTCTATATAAAAACATGAACAAACCAGGAAAAGTCTTTGAAAATTAGTCAGCATATGTGCTATTGCAGCATTTTAATACATTGTATATACGAAAATGTCTAGCTCGTCACATTCAACTGTTTTAAAAAACCATAAGCATTAGCACTCTTGAACATACCAACTTGTCAGCATTATTTAACTCAACTTTAAATCATTTAAGTGACAAATTAAAGGCAGTTCTATTTTAGTTGTTGATCAGTGAACATTTCTTCCATTCAAATAAATTAAGTTGGTGATAGTTTTAATTAGAAAAAACAGAAAGAAGGTATAAAAAAAGATACCAGCAATTCCTAAACTTAAGTGATTAAAAAATAATTTTCAGATGGTGAAAGTTATGCTTTCTATTCTTGTGATTGCCTTGATTTCCAAGGTAAATTCGCAAATGGAAATGCCAATGGACATGCAAAATTTTATGGAAGCTCACAATCAGGGACAAATGCCTCCAATGAATCAAGAAATGCATCAAATGCAACAAGAACACGAGCCCATCGTTGGATCACCACTTGGATTAGGCTTAGGAATGCTAAAGCTTCATGCATTGAACCCATTAAATCCACTTAATATTCTTCCTATTCCTGGAGCTCGAGCAAGTCATTTAAGTCTTGGTCGAATCGGAAAACTTCATTATGGGCATCATTTGCTAGGAGCTGCTAATCCATTTGCTGATGAATCAGAGGCTGAAATGGGACTGGAGCAATATCATCAAGTTGAACCTCACCTCGCAGCTCCCCAACAAGAACATGGTTTCTTACCTTTGTTCATAAACGAAGCAGAACAAATGGTCGGAGCGCCAATTCCACAACACATGATGCAAGCTGATCAAATGCCAATGAATTTTCCACCACCTCAAATGCATCAACAACCCATCCAGCACAATCCAATGCAAATGAGAGCTGATCAAATGCCTCAAATGATGCCACAAGAACCTATGGAATTTATTATCCCACAAATGGAACCACAACAAATTATGGATATTATTCCTCAACAAATGATGGATATTATTCCCCAACAAATGATGGATACTATTCCCCAACAAATGCAACCTATTGGTCCACCAATGCGCATGGATGCTATGCCAATTCCTCATCCCGAAGATATGCATACACAACATGAAAGAACTTGGGGAAAATGGTATAAAGGATATTCCAAAGGTGACGACGATTACGGCTATGACAAAGGGTAAGTTTTCTTTAAAATATTATTTACTTACATAGTAGACATTTTTTTTTTTCATTTTTAGATATGATAAAGGCAAAGGATATAATAAAGGTTACGACAAGGGTTATGACAAGGGGGGCTATGACAAGGGGTAATTGTTATTTATATTTTTATTTACTTATTTAGTAGACGATTCATTTTTTCATTTTCAGATATGATAAAGGAAAGGGATATGGCAAAGGTTACGGGCACGACAAAGGGTTAGCTTTTCTAATTTTACTTTCATAAAAACCTATTATTTCTTTATTCAGAAACATTTCTTAATTTTTACTTCACTTAGATATGGAGGTGGTTACGGAAAAGGATATGGCCATGATGATTACGGAAAGGGATACGGTGGTGGTTATGGAGGCGGCGGAAATGATTACGGAAAAGGATATGGCCATGATGATTACGGAAAAGGATATGGCCATGATGATTACGGAAAAGGATATGGTGGTGGTTATGGAAGCGGCGGAAATGATTACGGAAAAGGATACGGTGGTGGTTATGGAGGCAGCGGAAATGATTACGGGAAAGGATACGGAAGTGGTGGAAAAGGATACGGTGGTGGTTATGGAGGTGGTGGAAATGATTACGGCAAAGGTTATGGCGGTGGTTACGGAGGCGGTGGAAATGATTACGGAAAAGGATATGGCGGTGGTTATGGAGGCGGTGGAAATGATTATGGAAAAGGATATGGAAGTGGAGGAAATGATTATGGAAAAGGATATGGCAGTGAGTATGGAAGTGGTGGAAAAGGATATGGCAGTGGGTATGGAAGCAGTGGAAAGGGCAATTCATATGGTGGCGGGTGAGTCTTAACTATTTTCTGTAATACTTTTTAAAATCGTCGTATTTTTTCATATATTATAGTTATAACTCTTATGGTGGTGGGTCCTACAGTGGGTAAGTCAAACTAAATTATTTTCATCTATCAACATTGTTGATGTATGTAAGTATATCTTCTTTCAAGTCCCGCAAAGGTGTTTTACCAGAACATTTATCAGGGGTAATTGTTTGATAACAATTTCTACATATCTAATATCTTATGAATTTTTTTTCAACAGTTATCGAGAAAATCCAGTGACAGAAATTGCAACCTTATCAAAAGTTGAGGTAGGTAAGGGCAAAATTATTTTCAAAAATATTTCCAATTTATATTTTCTGCATATATATTTTTTTAACTCAAGGTCAAAAAGCAATAAAATCAGATACAGCGTTTCCATCCAAACCCCAACCAATGCCATGTGAGTTAGAAAAATCCAATGAAAATTCTAAACTTGGAGCTTATCATCATGTAAAGAAAGACTTAGCAACATCAACAACGTCGACAACACCATCTACAACAAGCGTACAATCAACAACAACAACAACGCCAGCAACAACATCAACAACGACAGTTACACCAAAATCATTTAGTCGAATTCGTAGAAGTTTGAAAAATTTAACGCCATTAGGAGGAAAACGTTGTATTAAAGATTTATTTAGTCATCGACCATTATTCAGTGCACCATTTCCCAATGCAATTCTCGGAGCTCCTGTACCTTCACTAGATAACGAAAGGTATGAACATGTCCCAAATAGTCCATCTTCGAATATCCAATCGAGTGTGGGTGATTATGATGATAATATAGCTGAAGGAACATTTTGTCATTCTGTAAAAGTGAAAAATGATTTTCCGGGAATAGCGTTAAATGATGGAAAAAAACATTTTAATTTATTTTCAAAAATATCTTCTGCTTCAAAAACTGAAAATTTATTCCATGGTAATATCCCAAACAGTGTTGAAAGTGATGAGAACAAAGCGAAACAGTCAAGTGATTCATATTATGAAAGCTTTAGATTACCTCCTGTGGTACAGCCGATTGTTCCTATCAAAGATGTCGCTGAATTCGAACCACATGATTATCTTCCATCTTACGAGTATTTTCCCAAACAATCGACTATGGATCAACAACAAATAGTTGATGTAGCGCCGAAGGATAAAAGTTTTCATGACAATTCCGATATCACTTTTCATGGACCAACTGCTTTTAAATCAACTCCATTTTACGATCATCAATTGCCTTCAAATCTTCAACCTGTTGATAACGAAAGATTTCTTTCAGAAAGCAATACACAAACCTCATTACATGACACCAAAGATGTTCACGATACTACTTTAAATTGTCGTTGTGATTCCGAACAATTCGAAGAACTTCTAAGCCACATGCATTCAAGTTATTCGCAGTTCCATGATGGAATGTTGCAATTGTTTGATACTTTCAAATCTCAAGCAAATTGCGGATCTTCAAATAAATTACCTTTAGATACAAATACGATAATTAAAGATTCTTCGAGTTCATCATCACATTCTAATTTTAATGTAGAGACGGAATGTTATGACAAAAATGTAGTGAATGCTGATCCAATTCTGTCAAAAAAATGTCATGAAGCTTTTGATGAGTCGCTAATTAATCCTTCTTCAGGATATTATGACCCACCAGGTGTCGATGTTAATAAAAATGGAGGCTACAAAAATCAATTTTTAAGTTACACAGATTTTATTAAAATGATGCGTAATGTCAACACAAATTCTGGTACTGTGTTGAGTAGTTCTTTCGATCTAAAAGATGACGATGATGATGATGTCAATGGAGACAACAGTAATGAAAGAGTTGGAAGTCAACTAACAGAATATGTTCGTAATTTTGTGCCACCAGAACCAGTTGTGGCAGCTCCCGATCCATCTGTTGAGCCTGTTAGCGTAGGAAATCAAAATCCATGGACTAGATTTAATTTTCAGAAATTTTTAGGAGATCTTAAACCCAAAGCTAAACTTTAGAAACTTGTAATAAATTATCACATAGATTGGATAGTATAGTTTTATTCAATAAAAAATTTTTGTAGAAGAGAAAATTTTCTTATCTAATATATTTTCAATGAATTAATAGACTTTTCCTTTCTTTACAGTGGTGATGGGATTGTAGCAACACATATAAACGATTATGAAGATATTGTAGGAGCTCCGAAAAGTGATATAGAAGAGATCAGAAATGCGATAAAATTACTTCCACCAGCACCAGAAATCAATCTTCCATCATTTCAAACAGCTTCACCTCAAAAAAATCTTAGAGAACGGCTTATGAAACCTTACTTTGGTGTTCACTCAGAAAAGCAGTGGGATAAGAATGCATTCATGGGAAGAATCATGGGACCAATCGAAGATATTTATTTTGAATTCTTACCCAACCTTGAAATGGTTCAGAAACTTAATATTAAATAATGATGATCGCATAATCACATAAATAAGCTCAAAATTCATTTTTTTCTTTTGGATTTTTCTAACTTTTCTCTTTTCATTATTATCAATTTTATTGAAGTAAGTTTTTTTGTATTTTTTTAAAAATAAATTATCGCCAATTTTGTAGCAAAACTTTAATTTTCGTTTCGTTTTATGAACTTAAATTTTTAAATTATTTGATCGTTGTCATCGGAAAATTAAGCTGGAAAATTCTCTATATCCCTGACGGATCGAACTTGTTGCTGATTGAACAGGAGCAACATTCTCAATAAATTGTGCAACATTCTGTAATGTTCCACCAATTGACGTAAACACTTGTTGTGGGTTCACAGCGTTGACCTAGAAAAAATATTATAAAACAAAAAAAATGTTAATGTTTTCTGTTACACTCGCAAATTTTCTGCAATAATTACAAAATCCTGAAGTTTGTTGACGACAGTTCCCCAAAAACCAGGTTGATTTATACCAAAATTGTCTTGATAACCAGGTCGATTGTAATTCGGATTGTTGGAGTAAGTTGGACGGTTATAACTTGGATTGTTGGAGTAAATTGGACGGTTAAAATTTGGTGGATTAGCGAATAACGGTGGACGATTTATTATCACTGTTTGTGGATAATTTCCAGTTCCTTGATAGACACCTGCTGGTGCAAGTGGTGCTGGAACACCAAAATCTAATAATCCACCTTGTCCAAAAAGGCCGAGCCCACCACTTCCAAATAATCCGTTATTGCCTAATAAACCTCCACCGCCCCCAAAAATACCATCTTCATCTAACAGACTACCGCCACCTAAGCCGGGTCTATGACCAGGTCGATGTCCATAGCTTATTGGAATGCATGGATATCCACCATAAGGTTGATACTGAACATTTTGCCCATAATTTTGTGAAGATGATGGCTTATCATATTGAGGCTTTACATTGTCTGAAAGTTCTCCTTGATATGATGTGTAGCCAGGCCCATAATAACCAGGCGCGTAGTAACCCAAGCCAAAGAAATCAAAAGTTTTTCCACCTTCCGCATTTGAATTAATGTCGCGCTTCAAGCGATTTGTATAAAGTGGCGATCCAGCTGACTGAATAGGAACACAGGGACGACGAACACGCTTCTTTTTCTTCTTCACTCTGTTTTCGTTTAACAAATAATTATTTAGGAAATCGTTGTAGTTAGTGTAATGCTGTTGATTACTGTTGCTAATCACAGGCTTGTCGGTTTGTTGATCATCATAATCATTATCGTTGTTAGCGACAATGTCATCAACTTCTATTTTATTAGCATATGGCGGAAGACGATTAAAGAAGGAATTTGGTCGACGAGCTGACACGTTGATATCGTCATAAGCAGTTTGTGCTGAGCTGTATGATGGTGTTACATGATTGTCAACTGGAACTGTTATTGGTGCAAGTATCACTGAACTAGTGCACAACATCAATGTTACTAATGATACACTTTTCATAGTTATTGTCTTATCTATTGCATAGAGTTTTTCAATGTTCCCATTCTGATTTTATATCTCACTTTATTCTTAAAAAAAATTTTTTTTGGTTTACGAAATTATTGAATAATTATTCAAATTTGAGATCACAAAATATGTAACTCTCAGAGCTTTTTTAAAGCTTTTTTCAAACCTTCCGAGATAAATTTCACCAACTGACTGAATTGAAAAGCAAAACATTTCCAGCCTTTTCGTGAAATCTGAGTAAATCGAAACCGTGCGAATGCTTCTTGTTTCGCTCGCGTTCGTAACGGTGCCTCTTTCTCCAACCAACGGTGATTCTAAGACGACGAGAGTATTTTCTCATTTCTTAGTGAGATTACCTTCACGCAAGAAAGAAACAACAAATCAACGTCGTTCAAGTTGGTTTGTTGAAATGAAAGTGAAAACGAAAAAGTGTGACTTCATCATCTAAAATAAAAGAAAGAAAGAAAAAAATGTGGGAGAGAAGGCAACAAACAAACAGCTGAAATAGGCATCATGGGATTTGCTTTTAATTTAAAATCTCGCGAATAAGCAACACATCGCTAAATGACCGACAAAAGATGACATTATGTAACAATAAACTGTAAAAAATGTCACATCGTTTTGCCATGGACATCAAATAGATGTGGGTGTTCTCCTTGTCTTACTTACTGAATATTCTTTTCAAATCACTTTCATAGAAGTTGGAAAAAAGATAATTGAAAGTCTTCAACATAATAAATGAACAACCTAAAATTGAATGAAAATTGTAATTACATTTTTATGCTTCAAATGTTTCAACGCTTCGCCAGGGATCATCTGGAGATTGCATAACGTTATGCGAAAAAAAAACTCTTTTTTGCCATCTCTTGATCATCTTTTGTTCATTTCGCATGAGTCGTAATTATTGTCTTTTTTTCGCAGAAAACTTTTGAGACATTCATGATTATCAACGCTATTTATTTAACTTGAAAATTTACAATAGAAATAAAATTGCTGTAATTAAATAGTTTCAGTTTCCAATAAAGGGTTTATTGATATGTAAGTGAAGTTTCTTGAACTTCTCTACAAATAAAAAACAACAGCATGAAAACAAATAAAATTTTGTGCAATCTCAGTTTTCGGTGGAATAATTCTCGTGACATACTTATAGATAACTTGTTTCGAATGACATATTTTTCAACTTCATACGTCAATAAATGTTTTTAATCGTCAAATAAGGAGATTGTGAAACACTTAAAATCCCTGAGTGAATTATGAGTTATCCATTATATGGAAAAATGTGGATTACCACTAAAAATGATCTGAGGAACGTCATATTGCGTGAAAAAGTTCTGTCATTGATAAAACCAACACAAGATCGAAACATTGTTCATAGCACAATTGGAAATCTTTTTTCTCGCTACATAATTCTTGTCAATAATTTATCAGCAATTTATGATCAAACTTTACAAGTTCAAAAACGACCAGTGATTGAAAAACTTTTGATGTCATCAACAAAACGTCTACTGGAACTTCAAAAAGAAATGCAAAAAATTGAGATGAGTAACTTTACGTATATAGACGATGCTTTGGTGGAGTTGAAGTGGACAACTCAAAATATTGAGTTTCTCCGTCCATTTTACTTTCCACGAAAAAGAAATATTGAAATTCAACAAGTTGTAGATGAAATTCCTATTGAAGAAGAAATCTTCGAAGAACTGAAAGGACCATCAAAATTCAGAAAGATATTAACTCAAGAAGAAATTGCTAGCGAACGTCGTAAAAAAACATTACGAGATGCAACAAATTTGATTATTACTCATGAAAAAGCAAGACAAGATCGGATAAGATTCTTAAACTTAAAGCTGTTTCCTGAAACTTACAAAATATTACCACGTGAACCAGAATCATTTCCTTATACATTTACGCATAAGCCGGATCAAATTCCGTTACATAAAATAAAACGCACAAAGTATCATATCAATTTCTATCTTCCTAAGATCGATTACACCAAGTTCAAGTTTTATGAGCCTCCAATTTATCGTATAAATCGTCTTGGACAAAAAGTCATTGATACAAGAAAAAGTTCGGCGTTTAACTTAGAATCACATGAAGAGCATCGCGAAGATTCAGAAGAAATATCTAATGCTAACATGATTGAAAAATACGCTCAAATGAAAGCTGAAGAAGAATCCAAGCTACTGCGAAGTCAGTACAATGCTGCTTCTATCATTCAACGAGCTTTCAGACGATATCAAAGAAATAAAATTTTGAAAAAACAAGAATATGATCGCTTAGCACTTTGTAATTTAGTTGAGATACCAGTTGATCCTGATAAGCCAGATTGGAAGGTTATTCAAGAAGAACTGCGTAAAAAAAGACGTGACCGTAAGAAAGAATTTGATGAAAAATTCATTAAAGCGCTTGAAGATGAAAAAGCTCGTATATTGAAACTCAAATCACATTTGATCATGGAAGACATAACTGAAGATATTCGTCAATGGTTTCGAGAGTTCTACGACGGTGCGCAAGATTTTCACACTTATCCGGAAGAGTTTGAAGAAGGGACAATTATGGTTATGCGCGGGGAAACAAAAACTGTCGAAGAATTCATAATTGAGAAAAATAAAACACCAGCTGAAAAAGCCAAAGAACGTGCGGATAAGAAGAAACAGAAAAAGGAAGAAAAAAATTTTAAAAAGAAACAAGCTGACAATGAGAAGAAGTTAGAAGAAATAAAGAAGAAACTTGAAATTAAACAAGGGCCTACGTGGGATTTTTCTGAAAAGAAAAAACAATCGAAAAATTTTGGTTACTAACTATGCTTAAATTCTAATTAATAAATATTTTATTAAATTTCTTTTTATTTAGAGGATCTTCAGGAGTCTTTCAACGTTTATGAGCATGAATGGAAGTTTATTAATGAAATAAAAAATAGACACGAGGTCCCGATTTGGGACTGGGTTACTATTGACGCTTATGCTGATGTTCATAAAGAGCTTCGACTTATTGTCGATGATTTCATGCGTATCGAGTTGGAACTTTTGCGTGTGGCTTTAGCGATCGATAATGAGACAAAGTACGTTCCTCCAAAGCGGAAAAAAGAAAAGAACAAAAAGAAGAACAAAAAAAAATGTCTATTGACGTTACTGAAGGGCGAAGCCTTAAAGATTGTTATGAAGAATTAAAATCTTTTAATGTGAGATTTCAATAACATTTACTAAATTAACCTGATTTCAATTTCTCAATATTAAAGATTATTCGAAAGTATACAAAACGGTCCTTGGATGATTTCATTGGCGACGAAAACTACGCAGCGTACGAGTTGAGAAAAGCAAACAAAAATCCGTTGCCACATTATGGTGACTATAAAAATATTCTTCGAACTATGGTGATTGGAATGGGACCACTTGAGCAACCTAGATCAAAATCAATTTGTATTGTTGGTCCGCCGAAATGTGGGAAGAAATTAATTACTGAAGCCTTGTGTACAGAAATGGATGCAGTTATTTTTGATTTAAGTGCATCTAACATAACTTCTATTGATGATGTTCCTGCTTTTCTGACCTTTGTCATGCAGATGGCACAAAAACTTCAGCCATCAGTAATTTTTATTGATGGCGCACATAAGCCTTTCATAACTAAAATTCCTCCTGAAGAAGTTAAGGAAGATCCAAAAAAACTTGGAAAATTTTTGAAGAAATACGTTTACATGAATATCAAATCTGAAGACGCAGTAATGATGATAGGAACTACAAATCAACCATGGAACTGCTCTTATGCTGCTATGAAACAATGTTTCGAAAAGTTTATAACATTTCCACCTCAACTTGATTATGGTACAGCTTTGATGGCATGGAACAAAGGATTACGATCAAAAAAAGTTTATAATTTAGATGTTTCTCCATTGGCAAAAGTGACACAAGATTTTACTGTTGGAGATATTTTAGACTTTATTGAACATTTTCTTAACTTAACAAGACGGATGAAGTGTGTAAAAATAGTATCAAAATTTCAGCTAATTTATAATTTGAAAATATTTTTAGCTTGAAAGTGAAGCCTTTAACATCAAAAGAGCTACTTGATGAATTCTTGCAATCAAAGATTCCGCTTGATGATAAGGTTTTTATTAATATTTTTAATATTATATTTTAGATATCTCATTTTGATACTTTTTACACATAAATATAGATGAAAGAAAATTTCATGAAGTTTATGCGTAAAACCGATCCATACACAAGCGAACTACAAAGAACAATGCAACGTGAGCAAGCGATTATCGACAAGGAAAAAGAAAACGAAGCAAAGAAAGCTGAATTGGCTAAAAAAAAGAAATCAAAAGGAGGAAGAAAATGAATTTAATTGAAGAGTTTCCTAAATTTTGAAGATGAATCATTTTGTTGTGATTTCATGAATCAGCAAAATTAATATAAATAGAAATATGTTAGACGAAATTTATCAAAAATAATCCCACAATTTTCCGCTTTTTGTCACGAGGCAACCAACTGAAAAGAAAAGCATTAGAAATTTTAGCATTGTTTGTTCGCATTAATTATGAAATTTTTTCTGTCATCAGCATAATTCATTTAATCCAATTTAATTTCATAATTAATATGGAATTGACAAAATTACGAAAGTGTTTCTTGATAAATAAAAAGAAGAAATGAACATTTAATAAAATCACTTTTTGCTCATTTTATGAACAAGCAACATTTAGACACCCACAAATAATTGTGAGTTTGTCGCAATTAGATACATGTTAATAAAATAGTATTCAGCGAAAATGAATGAAGTTATTAACAATTTCATCATTTGATTTTGTAATTTATTCCATTAAATTTTGCAGTTCTACAATTTTATAAATGTAAATAAAGCTGAGTCATGAGAGCTAAACAATTAATTGTATTGATATTAAATACTTACTTACAATTGATTTACCACCGAAAATTATATCATAAACCTACTCGAAATGAGGTTCAGGATTATTTATCGCTTATTAATTTATTATAAAAAATGCAACTTCTTGACAATGACCCAATCTCAGCACAAAAACCTTTTCAAGATTCATCAGTTGTCTCGTAATATGTAAGCGCGTAACTTTTGTCTTTAAAATGAAATTGAAAGTTAAAATACTCAATTTGACATTCATCTTGATGCGAAAATAAAATTGCGAAGCGAAAGCCACCCACAAGTCGTCTCAGATAACAAACCAAATCTGGACAGTGACACGGTTTATATCTTTCGGATATGGCAATCTTCATAAAGATGTTGTTTAACTTGCGAGATCAACGATTCAAGCCTTTTTCTTTTACTAGAATGAGGTTGATAAACAATCGTCATGCCATCAACTTTGTTGTGTTGTAAATTTAATCTTGAATAGTTAGCGGAAGAAGAAATTTTAATTTAATGATAAGTTAATTTTCCGTCAAAACATTTCCCTTCGACTCAAATATCTCGACCTTGCTGCTTCTCATTCACGTAATTGGTTTCTCACTTAGTCATGTACTTTATGAACAGAAGCACATAAATTAAGTAAATCAGCTTTTGAATAAATAATAATACTTCAGAAACTTTTGAATAAACACAAAAATAATGAATCTTTATTGTCTACATTTCGTTTTCGTAGAATTTAAAAAAAGCTTATTTCGTATTCGTTTTTATGATCGAGTGACAATATTTTGATGAGAAATACAAAGTTTAACATTCTGTCATCATAAAAAATGGTATCATCTTAAAATTATTGACATGAAAAGAAGTTGATGTATGAAAACATTTAAGGAAATTTCAGAATTTAAATGCAGATTTTTATAATCTGTTAAAGCTTAAATTTGTGTTTTTGATTTTTTTAAAAAGGATAATCATAGCGTTTTATCACATTTAGATGGAACGATGTGTTGATGGTCACAGGTTAGCACTGATATGTTAAAATTTAAATGTAACAGACAACAATTTGGCTTGATTCGAACAATGAGATTTTTGTTAGTTCTTTAAGTCATTATCATTACTTCTAGAGATTATTCCCCCTCCGAATCCACCTAAACCACCTGAAATATCAGGTGAAGTCACCATCGAAAAGAGATTGGTTGGAGATAATTAACTTATTTCTTGTAATATCCACCTCCGTAGCCGCCATAAGAGCCGTAGCCAATATTTGGACGGTAACCTAAATTATTTTATTATTAATTTTCACTTATATCCACATTTTAAAGTATTTGTGCCTTACCTCCATAACCGAGTCCACCTAATCCTCCATATCCACCATATCCGCCTGGATAACCTGTAAGGAATGAGATAATTAAGTTAGAAAATTATATTATCTCCTTTCAGTCTTAAAATGCTCGAATTTTGTTAAGAAGCGAGTTCGTAAATTCAGTGGATCTTATTTACAACGTTTTTGAGGGAGGTGCGAATTAAGATTGCACATGCTTCATATTAGATTATTAAAGATTGTCGATCTTTAATAAAATAATGTATATTAAGATTACCTCCATATCCTGAGCTGATTCCACCATAGCCTGATGGAAAAAAAATCCAATTAAATATCAAAAAGTAGGTAAAGTTTTCGAAATTTAGTTAATGGACTGCTGGTAATGCCATATTTAAAATGAACCCAATATTTTATTACATTTGAAAGATCACGCGAATTCATTTAAAAACTAAATGGTGGGCTTTATTCATTTGAAAAGTTTCCAATATTTATCAATTGCATAACTTTTTCAAAATGTAAGAATAAGATATTTGAGAATTTCACAACTTTATGTGCTTAAACTCACCTGGTCTATAACCGCCATAGCCTTAGAGGATGAATTTTCCATAAAAATTAAAATGTTCACTTCTCTGCTGATAAATAAACTTTAATCTTCCCTCCATAACCGGAGCTGATTCCGCCATAACCTGAAGAAAAAAAGTTTGAAATAAATAAATTTGAAAGATGACACAAATTCACCAACAAATTTCAAGTAGGGCTTTAATCAATTGAAAATCTTTCGAAAGAAACAAGTAAGTCAAAGGATTTGACGATACCACATGATCATAATTTTTTTCTTAATGTTGTAATAATATTTTCAAACATTCCAAAAAAGTGGCATAAGAAAATTTAATGTTTATTGAACTAATAACTATGTCACTTTAAGTATTAAGTAAATAATAAAACTACTAAAAGTTTATATCTGAATTATAACTTACCTGGTCTATAACCACCATAATTTCCATAACCGCCTGAAAAGATATTTTCATTAGATTTTAATTTTATTTATCAAGGAGATGTAAGTTTTTTTAAATTAAAAACATCCTTGGGAAGAATAGGATTCTCATAGGAATTGAATCGATCATTACTGATGCGTACCATAATAAGGATAGCCTACAACAAAAAATAAAATTTGTCATGTTTTAAAAAGAGTTTTCAAACTCATGACTAACTTTAAATTTAATTCAAAAATTCAATTGAAGTGAAACTTACCACCATAACCTCCGCCGTGTCCACTGCCTATAATGTGAAATTATTTGATAGTATTAAATTTGATCGATAAGGGAAAGAGGAAAAGGAAACATTTTGAAATCATAATACATAGTGCAATTTGTTAACAAAATTTTCAAAAAATATTTTCATTAGATTTTTGCTTTAACAAGAAATAGGTATGTAAGTTTTTTAAATTAAAAACATCCTTGGGAAGAATAGGATTCTCAAAGGAATTGAAGTGCTCATTACTGATGCGTACCATAATAAGGATAGCCTACAACAAAAAAATAAAATTTGTCATGTTTTAAAAAGAGTTTTCAAACTCATGACTAACTTTAAATTTAATTCAAAAATTCAATTGAAATTAAACTTACCACCATAACCTCCGCCGTATCCACCGCCTATAATGAGAATTATTTTATTACAATAAATTTGATCGATAAGAGAAGAGGAAAAGGAAAAATTTTGAAATCATTGTAGTGCAATTTGTCAACAAATTTTTACGACTCCTTCCATCTCGTAAATAAGAAAGATTGCATCATTACCATAGTAGGGATTATAGGGATAGCCTAAAAGAATAAAATGAGTCATGTAAGACAAATGTCTTCTTTAAAAGTGTTAAATTTGTCATGACTAATTTTTGCGTTAGAGTGAAAGCAAATTGAACTTACTTCCTCCATAGCCTCCATAGCCGCCATATCCACCTTTGAAGTAAATAGAAAAATGAATTATTTTGACACTTGCTTTTATTATTGTTGATGTAGATGATCTTTTACTTTTTATTGTGACATTGAAAAATATTTTGACGAAAACAAATTTTCTTGTAAATTTATAGATATTTCAAGACAGTCATGTGTAACTTTCCTAATTTAGGCATTTAAAATAAAATCGTCACAAATGAGGAAATTAATTTTTCTTGCGATTTTCATTTACATAACTTTAAATTAAGTCGTTGTTTCACAATTCTCTCACTTTAAACTAGTTTTAGAAATACAACTTGTTTGCCTTTTCTTTTTCATTTACTTTCAACACTTTTTCTTACCTGGATAACCGCCGTATCCACCAAGAAGGCCAAATCCAAGTGCCGACGTTGATGCAACAAACATTATCAAGAATGCAACAGTAATCTGTGAGAAAATATATTTTATTTCCTCATTATTATCATAATTTTGTTCTTTCCATTTTTTGTTCTCTTTTTATTACACTTACAAATGATCGCATTTTAATTATTTTTTTATTAGTTTGTATCCTTTTAAAAATTGTTTTTAAACAAATCTTTAAACTTTAAGCAACAGCAAACGCAAGCAACCACTCGATCTATGAAACTGTTTGATCTTCGTGTTGTGTCTAGTTTATATATGAAAAACTCTGAGCACCACGCGTTGTGTTGTAACAGAGAGAGACTAGACAAAGATTCAGAATAGCAACCAAATGTACACGATACTGTGATCTTGAAAAAAATTTCTTTGCAAGTCTTTGTGGTTCATATGCGTAGCACTAGTGCCTTAAATACGTACGAGAAGCAAAGGAAAATTAAATTATTCATTGAAAATGAATTGTGTATACATGTGTGATACATGCACAATTGAATATGAATTTCTTCTTATTGTCTTCTTATTTCTCACTCTGCGTCTAGCATGGAGACAATGAACCTTCTTATATGAGACCTGGTCGAAAATTCAAGGCTTCATAAGGAGAAAAAGATTGAACTGAGAAGCTCAAATGTGAATAAATATTAAGATAGGGGCTATGATAACTACTCTTTTTAAAAGAGTTCTGAACATAAATTAGTTCATTAACCTATTAATGAAAAAAATCACTGACTTCAAATGAAAAAATTAATAAAGGGAAGAAAAATAATTGGCTAAGACGATTCGTAAAGTGGAACGCAGAAAAATTTGTCGAAGCTATCGAGGCACAAAAAACAATGTTTGATGACTGTTGAAAATGCTGTGTTGCGAAAATTAGCAACGCGACACCCAAAAATCGTCTTCGTACAAATTTTTAAACCTCATGATAATTTCAGGCATCGTGGATTCATCACATCACGCATGTTATTATCATAATCGGAGCGGCGTGGCGTTTTATGGAGTGGCTTGGAACATATTAGCATCTCATTCATTTTCGCGCTCAACTCTCGGACGTTTACAATCCTTACTTACAACAATAAACATTTTTTTTTGAGAAATTTTGAATGCTGTTTAATTGTTTCAACTAGGTATTTATGATGTCTCGTGTAGATGAAAAATGTAAGTTTCAAGGTCTTATATGAAGTTGTAAGTAGAATTGAGAAGTGTCGAAAGAATCCTCAGAAATTAACTCAACAAGAATGTCATCAATGCTAAAGACCTCGAATAATCGTAATTTGAAGTTAATTTCATTACGAATCGATTTACGATTTGCTTAAACCAACAAATAAATATTTATTGAAACTGGTTGGATTACTTTGCTTAACAGCTAACAACAACTTTCGATGAGTCACAGTTGGCTATAACTTTTCGTCCGAAATAATATTTTGCCGGTAAATTTACTCCACATTATCTCCAACTGAATGCTTGCTTTCCGATATGATTTTTATTAACCTTGACTCGTAGTAAGTATTTAGTCGTCAAATACAAATCGTTTTTTTACTCAACAATGAACAAAGCCACAAAGTGCAACGATGGTCTCGCATGACTTGCAGTATAAACAACAAGCGATGATCCCACTTCATACATTCTTCACATCATTTTTTTCGTTCAACAAATTCAGTTCTAAAAGCAATGACAAATGTTGCGCTGAGAGTTGCTGTTTGCAAAAAGTAATTAGATTCGCGAACAATGCAACATCAAGTGGAAAAACCTCAAAGGTAGTCGGAAGCTTGCATAACTTTAATTCTCATCTCTTCTTTTCAGCCATCCGCGGACAATTCTTGGTAAAGTAAATAAAAATATCTTTACACCATGCGAACGTCAACCTCGACAGTGAAAATGTGATTCATGAAACGGAAGAGATAATAAAAAACGTGGAGTCAGTAAGAAAACGACGCAAGATCTCCAGCAAACCACTGTTGATCTTGAAAAGTATTTTGGTTTCTGTTTTGTTTTTAGTGCGAAATTATTTTCTCAATGACTTGAGGCTCAATAGAGGTAAAGAAAGACTTGAAACGTATAATTAGGTGTTTATTTGTAGACGAAAACAGAAATTAGTAATTAGCAATCAGATGTTAAGTAATTAAAAATCATTGGATTCATTTATAGCTTGAGTTCTTATTTATTACGAGAGATCTTCCGTTTCCAATACACACAATTTTAGGTCAATCATCTTATGATAAAAATTTTTTACTTTCATTTATAATCAAGTGTCACATAACTATGTGCAATACTTGAAAATTTCATCATTGAAATCATTACAGTTCAGTAGCTTCAACAGATAGAAAGAAGAAATTTTGAGCACTTTTACTTACATTTACAGGTACGGCGGCCCACGTAAACTTCAATATTTTAAACCACGATAAGAGCCTTGAAGATTAATTGAAAAGCAGCAAAAAGAAAAATACTTTAACCTTTGGGGAATTCCAACATTTGTTGTGTCGCCAGTTGCGAATAGAAATACAAAGCATTACGTGTAAGATCGATTTCGCAATTCTCACCGGCCTCTACCTTCTTGCTTGCTCTACTAGGTATTTAATGTTTGAAGCCTGAATGAATCAAAAGTTTATGGGTTTCAGAAAAAATAAAGTGCATGAGAATCCACCTTTTTATAAACTTCACAGTCAATTCCTTGCTCAATTAGCTACTTCGAAAATAAAAAATAAAGATATTAAAAGTAATCTAGCTTGTTAAATTGATTTCGGTTCAATTTTTTTCATCATTTTATTTTCCTTGTTTTAATGAAATTGTACAGATTACCAAAGAATGAATATTTACTTATCGATAGATAAATTTTTAGATACGGAATTTAAAGAACATTTAAATATTTCCTTACATTTCCCAAAATTAAAAAAGTGGAATTTTTTGTCAACAAAAGTAGATAGTTATGTAAGCTTTACGGAGCTTTTAAAAAGTTTATTTTTTTTTATAATGGCACAAAAAGTATTTCAAGAGAAAATAATTAAATATATAGACGTAGGTAATTTGAGCTTCTTTGCTCACAAGAAAAATCAAAATGCATCAAGCATTGACAAAATTTTATTATCACAAATGAAAAAAAATTAAGCTTTGAATAAGCTTTTAAGTAACAAAGTCGTGAAAATGTATTTCAAAGCTTCTTCCAAATGCACAAAAGACAAAAGTTTGATTTCAGAATGATGGAGAGGGAGAGAGAGTGAGAAAAAATAAGAAAATTTTTAAATACAAAGTCATTAAATGAAATCATACTATGACCAGCATTTGTTAGAGAATCAAATTAAATTAAAGATAAATATAAGTTAAGTCAGTTATACATACATCAAACATCATTTATGGTGACAATTCCTGCCATTTAACAGTTAAAATAAACTTTTGATTCTGTTTTTAATTAACAACTTTTTGTAAAAAACGTGACCTTCCATCATTACAATAAATAATTTTCTCTTCTTCATCATCTCTTTTCTTAGGTAAAAATTACCATTAACTTTTACTTATTAAAGCCATCAAATTGATCTAAATTAATTTAATTATGTTTCATCTTTTAAGATATCTATTTCAAATATATTCTTTTAAATATTTTTAATCAAGTATAAAATGATCTTCACTTCTCTTGTTACATTCGATAACTTGTGTAATTTACAACACGAGACGACACAGCGTAATACATAACAATTGAAACATCCAATCCAATTGATTATATCAAACCCTAAAATGGCTATCATCGAAATCTCTTGGAAAGAAGATTCATTCTTAATCGAACACATTAAATAAGTATTTGGGGTTTTGCTTCGCATCTATGTTGTTATATGTATGTATCTATTTATGCTTAAGTTGTTGTTTACATGACTTGTTGCCACATGAGTAAATGATTGGTGCTATCTTCACGTCCTGCAACTTCGTTCATTGTACTTGTACCTGATGTACGGAAATCTTCATATCCATCGCCACCAGAAATGATTAAAGCGAAATTGGTGTCTTCATTTGGTGTTTCACAATTCTTTAAAATTCTCTTAATTGATGCAACATCATTGATTTCTACTAATGTCAAGAAACGTACGTGGCCAGTATGACCTTGGGTGATACCTGCATGACATAAAAATAAATAAATTTCAATAAAGGAATATTTCTTTTACTTATTTATTTATGAATCAATTTATAGGAGAAATTAAAAATTTTACGTTTACCAACCTGTCACAATCGGCGTGCTTTTGCCGATATTCTGAACAAGGATTGTCAACAAAACGCCAGCACTTGTGCCTATCCAAATGATATCTTTACACGCTAATAATGATGTCACTCTCAAACATGCCGCTTTGTGTTGTTGAATAATATTATCACAATTACTAAGCATTTTATTGACAGCCGGTGCCAAATTCACCTCACAGATTATTTTTAAACTTCAATATAGAAAAAGTGTCAAATATTATTAAAAAAAATAATTCAAAAAATAATCAACATACTTGTTAACATTACAGCATAAAATTGTTGCAGAGTTTTGCATAGAAATCCATACATAATTATTGAGCAACGTCATGTTTGAAATTGGTTTGGAATCGTTCGATATTTCAACATTGTTTTCTACTTGAAGTGTAGCACTGTTGAGGACTTTAATGACCCCTTGAATTGAACACCAAAGTTTTCCATAAACATTAAGAAGCTTTGTTACGGGACAAGTCATAGATCCTAATGAGAGAACGATCGGTGAATGAATGTTCCATGACGGTGAGCTTTCACGAGAATAGACACAAATATCGCCGTTCGCCAATGCTACAAACACACGATTGTCTAAATACAAAATTGAACAAACAGCACTCGAATGTTGAATTTTAATTTTGTTTTTCTTAATGCGAATGTTATCGGTGCAATTGTAAACGTGAATAAAACCATCTTCAGTTCCAAGCCACATTTGACTTTCAGTCTCGTCACAAATTGGATTTTGAGTGCAGTTCTTCGAAACAGTTGATGGTGACACTGAACGATCAACCGTTGTATCAGGTTCAGAGTCACTTGAGCTCACTGAATCGTGCTGGCTGTTCGTTTCACTTTGAGTTGATTCGATACCCGAAGTTTTGTTGCTGATTGTTGATGTATTCGAGATACTAACTGTTGATGAACGATTATCATCGATTGATGAATTAATACTGGAATTGAGATTATTTGTGACATTTAAAGATTCTGAGTAACCCGGCACTGATGTGACGCAAAGTATTCGCGCATTACAAACTCCATTGCAACTTGTAACTGTCGGTTCAGGTTGATTCAAACTTAACACACAAACTTGTCCTACATAGCCATCACTATTGCACACCCAAACATCTTTCTGTGTCCCAAGAGTTGGTGCAGCACAAGTAAATTGTAACCCAGCACGAGTTTTCCTTATAGGAACTGATGAAATAAATTCTGGGACTTGTAAACGTTCAGCTGATGCTACAAGCTTTTGCTTAGCTTCTGTGAATATTTCTTCCCATTGTGCTCGCTTATCAGGCTTTGAAAATACTAATGTGAGATTTTGTGTTCTGAAAATCATTTCATATAAACAAAAAGTTAAATGATGGAAAAATATTTTATGTGGGGATATTCACTCACCCTCCATTGAATGACAATTCCAAAATATTTATTGGCGAGTCATTTGCTTGTCTTTCAGCGAGTTGACGTTGAACATTCGCTTGTAAATCACGAATCGATTCTTCAAGTGTTTGATGTGGACATCGAAGACTTGTTGTGAGATCGAAAATCTGTTGAAGTTTGTTGCTGTCTTCTGTTAAATGCTCGATTTCCTTCATAATTCGTCGAACATTTTCATCTCTCGCTGTTGTATATGAAAATGTAAAACCTTATTTAATGATAAAATATCTTTCACGTTTTCTAAGAACAAATAAGTCAGTTTGGTTAGGAAAATGACATCAAAGAAATTAGATATTAATAAATATAAGCGGCATATGGTATATTGCTCTCATTCGTACTCAACACAATTCAAGATATAGACGATATAAGAAGTGTTATTAATCGTTAGCGATACAGAATTAGCTAAATAGATTAAAAGCTATGATAAGACAAAATTATTAAGCATGTTTAGTAGCATTCTGATATGAATTTTTTCATTAGAGTTCGACAACTTCATTTTCATTTATTTATTATCGCAGATACATATAACAATTATTATCACAAAAAAAACATTATAAAAAGAGTGAACAGTTAAATCTGCTAAAGATTTCCATTACGAAATTTTCATGACAATATTTATACTCTCCAAATTATCGAGAATTTACTGTGAGTTTTTTGCTTTAATTTTTATCAAACAATTTTTGATATTACGGAGCTGATTTTCAAATGATTATTTCACTCAAACTAGAAACACATAAAAAAAATATTCAGTGTATAGCTAAGTGGGAAGCAATTTGGAAGTGTGCAGAGTTTTGATAAAAGTAGAGTTGATATGACGAACGAGAACACAAAATTTATCAATTCATTGTTCTTGAAGAACTTATTGGAAAACCAATTTGGACAAAAAGATGTAAAGATCAAAACTTATACTGCAGAACAGCCTAGTGAAAATGGAAACGTTTACACTAGAGCAGCTATTTCGAGAATCTTTGTTAAATTTTCATCTGCTACGAAATCAGAAGAAGTTCTAAGCTTTGTTATGAAAATAAAGCCAACGAAAGGTGAACTCTCAGATGAATTCAAAGTCAGCGGGGATTTTATGAAGGAAGTACAGGTTTATAGAAACGTTTTGCCAGCCATAAGCACAACCTTGAAGAAAATTGGTGAAAAAATAGAATTTACTCCGAAGTAAAAAATTTTTGTTTTAAGTGGTTATTATGTAAGTGATACCTTATCGATAATTTTCAGTGTCATTTCGACATTCAATATACCAACTGATGGAATAGTCTTCGAAGAAGTCACCAATCGTGGATATCACATTCAATTCGAGAAAACTGGATTGAATTTCGAACAAAGTGTGTTGGCGTTGCAGAAGCTCGCATGCTTCCATGCTGCGAGTGCAATGTTGATGGAAAATGTAAGAAAATTCTTAAAGTTTTTCATGCCAAATATAATATCTATTTTTAATTGTATCATATTGAAAAGACGTCATTGGATTTGGATCGTTTCTCAAAAGGAACCTTTCACAACGATTGGAAAAACAAATTGGAGTATTTTACTGAAGCTTATCGTTTGGTGATTGACAATGCAAACGGGTTGGGAATTGACAACACAATACAACAAAAGTTGAAAGAGTGAGTGCGAGATTTATTTATTCAAAAAGTGTTTTTATAATTTAAAATCATTTCCATATCAGGTTCTCAACACGTTCAATTCCCAAAGTTATTGAAGATTACACCAGTGCCATTAAAGGCTTCAAGGTTCTCAATCACGGTGACTTTTACACGCGTAACATTTTCTTCAAATACAAGGGAAATGAGCTCGTCGATGTCTTGTTTGTTGACTTTCAAAATGCTGTCATAGGAACACCTTTGATTGATTTATTCTACTTCTTGACATCATCTGTTGCTGTCAGTGTTCTCGCAACATCACGAGATGAATTAGTTTATGCTTATCATGAAGCTCTGTCAACCTTACTTGAAAGTTTGGGGTATCAAGGATACATTCCATCATTAAATGACATTCAAGTTGAGTTTTTAAAACGAAGCAGTATGGAAATGTATTTCGGATTGACTCTTGCGCCATATTTAAGATCATTCGAGCCCAGAATTGTCACTGCTGTTCAACCATCACTTTACAAGGATGAATATTTACAACAGTTGAAGAAAAATGGAAAGGAAGTTTTAATTCAAAACAAAGATTTCATCATTGGACAATTAAAGCGATTCGATGTTATTGGAACACTTGACTGTGCAAGCAATGATGGACGTATCGGTGGAATTAAAAGTCGTTTCTCCGGAAAGGTTTAATGTTAAAAGTAAAACATTAAAATAAACTGCCACCATTAGTTTTAGTGGTTAATCGACATCCATCATCATTTCTTTGTTTTATCTAATCAGTTCACTAATTAAATGTCATGTGAATTATCTGAATTACAATTTCTATGAGGAAAAGTAAAGAATTTTATCGTGCATTAACAGTTAATTATTTAGCTTTCATGAAGAAGCAACGCTTTGACACATAGAAATTTTTTTATTGAATCAATTTTTTTTTACTTTTACTCACATTTTACAATCTCGATATCATCGAGTTGAAGTCTCGTAAGAAATTTGTACTTGTTTGTGTCTAGTGTTAAGGCAAAGCTTCCCGATATGCTAAAAGGAAAAATATTTGTTTCCTTTCTCTCCTTTCAAATCTACTGAATATCAGTGAACTCACCTGTTTGGTTTTCTTATCGTTCCACTTCGCTTCTTTATTCCAGTGAGAACTAATAAGTCACTAAAGAGAAACAAGCCTCTTTCCTTCCTTCCAGCTTGACCCGAAGGCATTGAAATTATTTCAAATGACAAGAATGTTCTATCGGTTGAAACTAAATCACTGATTCCTTCAATCACATTTTCAAGTTCACGAAGTGTTGCTTCTCGCTGACCATTTGCAGTTGCTTCACGCTTCTTACAATTCAGATGTACGAGGATATCGTGGACAAGTTTAAGAGCTTCCGAGCATCCCGTGTAGTCGGGATGATCAGGTTCTGTATGCTTTGTCAGTCTTTGGAACATTAATTCGTAACTAAGATGGGAGAAAACATAAAAAGATTAAAATCAAGATCAAATTTATGGATAAACAGAAATGGAGTTATAACAGAGCAGTTTTAAAACGGATAAAGTACTTTACAGTGCACTCACTTGGGGAATTTTTGAATGATTTTTATCAGCAAATTGTCCAAGGACAGTTTTCCTTTGTGTTCACGAGCCGTTGTTTCAAGAAATTTGGCAAACGCTGGCCTCGCCGTTTTGGTCGTTCGAATAGCATCTTCTGCTTTATTCCAATTATTTACAAACGACGTATACGTTTCTAATACTATCGGTTTCGTAAACTGAAATTGAAAAGTTCGAATAGTACATTCAAATAGAAGATTTTGTGATTTAAATAGAAAACGAAGCATAAAAACTTACAACATCGCAATAAGCATCACCAACACGTTGTAATGCATCCCATGAGTCCAATCGTTTCTTCAATTCTTCTAGAAATTTCTCGTGGATATTGAGAATCGAAGGGACCATAAAAAAGATTTCATCTACTGTTTGAAGATCTACAATTGCTGAGTTTTCAGGCAATTTTAATGGATTCAGATATTTCTAAAATAATTCAATTGAAAAATGATGAATTGAAACGTTAATAAGTCAATTTCTTCTTAAACTCACAGTCACAATGGTTTGTAATGACTCAACATAGTTTTTTTCAGTGTTGAATAACTCAACAACAACATGTGTCCGTGTATCCTGAAAATAGAAAATTTACATTTAGATAAAGAGAGACATAGTGAAAACAAATAATCAAAAAAATTGAACAAATTTTAGATCGAATCATCGCTGTAAGTAAATTTTCATTTCCCTTTTTACTGAAAATTGTTTGAGAACATAAACAGTAGAAATCAGGTTGAATTTAAAGTTCAATGTGATAAATCGCCGTACACAGAATGTTTAGACTACCAAGTGTAAACCTGATCGTGTCTTTGAATGTTTTTTTTTTTCTAAGAAGAGTATGTTAGTTCAATAAGAAGAATACTTTTAATTTGATTCTAGATATCAATTACAAGTGTGATGCAATTAAAAAGTATCGAATACGATTAAAACTAAGGAATGAGAGAGCTATTTTAACATTTTCAATTAAATTGACGTTCTTATTCACTTAAGGCTATGACGCTTTAATGAAAATCATCAAAAATAAAGAAAATTTTTGTCAACAGTACACTGAAGTAATTGTCAACATCCCGAGAAACCAAAGTTTCCATGTGCGTTTTAAATCATTCATGTGACAACTTTCTCGTCCCCCTCAATATGTAATTGAGCAAGTGCCATCTAAATGGCATTCACATGCAAATTTTGGTTTCTCGGGCATGTTTCTACGAAATGCCATTAAACTTAAGGAGTTCATGATAATCAGATTAGATATCATGGGAATTATCGAAAAGGTTATATTATTATCAATTGAGATAAATTATAAGAAAAAAAAGGAAATTTCCGCTGTGATTCGAGTTATGACAGATTGTAATTTATTATAATGAGGCTAAGGGAATAATTTCGTATTCGCTTCAAGCTTTTAATAACAACAAACAAGTGAGACTCGATGAATCATTTTTTCTATCATTCTTTACATCCTTTCATTCAACCATTTCTTTGTGCCGTAATAAAAAGAAAACAATGTTTCAAGTCTCGATATAGAAATCTCGAATTTTTTAGTAAACACGATAAGATTGAAGCAAAAAAATGCTTCAATATATGTATAAAATTGACACTTTTATGTAGATTAAATATTCTTTGTTTTGTATCTTACGACAGCGACTTCCATTCATGAATTTATAGAAATTTATTGTGAATAGAAATTACGTCGCACGGTTTTTCCCCCAATAAGAAACGGCGGCGACAAAATTTTTTGCGAGAGGATTGGAGCTACGATGAATTTCCTAACATTGAGAGTCTTGCTATGAATACAAAAAGGACAGTTTTGCGACTTCGTTGTAACTTTTCACTGTGGAAGTTGGCAAATAAATTGTTTTGCCCAAAATGTTAACACAAAATGAGGAATAAAAGGTTTTAAATTGACGCTATGGAAATTTTTCTTGCTGAATCATAATTTTGTTTACGGAAACATATCTTTTAGTAGAAGATTTAGTAGAAGATGTTGTTGCTTATTCATCTAACTTGTTTTTCGTAATTTTTGATTAACAACATGAGACACAATCAAATTTCTACATGTTCCTACATGTGTAAGCCATTTTCTCCTGGCATTATGTAGAGGTTTAGCATAGAATCACGTTTTAATAGGAATCATATCAATAATCACTGAGTGAAGCTTTGAACTTAAAAATATACATAAATGTAAAAAAGTTAAACAAACTTTATTCTTGCTTACATTCAAATAATGTTTAAAAATCCTTAATGATGGAAACGATGATGATGATGAAACCCTCGCAGCAGTGAATCCAAAGTGGAGGGTAGATAATTGAATTATAAACTTTTTATACATCAATTAAAATTATCGTGAAAGTTTCATGTTATGGAGCCCTCAATATGATTTTCCTTCCTTTCCTAGAGCGTTTTCGTAGCCTTTTCTACCACGATTAAACTCTTTCAACTTCCGTAAACAATACCCAACCATTGAATTTTACGAGACAATAGAAAAGAGACTTAAGAATGTTTTCTGTTATCAAGCGTCATTCATGGCGCACGTGTGCTTGACATAAAACTCTTTATTATCGCATATCGAATTTACTTCAACTTCCATCAACAATTGTAGCTTTTCTTTATTCAATTGACTAAATATGAATGTCCCAGTTTATTGCTTCTGATAATATCGATCTATTATTATTTACAATAAAGTTAAGCTTTTATTTAACCACTACTGACATAGTTTTTTAAGATCCATCAATTTATTTACGTCTTTAAAATTTACGATATAGCATCAGAGAAAAAGAGACGGGAGAAAAAATATTGCTTTATGAAAGCCAACAGAATTGGTTGGTAGGTAGTTAAATGTCACAATTAGCCGCATGAATAAACTGAAGCCTTGTCTACATGTTTATAATAGCACTTGTGAGCTGTCAAAAGGGATGCTATTGACAAATTTTTGCTTCATAAGGACACATGTAAGTAAAAATAAATTTATTTGTGAATCAATTCTACTCTAAGGCATCGAACATATACTTAAGGTCCAAGTAACTTTGCCACATAGAATTTTTTATTGTTATTATTATGTGAAAGAAAAAGAAGAGAAAATATAAATTCAGTTTGTTCTCTCGTTCTTGTTTAATACTTTGTCAGGCAGTAAGGTCAATGTTTACATACAAGAAGATTTCCGTAGAAAAGTCGTCATAAGTTGAGCATCACTAACCACCAATAAACAACTAGAGAATGTTGTTCAAACATCGTGATTTCATGATTTTGTATCATTTATGTAAACATTTCGGATATTATAAGTATTTATGTACAAGGACACATATTATCGAGAAGAAAACAAATTTTCCGAGTGTTTTCTTAATGACTGTTTTCTAGGTAGTAAAGATAAAATATTATTTTTCATTCGACTGACTCCCTCAACTTATTTAAACACGATGACAGGAAGGTCAAAAATGTATTTTTCTTTCATTTCACGATCTGGGAAAATATTTTTCATTCTATTGTTGTGTGGTTGGGATGAAAAGATATTTTCTTATGCCGCTTGAAACGAATCAGTGTAGCCGTAAATCTTTGTGTGAAATCTTCAAGAGCCTCCACTTGTTTCAAATGTGTGAAGTTTCAAATTCTAGTGTCGCGAGTCAAACACGAGACGAGGCAATTTGTGAAATCATAAAAAAAATTCCAATCTTCCGTCGTATTCTTTCATGGGACAATTAAAGGCGCCTCTAATATTTATTTTTTTTTTCATTTCATTTCACAATCAACTTACGTCTTCTAAATTGACGATATTGTTTGGCCATGGTAATGCTGAGAGATCAATGCTGGTCTTCGCAGAACGCGGTCGTTCGTCCTCTTCGGAATCCGAAAAGCTTAAAGGCATGGTGAATCGATTTTACTTTGTCTAAAATATTTAGTCACGAAGCTAAATCATTTTTGGGTGAATGAACGAAAAAGGTTTTAGTATCGTCATCAACAAATTAACGTCACATTTTCCACTTGTATCAACACAAAATTTTCCACAAATTGTTTTTAACGGAAACTAATAGTTCAGCATTAAGCATTTCATTTGCTTCTACTCAACTACATGCTTTGTATATTTCACTTCACACTGACTTACGACTGTTTTTCATGCCTCAATTTTTTGATCTTTATGTTTTCTTGGAAGGTAGAAAAATTATAGAATTTTCTTTTTTTATTTTTGAGTTTACTTTTCAGACTTTGATATTATGAATATCTACACTTCTAGTCAGACTTAGAATTTTCTTGTTGATTGACTTAGTAATTTAGAAAATTGATAATGTTTTGGTTGAAATTTAAATTTATATTAACGATTTCCTTCGACGAAAAATAAGCAGCACTTGTTACCTCACACATTTTCTGTGAAAATTGAATCAATCATTACCTAGCACAACCGACCAACATTTTCACTCGCGGTCAATTAAGTTCAAACAAGTTTCGAAGAATTTAATTTCCGCTAAATTTTTTCACAATAATTCGTCTTTTTCTGAGTGGAAAGACGATATAATATGTAACTAAGTATACGATGAGATGCGGCATAAAATTTTCACTCTGACCGAACGACTGCCCCTCAAGGTGAAGAATGCGAAGTTGGAATTTAAATCTCAGACCATGGAAACTAAATGTCTATAGGGATTTTTTGTAAAACGGTTGAGAACAGTAACGATTTTAATTTTTTTTTCTTTTTGAGCGAGAATGTGGCATGAAATTCGTATCTAAATTCGCGCTCATTTTTTTTCCTTCAAGAGCAGAAAACTTACTTCAGTGACAAAATAGAGTAAGAAGAAAACAATCATGAATGTTTTTCTCGCTCTCCATATCGTTGATTTTTCTTGAAAACAAATCAGGAAAAAGAAAAAATATACTTTGAGTAAACTTTATGGAATGAAAACTAACTACATACATATGTTTAGAGTTTTCTTCTCAAGGATATTAACCATCAACAATATTATTAAAGTTTAATTATTTTTAAGAAATTTCATTCTATTTAAGTACGAAGGTTTTTCATTTCATCATGCTGTGTCACCAATGCAGTGACTAAAAGATATTTTATAACGCTTTCGAATGAATGAATATTTACAAAATAAATATTTCAGTAAGTGTTTTCAACCGGCAAGAAACGTTGTGGAAAAACAAAACTTAATTTTCAATTTGCTTTTCATTTCATTTATCACAATTACAATCAACTAGCCATAATTAAAATTGCAGACGAAATTATTTATTACATAAACGTCGCCAAAAGGCTATTCACAAGAAGTTATTAGAGATTGCGGTAAATGGAAAAATTTAATTTCAGCACATTTAGCACAAAAACATTTAATTCATTTTCTCCATCACTTTCTGTTTTCTACATTTTTCCGTATTTCTCTCTTTCTTTCTCGTTATTTTTTCTTATGAAGCTATGGAGTTTAGTGTATTTTTCACACCCGATAAAAAAGAAGAAAATAGCTTCTTCCTTTATGATTTGAATTTACAAATAATCATAAATTTAATATTATTTGGCACATTAAATCTTTAACAAACACGACACCAGTGATTACGGAACCGTTTCATATACAAACCGAATCGCATTTACTAACAGATGATGGCGATGAAAAATATCTATTGAAATATTATTGTAACACTTGTGGAAAGCTTCATTTTCCGACTCGATTTTACGACGACGATTCATCAACTATCACATAAAGGCTCAATTGAATCGAATTCAAAGCACATAAACTTCGGTCGTCTTTCTCTGCAGAGAGCGAAATTTTCTGTTCATGAGAATTTAGCATTAGAAAAGAAATTATACTTTGTTTATTTCATCACTTTTTCTCTTATGTACGATTTCGATAAGGGGTAATTCATCGTAATAAAATTGGCCGGCAGAAGCACCATTGAGAAAAATAGCTCTAAACAAATTCCAAGAAAAACTAAGCAAATTCTTGGAAAATGGTAATTTTTATGAAAAACACTAGTGCTTTCCAAAGCATCATTTAGAGCAAGCCGGCAAAAGCACTACGATGAACTACCCCATGGTTTTCAAGTCATCTTGTTCTCACGAGCTTAAAAGAGATGATGCGCATGATCTGTTGTTGTCATGCCAAAGCTACGATATGACATAAAAATATTCTCTTAAATTTTGAAATTGCTTGATGAAAGTATTTAAGAAGCTCTTTATAAATGAGAGAGGAATGGCGAAAAGTCAACAAAGTAACACGTTACACGTGACTGTTGCATAAATTTTCCTTCCATAGTGTGATTTATGTAATAACTTCATGTATGTAGAATTTTCATAGGAATTATTTCAAAAACCATTAAACTTTGGTGACTTAATGCTTAGAAAAAACAAAGTTTTACATGACTTTTCTCAAGAAGAAAATATTTAAAATAAGTATTTTGATATCATTGTGTCCTTATCAATTTTTAGTTCAAAAGAAAACTTTAAATAAATATTATAAAATAAAAAAGCTTCTTATGCATGAATTCAGCCTCAAAATACGTAAAACTATTTGTTGCGAATTTTTCCTTAGTTATTAAAATGTAAAAGCTTTTTTATTTCAATAGATGACTTTTTACGATTGACGTCAAATTTCTGAATGTTAAAGTTCGATTCGATTAAATTGTTTCATTTAGAAGAAAGTTGACAGTCATGAGTATATGGAATAAATCGTTATCAACAGTTGTGAAGCTTTTGATGATAATGATAGAAAGAATTTTTATTTACAACAAATGTTTACCTACACTGGAAATTTATAAAATAAAATCAATAATAAGGAAAATGAGATTCTGATGTTAGGTACCTACTCCTTTTAAAGAAACTTTGAAATAATTCATAAAAATTAAGCGAAACTTTCCAAAAAAAATCTCAAGATTTTAATTCTAAAGCTACCTACGTAAGTGTTCAGAAATTCGAAGAAAAAATCTTTATCGGTAATGAAGCATCTCAAAGGGTTTTTGCTTCTACGACTTCGTGAAACATCCTTTTACGTTCAAAGGTGTAATAATTTAATTTTCTATCCAAAAGCTGCTTATAAATAAATTGATTTGAAGAGTTTCTCAACATTTCTTCTCGATTTTTTGAAATTTTGTATTTATGTGTAAATATTCACATTGTAAAAATTTAAAAGTCAGAGGAAAGTTGTTACTAAAATTAAAGTAATAAACACTCGTAAAGAAAAAAGAGAAAAAAAATATTAAAAATTTATATTTCTATCATTCAAGATGAGAACTTAATTTTCTTTTATGAATTTCGTTTTGTTTGTAGTAGAATTAAATCGCAATTCGCAATGAATGAAAGGAAAACGTCTGGGAAAGCGCCTTGAAGTGTTTGAACATCTTGCGGAATTTATTTTATAGATAAATGTAAAAGTTTTGATGCTTTTTTTTCGAGTTTGAATCGCCATCAAACGTGCTCAAGATACAAAAAGGAGAGGAAAAGAAAACAATTAAACTCACCAAACTGTTGAGACTGTTTAATACTGCGGTTGGAAGTGACATTCCACTACTGCTGATGTTATTTCTGCTTTGATGTTTTTTGCTATGATTCTGTTCGTTGAGCAATTTTTCACTTGACCCTTTCAAAAGTTCTGCTAAAAGTTCTGGTGTAGCTGCGACGCTTTTAGGAGTCTCAGGCGTGTTTAAGATTAATGCTTTATCCAAAGGTGTTGTTGGTATTCGAATTTCGTCCAAATTTTTTTTTGCTTTAAGCTTATCATTGTTAAAACTCTTCTTTGAGTGTTTTTCACTTGTGGTGTCAGATGAAGTTCTCTTTGGCGACAATTTCTCAACTGACAAGAGACTGCTGTCAAAAGAAAACTTTTTGTTATCATTTTTAAATGAAAGTCGGTCTGACGTATCAGTAACACGTTGATCGACGCTGCTCGGATATCGCTTGTGATTGATCATTGGTAAAGCATCGGGAGATGTCGTTTCGATAAGTGGAACTGGACTTGACGCTGTTCTTTGATGCATAGGAACGGGAAGAGATCCACCTGCATTTTTTCTTGATTTTGATACGCGATTGAAGAATCCACTACTACGAGAAGTTATCGAATCAAGGGAACAATTTGACTTCTTCATGCTGGAAATAAACAATATTTTAATTTGAATTTTGTTTATTTCTTCCTGATTTATTTTCTCACCTGTCATTTCGAGAAAGCTCTTCCAAAATTCCATCGTAATGAACTTTCGTTGGTTTTTTCATCTCTGCTTCTAACATTTGGCCGTAAGGTCCACGTAAAGGACGTTTTGAATATCGTTTCAAGTCTTGTTCATTTGCAGAAGCTGGAGAAGAAGTTCCACGATCTCTTGATGATCCCCTATCACTTTCATTGTCAGATATTGAATCAGAACGAATGAAGATATTACGAAAACATTTTATTGGATGGAGGCTTGCTGAACTTGGATCATCACGCTCATCAGAGCTTTGGTAAGTTAAACTCTGTCGTCGGTGACCTTGTGGCCATTGCAAAGGTTTATTACTGTTATAATCCGAGTCAGGTGTGTAAGGTTCTAACGAACATAATGACTCAGATTGTCGAGGCATTATCGGCTCCGAAAAGCAAAAGTCAAGATTGTGACTTCGACTTAATTTCTTTTCATTTGATTTTAATGGTGCACTGCTCGATTTATTTGTATCTTGTCTCTCATTTTCAGCAATGTCTTCTACGGTTGAACTATCAAACGATTCAACATCTTGTGATCCTTCAATAGCAGGCCATTGAATGTAAATTCCTTTTCGACGTCGTGATTTATCAATCTTACGTTTATCGTCATTGTTGATGTTCGGTGACGAAATATTTGGTGAAGATTTCTCACTTCCCGAATTTGTATCATTACTGTGACGTTTCCTGACAGTTTCAGTGAATTCACTGTCACTTTTATCGAAACTTCCTGGCTCGGGCGAAGAATCAGTGGCTTTAAGTGAGTCAAATTTGGTTTCACTCATCGCTTCTTTTTCATTCGATGTTAATTGTTCTTGTTCTGGACAGATTAGCGATACAATGTTAATGTTATTATTACCTAGAACATTTTTAAGGAATTTGTGTTCTTCATTTAATGTTTCAGCGACAGTTTCCAACACTTCTTGAATTTCTGGTGATATCTGTATTTCTTCAGAACTGTCAATACTCTTTTGTGCTATAAACTCACTCTTATCTTGCGGGATTTGAGTTTTAACAACATTGCAAACTTCGCTTTGCGGTGGAATAATTTCTTTCAATTTTTCAGTGATTTCATCTAGCTGAAGTGCAACACTGTTTATTTCCACCTCGGGTATTGTTGGGGAAATAGAAAGCTTAACTTTATTATTCTCATCTTGAATAACATTTTCATTTAAATCAAGACGAGGCAAGAGATCGCTTTCTTTCATATAATTAAATGAATTCTGATCATGTTTATCTAAACTTTCACCTTCAAGTTCTTTGTTCAATCGAACTTCAATGAAATTTTCAATAACTTTTGCTTGAGGCAAAACGTCTTCAGAGATGGGATGGCAGAATTCTTCTCCACCATGTTCAGGCAATAGACTCCACTCTTTCTCAACACATTCAAAAACGGGAATTGGAATAATACATGTCATTGCTTGTTGTAGCTCACTTGTTTGTATCTTTGGTAGTACATGCATAGCAGGTGATTCTTCTTCAATTAATGTTTCAAGAACCATTTCATTTGCTTGAACAACATTAATTTCTCCAACTTTATTTTTAATTTGTTCTTCAGCGAGTATTTCCGCCATTGGATCTTCAGTGATTGTGTCAATTTCTGAATTTCTATTTGATGTATCGACCCTTAAATTCTCTTCTGACTCGTTTGTAATGTTAGCATCATCTGTCAAGGTATACTTTTTGTTCTTATTTTCATTTAACGGTTTCTTTTTCGGACTAGGACTTCGATCTGAATTTTTACTTTTGCTGTGAGCTATTGACGCTCTCAATGATGCGATGTCAGATTTAATATATTTTCCAGACACCACATCAGCTTGTGAAAATGAAGCACTACGAAATGGAATACTTTTTTGTGTGTACGAACCAACAATTGTACGTGACTCTGGTCGTGAGAGTTTTGTAAAGAAATCATCTTTCAACGATTCTGAATTGATTTTTTTATCTTCCTTTAAATATTCTTTATGACTGTTGAGTGCTTCTAAATTGGATGCGCTTATATTTGGTCGCAGAAAGCGTTCTTGAATACTTTTAAGCTGACGACTGAAAATACTTGAAGGTTCTACAGATTTTGATTTTCCAATCTGATGTAAGTTTTGATTGTTGGCGGTAGAGGCATCACTTGGAGACGAGCCTCCACTAAGTAAATTATCGAGAGACGATGCTGCACTATTATCTTGGCTATTTCTTTTAAGTTTCCTTGGAGGTGGAATCGGTGGAGATGGAAGTGGCGGTGGTACTGGTGGAGATACTGATCTTGAAGAATTCAATTTAAACGACCCAGTTTTATGACCTTTCAGTTTCTCAGTCAATTCTTTCAGTCGCTCCGTTTTACTGCTAGTAACTTTTCTATCAGGTGAACTTGAAGTAGTTGGTGATGATTTTCTTCCAAATCCAAATCTCTTTAATGTATTATTTCGACTTGTTTTATCCATAGTTGGCTGCAATATTAAATTAAAATAATATTTTAAGTAAAATAATAAAGTAAAAGCCATGATCGGCCCCCAAAACAAAAATTTTCATACAATTTATTAGGTATTTTTTGATGACATTGAATGATTCACACTGCGCGAGAAGTGAGTTGCTCTCTTTAAATAATTAATGCTAAGAAAAGTTTTTCAACGATCTTGGCGGAAAATTGAAGGTAAAATATTATGCAAAAAGAATGCACGAGTAAACATAGAGAAATGAAAAATGTAGTCTTAAATAAATGCACTTTGGTTGTTGAAAAAAGAAAATAGTTTGAATATTTACTTAAGTTACACTAGTCGTATATCATCATCCTGCGCTACTTTGAAATTATTTATGTCCTAACCGTTCGCACACTTTATGTACATAACTATTTCTTATTCACTCTCAATTTCGTGAATCAAAATAAGTAACAGAAGAACACTGTTGAACTCATGAAAATTAATTTTTCATCGCGGCTGTAAATGTTTATTTTGAAATTCTTTTAGATTTTACTTCGAACAAGACGTGTGTTTGTGTGTGTACGTATTTAAATGCGAGTAGATATTGGAAATTGAGAAAATGAAATTTATAAGGTTGAAAATATTTTCATGTTGTTGCTACTTTTTTCTATCTTGAGCTGATGATATTTATTCATTTCTTTCTGTTCTTTTTTCTCTTAAATTAAAACTAAAAAATAAAAATGTTGATCATGAAAATATTCGATCAGCGATGTTTATTGATAACACTATCAAAGATTTAACGTGGATGGTAAAATTTAGATGATTAGGTACATTCCTGCTGATTTTTGTTTAAAATTATTGGAATACGAATTTATCTATGTGCATAGCATGATGAATCTGTTCTTCTCAAGAAAACTTTTTTGAATAATAAAAATAAAAGAATTCGTTTCATCGAAAAGGAAAATAAAAATGAAGGAAAACTCACCGATTGCTCTGGAACCGATGATTGATTGATATTCAAAGAAGAAAAGCTATTTTCTGAAACTTGAAAATGCTGTTTTATGTTGGATTTCTCTAAATTCTCCTTCAAACGGTGACATGCTGTGTCCCAATCATTGACACTTAGGTAATTTTCCAATTTCTTATTATGATTAGCAGAACTTTTAGTATTAAAACACTCTTTGCTATAATTATTATTATTAAATTTACCGATTTTCGATATTCTATTTTTTCTCTGATTTATTTTCTCATCAAGATCGTCACTTGCGAAAGACGTACTAGAGGAACGCGAAACCGACCGCGATGATGAATCAATATAACTAAAATCATTATCATCCAAACTGTTTTTCATGTGCGAATCTTCAATTGGTGGATTCTTTCTCACATCGGAAGTGAGATGTTTTATTACAACTTTAGTAACTTTGATATCATCACCATTAACACCAAGATGACAATGTGTATTTATATCACGCAGCTGTCGAGTAATTAAGGAACTCTTTAGATTCTCTTCAACTTTATTAACACTATTTTCACTGCGTATCCTCGATTCATTCACTTGATTATTGTTACCATCACTCTGAACTCCTAAATTGCATTGCTTTTTTGATTGGCTTTCATCGCGATTTATGAGCCGTGTACTGCCGAAACGACTATTTTTATCATCATATATTCTCTGATCATTCTCACTAACACTTATGACTGGATCAACGTCTACTGTCGTCTCTTCGGCTCTTATTGTTATTGATGTTGTTGATCTATTTATAATATTTTCATGAATATTATTAGGAGAATTTTCAAGCTTTTTGATTTTATCTTTCAAATAACTGAATGTCTTCGTATTGACATTTTCATAATTTTCTATTGGGACACGATTCGTGACTAATGATATTTGCTGATTGTGTGATCTTTTTTGGTAAAGATTTACTAAATTTGAACTCTGGTTTGGTACATTGGATGCTACAATTTTCTCTTCATGTCTGGTACTTATAAACGTATCGAAATTTCCTTCCTTTTTATCACTTTTCCGAAATGTTTGAGATCGACCGTTAGTATTATAACAGCAGACAGTCGGCGATGCTTCTCGTTTAAAGCTTGACGATGATACTGAATTTTTATTGACGATGTTCGTCGGTTGCTGTGAAGATGTTGATGAGGGAGACGATGTTCTATTCTTAGCTGTGGAAAAAGATTGAAATGAGAAAGAAACAAAATTTGAAAACGATGAAAATGAAGTCGACGTTGTGTTGGGAAATTTATTTTGTATTTGATTTTTTTTTTTTGAAATCTTTTTCAAAGTGTGAATGTTTTTTTAGATTTAATGTTTTTCTTCTTGCAATAAAGAAGCTTTTCTTTTTCCAAAATATTACTTATATGATCAAACGTATAATGAAACCTTTAGAAGCTACAAAATATAAAATAAAATTCGAGAGAAAGAGAATTTTTTTATTCGTGAAAGTAGATGTCGGTCGATGTATGTAAATATTTTCCGAAAGAAGAAAACAAAATAAAACGTTTCCTTATTTATGTACTAACGCACGAGGAGAATTTTTATGAACAAAACATTTTAAAAAGAAAACTAATTTAGTGTTTCCACTTTACATTATCTAGTTGAAAGTTCACATTTTTAACAGTGCGAGAACGAAATCTCAAGTGATTTAAAGCAATTTTAAAATGCGCAACTTTTGAAGGAAAATCCTTACGATCTCACCTGATTGAGACAATGAAAGTTTAGTTTGTGAACTTTTTGAGCTGAGACAGCAACAACATCCATCATTGCAAATCGCTTTGGCACTAATAGTTTCCGTTGATGGTGACATAATTAATGATCGTTGAGTAGATGATGATAGCATTTGCGGTTTATTTGATGATGAATAATCCGAGAGGTTGAGATTTGATATTCGAATTCCATAGCGAAGCGCCCCCAACTTAATATATCCGGCTTGGGGGATTGCTCTGTTAAAACGAAATAGCAAAACAAAACAAAAATAAAACTTTCACTCGCAAGAAATTAACGGCTACAACTCGTGCGTACTAGATATTCAAATTGAGAAAATCGGCGCAACGCTTTAAATTTAAAATATTTCGGTTGTATTTATGTGAATTTATTGCAAAAAAAATTCGGTTACATTTTCATTTACAAACCTTTTCCATTCTCGAACTGTAGCTTTTTCCCCATATTGTTCACTGTTTGACATAATTATTTTATCATCGAATCATTGGAAATTTCATTTTAGTTTTTAGTATGTTCATCACATTTGGCCAAGGTTTTATCAAGCTACACATAAATTGTAGTCTATCTGTAAAAGATCCTAGCCATTAAATAATAGATTCTAATTTTCTTGATTCTAATAGGTACTTATAAAAGAATATTAAAAAAAATTTGACCTTTCTTTGTCACTTGATATATTTTAGATGTGTTTCACAATGCGTAACATGATGAGCTTTTAAGTTTTTATTATTATGAATTTCATAAATTGTTGAAAGCAGAGTTTTCATTATGATAATAATGCAAATATTGTTAAAAAAAATTTAAACGCAGAATCTTTGTTTATTGCTTGATTTTCAAAAAATTAAATATTTAAACTTTTGAAGTTGTGTAGAATTTTTGAACACACGGAAGAAAAGGAAACTAATCAAAAATTCGCCTCAAGTGCAATAAGAAAAGAAAAGTTCATGACACACGATTTGATATTTTATTACTTTTCCTTGTTTTCTGATTCTATTGTGCGGCTTTCAACACGTTTCCAAAACTCCTTTGAATTTTAAAGGAAATCTTGGATATCGATTTGATTGGTTAGAAAATATTTTAATATTAAGTAACTCTAAAATCTATAAGACTTGAAAGGAATTTATGCTTCCAAATTTAAGTATAAATTTTTGTCAATAAATCAATCGGAAAGTAAATTTTGCATACTTTTCTTTTTCATAGCTTCTCTATGAAACTATAGTAAATATCAAGCCTTAACTGATTGATGAAGATTTATAGTTATGAATAATTTAATATCATTGTTTCTGTCGACACAAAACTTGAAGACAACGATCGTTTTCTTAGAAATGTAAACCTCAAAATAAACAAAAGAATTAAGCGAATTCAATTTTTTATCTAAGTGACAAACTACTATAAAATTCAATTTATATTCTCTAGTGGCATACATATTATGTTATTTTAGAAACTTCATCACATAAACGTTTTAATGTATTAATCGAACTTGATATCTATCGCATACAGCACATTAATAAAAGAAAGAAAACAAAAAATCATTTCTTGTTCAATTTAAGACTTCATTCGTGATTCTCGCGTGTTAAAAGCAATTTTTTGCTTGTTTATTTTTTTATCTGATATTTTATGAATTCCAATTTTCCTTTTAAACAAAATTTTCATAAATCGAAAGCAATTTTTATCAGCATCAACTGAAACACCAACGTACGGAAATAAGTGAAATAAATCATGATCACAACATCTGATTTCAATGTTTCCTTTCAATTGGACTTTTGGCTTACGCTTCTACGAAAGTTATTTTTGTTTATTTATGATACGCGTTTCTTGACTCACGAGTCAAATTGTCTACTTTAGTGCTTATGACTAAGTAAAGTTTGTGACTCTTCAATCAAAATCTTTTCAATAGTCTGTAAATTGTATTTTTTTTCCTGTGAATGAATGCAATGAATGATGAGAAATAGTCTTCATGAAATATATTTTACCAACTACAAATGAAAAATCCATTTAAAGTTCCTTTCATAGACAGAATACATTTGGAAAAAGAATTTTCATTTATCTACTCTATTGAATCATAACGAGTTGAATTTTCACGATTTCAACATTACAATGTCTAATAACAAAAGAAGAAAATGAAATATGAAATCGTTCACATGAAAAAATTTTAAATGACTTCTTAAAATACATAAATGTTTATTTGCTATTTCTTTAAATCAGATTAGTTTGCATTTTCTTCATACATTCTAATATTATTTATAGATTATAAAGTTTGCACTTTTTATTGAGTTCAAGGCAGCTAAACTTTTGTATTTTTTCCTTCTCTATTTAATAATGTTAATAATCTTGTAAGAGAATTGATTTCATAATTGAATCTCTTCGGGGGAAGAGCTTCAATGTAGCTAGCATAATAAACAAACAAAAAATCAAAGTAACATTGAGGTTGCCTCAATTTCAAACATATAATAAAAACTAAGTTTATGAACTGAAATTTATGTCGTTGCCTTTTTATGAGACAATTTATCACAACTTATAATTCCTCGTTGTTAGATCGACCTACCGCTGTATTTATTAACGGCATGTTCAATATGTCATTCCCAATAAAATTTTGCTTTCTGTGCAGTGAAACATAAAGTTGAGGCAACCGATGTTCACTTTTCCTTTTTCTTCTTAGTCTTTTGCCGCAATCTGCAGTAATTGCTTAGGCATTGCATTTTTAAACAGTTTTACACTTTGATGTAGAAGTAAGAAGAACTAGGTATTAACACTAAGAGACTTATTTAAAGAGATAAATTCATTTTAAAATTTTTTCGTTATGTATGATCGCTGATCAAATATTTGAAATTTAAATACTTCAATTAAATGACAGCAACCACTACTAGAAGTATCAATTGCAACTTGGAAATGAAGAAGAGAAGAGATTTATCATAACACGTTGTTAAAACATAATTGAGTCTTCAGATTGGCCATTGCGAGCTGCTGTTAAATAACTTCAAATTACATAATTGCACACTTTCGAACACAATCGTTAATCATGATTAATTACTTGATTTTGCATATTGTGAATTGATATTCAATAACATCTGAGTATTTTAATATTAATTAAACTTAGATGTCAATAGAATTGCCAAACATATTTTTGTTCTTTAAATTCGTTAAATTGCATTTACACATTGCAATGATGACAACTGTGAGCAGGTGCAAATAGCATGAAAGCATTTGAAACATTTCTTATTCGATGTTTTAAGTAAGTAACTTTTTCTAGCTCTTTGTGGATATTATTAAGGAAAAGAAGAAGAAAGTACGCGAATCGTCTGTTGTAAAGTTTATTTCTGAACTGTTTTATTTATAAATTCAGCATTTTCGTCAGTCAGTTTTAAAGAAGAAAATATTGAAAAACCACGTTGTCAAGTCTGAATTGAAAGCGTTTTAAGACCTTTTAGTTATCTCAAATTCAAAACGATTAGAAAATCGCAGTTTTAAGAATCTTTCTGATTTTTCTTTGAACGTTTTTAAAACCTAATGACTGGCTGTATTTATTTTCTTTTGCAAACAAATTAAGATTACTAAGAAATAAAATAGAAATGAAAGTTTAATGCCGAAGGCATATAACTTATAGTGCAGGCAATTGATAGTTCAGCACAAAGGAGACCAATAAAAGGCTTTTAACGATAAAGCCTCGTTTGACCGCACTGAGTTGCAGCTTTTTGAAATCATTTTTCATTCAAAGCAAAATAATTACAAATGAAAGTTAGAAAAATCACAAGGAAAATCCATTAGGAGATCTCCTATCTCTGATTTCATTTTAGTTTGGTTATTGAATTCTTGCAGTTTGTAATAACGCATCATCGATCATCAGTCTACACGCAGTAAGACGACTGGAAATATCTTTATTATTATGTAAAACTTCATTCACACATTCTTCATCACTTTCGTTGATGTTTCACATAAATCTTCTCAGTTAAATGAACAGTCAAAAGGAATGAATAATGAGGCAATTCAATTGCATTTTTCAGCTTTCTTCGTACAGAATGGCTTAAAAAAATTACAAAGCTTGTGTTCTTTTTTGCATTAACTTATAGCATTTTTCAGAGATATTCAAACATAGTCTCCGTTTTTTTCTTTTAACAATTTAAAGATTACATGAAAATATATTCAAATCACAGACAATATCGTGCTTATAAATAACCAAATGAGTTTCATTGAATTCCGTTAACCTTCAGATTATTGTTTTAATTTTAAAATTCCACTGTAAAGTAGCTTGTAATTCTATAATAATTGATCATTAGCATTATTGATAAGTGCGGGAGGTCCAAATTTATAAAAAACGCGTTGAAGTTGAAATAAAGTGAAAGAATAATTTCTCCTGAAATTTAGTTCATCGTGTTATATTTCAAAAATTACCTGTCAACAGTTTATTAGATCACAAAGCAATCAACTAACAAATCTGGCATCAAATTTCCCACACATAACCAGACTTTTCAAGAATCACTTGTCATTTTCTTAACACCAACCTTGTGTTGTGGTTTTATGCATACATACGAAGATATCAAATTTCTCCCCGAACTAAAAAAACTCATTCATTCAATATAAGATTTGCATGAAATTTCGAATTTCGTTACAGAATATACCTATAAGTTTTATGAAATTTCATACATTTTATTCCATACCTGTTTAGAAGGCTTGTTTTTATCCTGGTCTATTCCAAGCTCTATGCAATAGCACGCAAAACGTTTAACTAATATTTATTGCAATCTAAGTATGTTGATTATACACATAGTTACACGCAATTTATTATGTTTATAATTCGATGCAGCCTATAATTTAATGCTCTTGTTTGTTTCTCATTCAACAAATCTTGCTTCAACCATCGACACTTGAGAAGACTATGAGAAATTTTAGGTATGGAATGAATGGTTCAAGACCTTGTTGCACTTTTTATTAAATTAATTAAGATTCACTGATAAGCTCAATGTAATTGCATGCTACAAACCACATAAATGTCGAAAGATTGTTTATGTTGTTAACACTGATCTGATGCTATTAATTTAACTCTTTTTTTCCTTTTTCACTCCAACTTTATTTGTTTGCTATAAATTGGATTTTATTTTACTTTCTTTTACGATGCGATCTCTTGACTTGATCTTCTTCTTCTTCTTCATGTAATGTGTCAAATTAAAAATGATTTAATGTGAGATTATCATACGAAGCAAGAACTAAATTGATGAATACTTTAATATTAATCGCAGAATAATTGCAAATCGGTTTAACCTTGTCGAAGAATCAGCACCAACTGAATGAACGATCGTTTGCAATTGCTTAAAATAAAAAACTGAGCAACTTAAAAGAGAGTAACACATGAAAGAGAGAAAATGAAACTGTTGCACTAAAACCAACAAAAACATTTAATGAACTTGAAATGCCGGCTAATGGAATATTTTGTTTACTTTTCTTGTCTCGTGAGTCGATGAAGAAATGAATCAAAAAAAATTAATTTGGACCCCGTGGCTTAATGTTTTACTTCTTGGCTTGTAATATATCTGCAGTCTTTCCTAGTCGCATATCAATTTCATTTTCAATTAACATTATTGTTACACTGTTGATGATCAATCATGTTTAAAGTTAGATGATAAGACATATTTAATTTTAGAAATAATTGACTATCAAAGCATAATTCATTATGTCGTTTTTTAATAAATTGATCATTTCAATATGCTAAGAGCTTGAAAAAGTTGAGTCATTGCATCAAATTGCTTAAAAAATAAAAATTCTTCACAGGCTTCAATTTGAATCAAACAGTACTTAAAGGGCTTGTTTCAATCATGTCATTTATAACTTTCGTTTGTTTGATATTTTCATCGTGAAATTAATGTACAAAAGAAATCGATCAAATCAAAAAATTAGACCATATTATGCTTTTCAAATAATACAAAATTGTTTGTTGAATTATCAAATAAAAAGATCAATTTTTTTGAAACTGGAATACCTTTATGAATGTAAAGTGTTTTTATAACTAAATAATAGAAATGAAGCATATTTGTTTAATCGAAACAAATATTTAATTAATTTACATGCATGCATTCCTAAAAATATTCGTTTTTACTTTGAACATCAATTTCTGCGTTACAACTTTATGATTTAACTTATTTCACCTAAAAAAATTTCAAGTTCACATGAAATGGTTTGGTTCAATATATTTTTGTATTAATCTCGTTTCAATTAAGTATCAACTTCGATTGCCTCTCGATGTAATCGCCTTAACATAAATCAGTAACGTTGGTACTTTGATTTTGTATGAGAAACTTCATTCGGATCTTTTTTATTTCATTTTAAGCAAAAATCTTTGGGAATGTATGTGAGAATAATGAATCGTCATATGCAAAATAAGTTTTCATGCCGACAGACCCACTTTTCAAATGAACTTTTACGAACTTTTGCAGGCATACTGTTTCACAAATCTTCTTAATGAAATAAAAAGGGTCATTTGAATGGAATTCATATCTTTTTTAAGAAATTTATTATAAGTAGTCATTACTTAAGCTCAAACGTAATTTATCGAATAAACATTTGATTAACAATCAGGTCGTCTTTTGAAATATTCTTCAGTCGGAAATACATTTAATTATAATAAGAAATATTTGTTAATCATCTATTTACTTCAATTATAAATTTGATTATTCTTTTGTTTTATTCTTATAATTCGGTATCGCAGGTTGACATACATTTGAGATGATATTTGACGAAAGCAAGTAAATCACGACTTTATGTTCCTTTACTATTGAAATTTGTATCGAATTGAAGAATAATTAACTTACTTAAAATACATAAGTACAAATGAAAATATATCCCAGATTTTTTTTTGTAAACATTAGATTTCAATCAGTTGTTTAATTGGAGCAAAAGCAGCTAAACCTAAGTCATACCTATTTCGTTTTATCAATGTAAGAGAATAAAAGTGTGGGAAGTTTTAAAGTTAAACAAAACTATTATGGTTTCGATCAATTTCACTCAACCTTTAAACAATATTGTAAGAACTGTGGCAAAAACGTAGAAAATAACAAATGGAGTAAGATAACATTAATATGCGGCTAAATATTTTGTTATCTAATTAAGAAGAAATTAGGAATAGCTAATCTGTAAAAAGTGATAGCCAGATGTATTTATTACTTCAGCTATTTTTAAAACTATTTTTAAAAAGAAATCACCGCTCTGTAATTAATCACAATTATTACAGCTTGTAAATTTTTAATTGTGTCACATCGATGTTACTTAACAATTGAAAATATTGCATAAACATTAGCTAAACTTTATTTCAACATGCTAACAATTCATGTTTATAGGATTATTTGAATTATTGATGATCCTGATTATTTTTTCGTAGACAAAAGATTGATTAATTGTTAATTTAGATCCAAATATTTATTAAAAAATCTCTATTTCATGTCTTTTTAACCCAATTCAAGTAAAACTGTTTGAAGTGGCGTCGTTTTATGGCCAACGTCATTCAATGTTTAAAATATTTCTTTCGACATGTATATCTAATATAAATCTTCTGTCAAATATATATACATGATCTTGTGATTCCTCCGAATTGCAGAATAGATACTTAAAACGCAAAGATACATGACATTTATGTACGTTTCAAAAAATTCACTTGTCATCTCATTTCAACGCTTTGTGTAATAAAATTTTAAGATTAAATACTCAGAATAAGACAGTTGACTTTGATTGATTTAATTTCTTCACTTTCAATAAGATTAAACATCTTCGTATTGAGAAATGTTTGAACAAAAGAGAAAAATATTCATTTTTCATTGTTTTGGATTCACCTAATTACAAGATTTTTGTCACGTTTTTTATTCGCTATGTATTGTTAAATGTTTGAAGTTCTTGTTCATTGACAACTTTTTCACTTGATTATATTTATGCTTGATTACATAAATGGTTAATAAAACACTTACTTTTATGCTTTTATGTTTACAGTTAATACATAGACAATTTTCCACGATTATCGTGACTAAACTGTTGTTAATTTAATGCACTTTGCACACGATTCAATGAACATGCTCATACGTTAAGAAGAGCCAAAAGTATTATTTTTCAATTTCACGAAATTACTGCTGTCTTTTTATCCATTAGTTCAATAATCATCAACGTACGAGACTTATAACTTTTGTTAATTTTTTTAAATTTCGTTAGCTAAAACTGAGCAACCGATAAAAAAAATCAAGAGAGTTGGCTTTTGAAAAATCAACGAGAGTCGGATTTCTTTCAACAACAGAACAAAAAAAATTGAAGAGTAGAAGATAATATGCTTCGAGCAATCTGATGAACTTGAAAGTTTTGTTTACGTTTCTTGTCTTGTTAGCCGATTGCACATGAATAATTGATCAAATTAAATAGAATCCCGTGGTTAGACGCTTTTCTTCTTAAATTGTTATTTATCTCAGTCTGCAATCGCTTTTACTGCATAGTTAAAGTAATAGAAAATTGATGTTAAAGCATATTTCACCAATAAGCAGAATCATAATCAATTACATTTAATTATTAAAAGCATTTGGGATATGTAATCTAATCGAAAGTTTCAACATTTGCATTAAATATTAGTATTGAGATATAAAAGCTTTCAAGCTGTTAATTAAATATCGATTGTGAACGCGTCTTGACAGTTGCAACTTGAAAATATTTTATCTATTATAGGTATTTTCAACATCTGTTTTAATTGGTGATCACATTTGGTATGAAAAGATCGTTAATAAAATGTATCATAATTGAAATAATTTTTTGTCAGTTTTCAAAACAATTTTGCTTTAAATATCTACATAGATATTTGAATATACATTTTACCTAATTACATTTATTTTATAAACTATTTGACATGATGTAGCATTTAGAAAATGCATTCCATAAAAATGAAATCTTAACTTATCCAGGGAGATTAAATATATGAGATAAGCATGAAATTGTTAATTGTTTGATATTTATGGAGCTTTTATAGAGCCTAAAGCAGATAAACTGCTTGTAACACATTGAGGTGAGAGTAAGTAAAGTGAAGTGCATTTGAATAGCACAATAAAAATGTTTATCAGATTCAGATCTCAAGTGATTTCACTGAAAGTGATTTACATATCAAAAGTTATTCGCCTTTCTTCGCTTCGTCTTTGCGTTGTATCATAAATAAAAATTTCTATGTAAGTACTTCCATTATGCCGCATCTTATACGTGATGCATTCGAGTGACGTGAAATTGCTGTTGAGTATACTTTCATTGTTTCATCACGTGCTATGATTTTAAGATGTTGATATTTTGTAGTAATCTTCTTGTCAACCTGACTTAATCGCTTGTTTTTCTACAACTGCTGCTGAACAACTGGGAATTTAACTTTAAATCAACTTTAATTTATTTTTTAAATGAAGCAAGAGATTTTAACATATACCACTAATTTATTTGCATACATTTACAAGCTTGGATGTGTTTTTTTATTACTTATTCAACAAATTCAAAATTAAGTTCACGAGAAGCTTCGGTGCATTCTGGTTAAGTTACTTTAAATCCAATTATTTTGCTGACCGTGTCATATTCAAACAAATTGCATGGAGTAACATTAATTGGAAATATTTGAATTTAAAATTGAGTTTTGCTGATTTATTACTTTGATTGTATATTTATACACAGAGATAAGCTTTCATAGTTCTCTCATTTTTCATATCAATTCTCGACATTTTTATAAGTTCAATGTCTATGAACATGAACAATTTGCAAAAATTTATTCGATTTTTCGATTTATAGTTGAGTCATGCGATTTTTTCAAAGGGATTGTTTTATAAAGTTTACCGGTGAAATGGCAGTTTCAAGCTGCTTAATTTTTTTTGTATAGTTATTTCATCAATATTGTAGACATTGGCAAAAAGAGCTTCAATATAACTAGCATAAGAAACATACTTTCAAAAAATCAAAGCAACTCAAAACATGCAATAAAAGCTATGTTTATGAACTGAAATTTATGTCGTTGCCTTTTTTGAGACAATTTATCACAACTTATGATTCCTCGTTGTTAGATCGACCTACCGCTGCATTTATCAACGACATGTTCAATATGTCATTCCCAATAAAATGTTGCTTTCTGTGCAGTGAAACATGAAGTTGAGGCAACCGATGTTCACTTTTCCTTTTTCTTCTTAGTCTTTTGCCGCAATCTGCAGTAATTGCTTAGGCATTGCATTTTTAAACAGTTTTACACTTTGATGTAGAAGTAAGAAGAACTAGGTATTAACACTAAGAGACTTATTTAAAGAGATAAATTCATTTTAAAATTTTTTCGTTATGTATGATCGCTGATCAAATATTTGAAATTTAAATACTTCAATTAAATGACAGCAACCACTACTAGAAGTATCAATTGCAACTTGGAAATGAAGAAGAGAAGAGATTTATCATAACACGTTGTTAAAACATAATTGAGTCTTCAGATTGGCCATTGCGAGCTGCTGTTAAATAACTTCAAATTACATAATTGCACACTTTCGAACACAATCGTTAATCATGATTAATTACTTGATTTTGCATATTGTGAATTGATATTCAATAACATCTGAGTATTTTAATATTAATTAAACTTAGATGTCAATAGAATTGCCAAACATATTTTTGTTCTTTAAATTCGTTAAATTGCATTTACACATTGCAATGATGACAACTGTGAGCAGGTGCAAATAGCATGAAAGCATTTGAAACATTTCTTATTCGATGTTTTAAGTAAGTAACTTTTTCTAGCTCTTTGTGGATATTATTAAGGAAAAGAAGAAGAAAGTACGCGAATCGTCTGTTGTAAAGTTTATTTCTGAACTGTTTTATTTATAAATTCAGCATTTTCGTCAGTCAGTTTTAAAGAAGAAAATATTGAAAAACCACGTTGTCAAGTCTGAATTGAAAGCGTTTTAAGACCTTTTAGTTATCTCAAATTCAAAACGATTAGAAAATCGCAGTTTTAAGAATCTTTCTGATTTTTCTTTGAACGTTTTTAAAACCTAATGACTGGCTGTATTTATTTTCTTTTGCAAACAAATTAAGATTACTAAGAAATAAAATAGAAATGAAAGTTTAATGCCGAAGGCATATAACTTATAGTGCAGGCAATTGATAGTTCAGCACAAAGGAGACCAATAAAAGGCTTTTAACGATAAAGCCTCGTTTGACCGCACTGAGTTGCAGCTTTTTGAAATCATTTTTCATTCAAAGCAAAATAATTACAAATGAAAGTTAGAAAAATCACAAGGAAAATCCATTAGGAGATCTCCTATCTCTGATTTCATTTTAGTTTGGTTATTGAATTCTTGCAGTTTGTAATAACGCATCATCGATCATCAGTCTACACGCAGTAAGACGACTGGAAATATCTTTATTATTATGTAAAACTTCATTCACACATTCTTCATCACTTTCGTTGATGTTTCACATGTAAATGAACAGTCAAAAGGAATGAATAATGAGGCAATTCAATTGCATTTTTCAGCTTTCTTCGTACAGAATGGCTTAAAAAAATTACAAAGCTTGTGTTCTTTTTTGCATTAACTTATAGCATTTTTCAGAGATATTCAAACATAGTCTCCGTTTTTTTCTTTTAACAATTTAAAGATTACATGAAAATATATTCAAATCACAGACAATATCGTGCTTATAAATAACCAAATGAGTTTCATTGAATTCCGTTAACCTTCAGATTATTGTTTTAATTTTAAAATTCCACTGTAAAGTAGCTTGTAATTCTATAATAATTGATCATTAGCATTATTGATAAGTGCGGGAGGTCCAAATTTATAAAAAACGCGTTGAAGTTGAAATAAAGTGAAAGAATAATTTCTCCTGAAATTTAGTTCATCGTGTTATATTTCAAAAATTACCTGTCAACAGTTTATTAGATCACAAAGCAATCAACTAACAAATCTGGCATCAAATTTCCCACACATAACCAGACTTTTCAAGAATCACTTGTCATTTTCTTAACACCAACCTTGTGTTGTGGTTTTATGCATACATACGAAGATATCAAATTTCTCCCCGAACTAAAAAAACTCATTCATTCAATATAAGATTTGCATGAAATTTCGAATTTCGTTACAGAATATACCTATAAGTTTTATGAAATTTCATACATTTTATTCCATACCTGTTTAGAAGGCTTGTTTTTATCCTGGTCTATTCCAAGCTCTATGCAATAGCACGCAAAACGTTTAACTAATATTTATTGCAATCTAAGTATGTTGATTATACACATAGTTACACGCAATTTATTATGTTTATAATTCGATGCAGCCTATAATTTAATGCTCTTGTTTGTTTCTCATTCAACAAATCTTGCTTCAACCATCGACACTTGAGAAGACTATGAGAAATTTTANTTTTTAAACAGTTTTACACTTTGATGTAGAAGTAAGAAGAACTATTAACACTAAGAGACTTATTTAAAGAGATAAATTCATTTTAAAATTTTTTCGTTAAGTATGATCGCTGATCAAATATTTGAAATTTAAATACTTCAATTAAATGACAGCAACCACTACTAGAAGTATCAATTGCAACTTGGAATTGAAGAAGAGAAGAGATTTATCATAACACGTTGTTAAAACATAATTGAGTCTTCAGATTGGCCATTGCGAGCTGCTGTTAAATAACTTCAAATTACATAATTGCACACTTTCGAACACAATCGTTAATCATGATTAATTACTTGATTTTGCATATTGTGGATTGATATTCAATAAAATGTAAGTATTTTCATAAGAATTAAACTTAGATGTCAAAAGAATTGCCAAACATATTCTTTTCGTTCTTTAAATTCACACAAAAATATCCTATTACAAATTTTCTCAAGTATCTACTCATTTAAAACAACTAAGAACAAACAAGGTGCAAATAATAACAAAAATCTTAAATATTTAGTGATTGATCATTTCGGTGAACTTTGAAATTGAATATTGAGAAGATTTTTTTTTATTATTTTATTAATAATGTTTAATGTAATTGGGATTCCCTAGTTCATAACTGACAGTCACTTGAGGTATTAAAAGGCTTTTGTATCAAAATAATTTAAAATTGAAATCAAAAATCTTATTAATGATACGTACATACATTGAAAACTACCCATTGAAAATAAAACTTAATGCCTGAAGGTACTGAACCAACTAGGAAGGCGCTTCTAAACACGAAGTTTTCACACTTCTGTTTTAATACAATTTATGTTGAGAAAAGCAGGCTACAAATATTCAAATGACTTTCAGCCTTATGCTCATAAATATCTTAGTTAAACGAAATGGAAGATAAGCGGACAGCTTTCAACTTCTGTGATAAAATTAATAGAAACTTCAAGCTTCTTTTTAAATCACCCACACAGATCATTCACAGATTTTTCACAAAGCAATTTCATATTATTAGCAGCACTTAAAAGCGTAGGTAGATGATCTTCACTGACTCAATTCAATTTGAAATGAATTTCATAAGATTATTTTATCAATTAGTGTTTATTAACTTTCTTCAGTTTCCAGATATAATAAAACAAGTTATGATTTTTTAATTTAGTTTTTTTTTATTATGGCAATTTGATCATGGACACACGATGTTTTAACAATTTATTAATATTATCCTACCATCATTGAATTGTGGAAGTTTTAAAATTTTACGTATTCTTTCAACACGATTCATTCTTATTTTCTTTTGATTTCAAAATTGTTGGCATAGTTTTTCAAATTTAATAATGAAATATAGAATACTTAATCGATTGACATAAATAAACTTTTCGATTGTTATCTTTAAAAATTTAAAAATGTCAAACGATTTTAATTTAAAACATTATTTTATAGTTCATTTATAGGTTTGATCTTTCTGCTTTTGTTACAATCTTATTTGATGTTGTATTTCTTGTAAGCCTTATACAATTCTTGTATCTAATTCTCTTTTTTTTTTTATTTTCCCAAATATCTTAGATTCCAGTTTTAATATTTGTCCTTTTAAAAATTGTAAAGGTTTCATACATAGATATTATGGTGACTTAAAAAAAATACGTGTGGTGACGATAAAATAAAAATTAGGTATATAGATATATATGTATTTATAGGTTCTTTAAAAGTTTATCTACTTTTCTTATTCAAATCTCAAAAAGATGCTTTAATATATTCTTTCAGATAATTATATTTAAAATTTACAAAACAATTTCTGTCTCAAGAAATTTTATTTAAGGAAATGAAATAATTTTTATGTATGAAATTGTTCTCCTGTGTGGTGGCTCAAAAATACAACAAATGATAATCAAGTTGAACATAAAATTGTTTTTTTTCTTTCTTCTGTCTGTTGTGGAGCCGAAATGAAAAAGAAGCACATTCAAACCCGCCTCGGGATGATGTTTCACAGACGGCTTTAACGTGTTCCATAATTAACAATCATTTCGAGAACAGTAAAAAAACACATTTAAATCAGAAATTTTCTGTTTTGTACAGAGTTCAGCAGTCTTACGATTATTTCAAGTTGCATGTGCAAAAAAAGCAGAAATGCATCAGAAAGTTCAGATTCGTATGCATGTCATCAAATATATTGATTTCGTACCAAACATGCAATAGCGTTTTGGAAGACCTTTGTCGAACTTTCATTTCGTTCTCAAGTTCCGCATTGTTTCACTGGATGGTGATTTACAGGTTTTACTTCTTCTTCAAGGTTTTTTGTTCGATCTATTTATTGACTTACTTAGTGTCTCCCAAGGAGAATATATAAATAAATAACTGAATGTTTGAAAAGATAATAAATATTACCATTACGACAATAAATTTATGGTCGCAGTGTTTAAATTTTACCAGTGCTTAATTTATGTTCATAAAAAAATTCAAGAAAAAAATTGCGATCGGAAACGTTTTAAGCAAGGAATTTATTGTCTGGTCTGGAGTTGATGTTCAGATTTTATTTTTAGACATCAAATGAAATGAAAATGAAATTTAATTTTCTAAAATCTCTTCTATCGCAGTTCATCATTTTTTTTATAATAATGTATTAAAAAGATATATGTAGCATAAACTGATCATCAATAAATCAGAATTTGAAAATACTTTGAATATTTCTAAGATTTGACTTATAAATAAATATTCAAATAGCTTGTTCATAAATCTTTCAGAAGTTCAACAATCAACATCTCATAACACTTATGAAAAGGTTTTGCCAAAAAGTAAAAAAAATCGCAATAACATGTTTATGGACATATATTTGAACACGAAAAGGCCCGAATTTACTGTGCTATAAAAGTCATCTCGATAAGAAAACAAATTATGTGATGGTCAAAAGAACAAAGCGTTTGTTTGTATTTTTCTTTTGCGCTTAACATTATTTTGATTTTCAGTTCCTTCTTTTACATGCAATTTATGTTCTTTTTATGAATTTCTTTTATTCCTCCATGCGATTTCTCTCATAAGATAATACTCAATTGCAAAAAATATTCGGGAAGAAAAACACCGCAAACCCGAAACGAAATCTTATATTTTAAGTTAAACTTTGGGGTTATAACAAAAATGCTGATTTTATTTTTAACTTTCGTTTTTTGAAATAAAATTCTGAAGACGATGGAAGTTGTATTATACATATTTTTAATCAACTTGAAATTTTTCTTCAAAAAATCTATTTACGTTTATTGCTCATCCTTTTAACTTCTGATTGAAAACAAAAGAGAAGCTTGAGGTAAAAAAAACCTTGAAAGAGTAAAAAAGAAAAATAAAATTATGAGACTTGATACATAACAGTCTTTAAAAAATCAAAACAGGGTATGTACACTTTTAAAAATAAAGATATGCCTATTGGGAAAATTTACACAAAATCGTATTTAAAACTATCCAAATTGAGCATTGATTGCCTTAATTTTCAAGCTAAGAACTTCTGACACATATTATGCTGTCAATTATCCATTAAATTCTGTTCATGCCGGAACTGTCTAAAAATGATATATTTTTTCATTCATACCAATTCTAATTTAGGAAAAAAAACAAGAAATTAAAATCATCTGCTCAAATTTTGTAAGGAAAATTATTTATTAAATAAAGCTTTATTGTAAATTGTATTTAGGTATATTGCACAAATTCTTATTTTAAAAATAATTAAAATTTAATACAAATAGGTAGGTAGGATACTATTAAGTAAAATGTACTTAGATATAATTCATAACCTTACATTTTATAAAATATACCTACCTAATATTGTAAAATGTAAAAATGATATTATCAATATACACAAGTTCATAAGGGCTTCTAAAGCCAAAGCAATTGTTTTATGATTTCATAAAATTTTACAAAATAAACATTTTCACTTGTTCTCATAAGAAAATAACAACTTTATGTGGAACGTAAATACCTACCTAATAAATTAATATTCTATAAACCGCCCAAATAAAATATTTCTGTTGTGTTTCTTAAATAAATAAACTTTATTTCAACAGATAAACACATTTTTCAATATGTTTTAACAGAAACTTTGAAAGCTTTTTTCGAATAATGAAAAAGCTATTATAGAACCGGCTCTAAAAACCGGCAGCAGTAAAACATTAAACTTTCTCAATAAGATAATTTAATTTTTCTATCAATATACACAAGTTCATAAGGGCTTCCAAAGCCAAAGCAAGAGCTATAGATTAATAATTTCTTAAAATTATAAAAACATATTTCTACTTGTTTTATTAAAAATAGTATAACTTTATATCAACGTAAAATCTTAAATTAATATTCTGTAATCATCTGAAACTAAATATTTCAAAGTAAGTATATTAAATAAACTATGTTTCAACAGGTAACAAACACAATAAGTTTATGTGGAAAATAAGTTTATATTTATTTATAAGATAACAGGAATCAAATATCGCTTTAAGCAATTGAGCGTTGTTGGCAACTTTTTGATAAGTTCAGACACAATCAGCGGTCATTGAACTTTCTTTATTTACAATTTTTGGTTCCACAATTCTGTTTTGATAAGTTTTTCTTCCTTCAAAATTTTTCAACATTCAAAGAAAACTGCAATAATGCGTCTAGTTATTTTGCCAACGAGTTCGAATGTTGGAGAATGGAGTGCAAAATATGTGATGAAAAGGATTAACGACTTCAAGCCGGGTCCAGATCGTTACTTTGTTCTTGGTCTACCCACTGGTTCAACGCCTTTGGCAATGTACAAGAAGCTAATTGAATTCCATAAAGCTGGTCGTGTATCTTTCAAATATGTCAAGACTTTCAATATGGATGAATACGTTGGTAAGTAATTAGTTTCAGCTTACATTTTATTGTTTTAAATAATTTAAAAAATACAGCAAGCTGATAATAAAAATATTTCAAATTCCAGGTTTGCCACGAGATCATCCCGAAAGTTATCATTATTACATGTGGAATGAATTCTTTAAACACATTGATATTGATCCCGAAAATGCGCATATTCTTGATGGAAATGCTGAAGATTTAGTCGTTGAGTGCGACAACTTTGAAAGGAAGATTAAAGAAGCAGGAGGAGTTGAACTTTTCATTGGCGGAATTGGCCCTGATGGGCACATTGCTTTCAATGAGCCTGGATCATCATTGACGTCACGCACACGTGTCAAGACATTGGCTCAAGATACACTTGAAGCGAATGCGAGATTTTTCAATAACGATATCACTAAAGTGCCCAAACAAGCATTAACTGTTGGAGTTGGAACTGTTATGGATGCTAAGGAAGTTATGATTTTAATTACCGGAGCACATAAAAGCTTTGCTTTGTATAAAGCAATCGAAGAAGGAGTTAATCACATGTGGACTGTTAGTGCTTTCCAGGTATAATTTCATATTTTGTTATCATAAATAATTACAATTTATAACTTTTGTTTGATTTTTTTGAATTTTAGCTCCATCCAGCAACTTTATTTATAACAGACGAAGACGCTACTTTGGAATTGCGTGTCAAGACTGTCAAATATTTTAAGGTAAGTTTTATGTTATTAGTAATTATTGAAAATGTTCTATTTGTGTTTTAATAATTGGTGAATGGTTAAATATTTTGGATTTATTCCTACACATTAATTTTTTCATTCATTCTTCATTTCATTTTTCTTCCAATTACCTGACATTTAAGTTATTTAAATTTGAATGGATAAGCATTTTTCACAGACATAGCAATAATAATTACATATTTTGTGGTGGTGGTGAGACAAAGCTCGTGTTGTCGCCAAAAAATAATTTATTTTTGTTTTTGTTTCTTTTTTTTACATGACTCCTGCGAAATGTTGCCGATGTATTTATTTCTTTATTTATTTATGTTACAAATAACAAATCATGAACGAAGGCTTTAAGTGCCGTTCACAGTAAATTGATCGACGAATAATTCCACAACTCATAATTATTTTCAGGCATAATTCAAATCAATCAGTCCAGCATGATAATTTTTATTGATAGAATTTAAAGTTTTGAATTAAAATCAAGCTCGATGTTTTGAGTATAAATTTTCCAAAATACTTTCAAAAAAAATAATTAACACTTTTAACTATTTTGATTTCGTTAAAACATTTAGGGTCTCATGGGTGTTCATTCAAAACTTATAGAAGGAATGTAGTCAATCAACGATGATTCCCTATTCAATGAATCTCGGACTTTTGAAGTTTCTCCTGTCTACAATTATTTTCCTTTCAACTGTTAATTTTTTTAAGGTTTAAAGTTTATAAATATCTCTATGCAGTTTATAAATATTTTTGGAAATTAAGAAATAAAAAATTCAATAACAATCAGATTCAACGAAAACGTAATTTTGATGAGAGATTTCAGGTTTTTCAGTGTCTAAATTCCACTCAATTTCTCTTCTTGAAGGCTGCATATTCGTATGTTTTCACAATTGGTTTTTGTTCTGTTACCGCTAGGCAGATTGGTGATCATCTCAGACAATGTTGTTACGAAAAGTTCTTTCGAATGTGTAGTCGGCCTGTTTTTTACAATCGGTTTTCTTTCTGATTCTCTTTCATACAAAATTAAGACCAGTGTATACATTTTCAACGAAAGTTCATTACAGTCGCACTTTAAAAGTTGTATCGTCAGGTTTAAAACATATTCACTGTGCGTATGCAATTGTTCACATTTTTATTACTAAGAATTGTATATATATAAATATATTTCTTTGTTGGATTTTGAGTTCATCAACAAAAGCTTATCACAAAATAAATAAGATTTATTTTATTCCGCGTTATAAAGTACGTGAGAGATTGGCGAGAGATAGCAAAAATAAAGTTACATCGTTTGTCTACATAGGATAAATATATTAACATAAAAATGTTAAAAAAGTCAATTATTCTTATGTTGTTGTTGGTTCCACTGATTAATCCAAATGTTTATATTTTAAATATTAACGAGATCGAAAACAACGAAGTAAATCGCGAAGAACCTCCACCTTACACTGAATATGCCAAAATGGCTCGTTGGTTAGTACATAATGTAGAATGGACAGCTATGGGAACAATCTCAACTTATCCGACGATTAATGGATTTCCAATGGTGAATGTCATAGCAATTGCTGACTCAGAAAAAGGTGCAAAGTCTACAGGCAACATTTATTTTTATCTCACCATGTTGGATTTCACTGCACAAGATTTATCAAAGAAAAATCAATTAACTGCCTTATTAACAATGGATCAGAATCTTTACTGTACAAAACAAAACGTCGATCCAATGGAACCAACTTGTGCTCGCAGCATGATAAGTGGTGAAGCTTTACGTGTTCCTAAAGATTCTAAAGAATTTGAATTCGCTACAAATGCCATGATAAGTCATCATCCAGCAAGTGTTAACTGGCTTAACACCCACAACTTCTTCTTATGTAAACTCAACATTTCATCAATTTGTATTCTTGATTGGTACGGTGGGCCTCATTTTGTGACTGTAGAAGATTATTACAAGGCTGATATTGATTCTAATAAAAATAAATTTCCACATTTCAACTGATTCTTTAAATAATAAAAAAATTGAAATGTTTTTCATGCTATTTCCGTTTTTTTTATTTCTAATATGTTTTATGATTTCTTTTAACAAATTGAGTTACCATATTTCACAGTAGGCACTTTTGATTTAATAACCTTTTTAATTATGTTGACGAAATGCTGTTCGATTTCACACGTAGGTATTGATAAATATTGTAAATAAAAGATATAAATTTAAGTTATATTGTTATAAAAACACGAGGAATGTATGGTCACTAATTAGTCGTTTAATAAATCTTTGAGTGGATCATCAATAACATGACTCGCTTTTTTCTTTACTATTGACGTAGATTTTGTAGATGAAGACGACTTATTTGCAGGTGCCGAAGTATTTGCTAAAAAGACAGTAAAATAAAGTAAGCAATAGTTAATTTAATTTAGAAACTCACATTTTGGCTTTGAGCTAAATAAATCATCATCACTATCGTCACCAAACAATGAATTTTTTGAAGGCTTAGTAAAAATAATTGACCCGCTTGCTTCATCATCATCGTCACTATCAAAAAGTTTTGACGATTTTTTGATCATCGCAGAAGAAAGTTTTTTACTTGAATTTCCAAATAATTCGTCATCATCATCAAAAAGCGACTTCTTTTGATTCTGGATAATTTTCGGAGATTTTTCTTTCGGAATGTCTGTCATTTTAGGTTCTACAGATTTTATCATGGCACCAAATAAATCATCATCACTATCTGGTTCCGCAGAAGTAGTAACATGACTAATTTTGGTAACTGGTGCTGAAACGTCTTCGAAGAAATCATTGTTCAAGTCGTCAAACAGTCCAGCTGCTTTACTTATATTTTCTAATTTGTTCTTCGCTTTTAACTTCTCTTCTTCCATCATCATTCTCGTGTCTTCTTCATCATCATAAAAAACTGAAATTTTATTCGTAGTGATAACACTTTGGGACGACTTAACAGGATGATTCAGTTTTTTCTCAGAATTTTCAACCCATTTTGGACTTTTGTTGTTTTCATCATTACCATCATCGAAAATGGAAGAAGAAAGATTCTTTGTTGTTTGTTTTGTTGATATTTCTACAGAAGATTTAGAATCCAAAGGTTTTATCATTGCTTTGTCTTCTGGAGTGGCATATGTTAAAGTTCTTTGGTAGTTTGCTTGCCGACCTCGTCTTGTTGATGGTCGTCTTTTAACTTGAATTCTAGCTCTAGATTTTGTCAAATCATTGTTTAATAAATTAGCATTATTGTTAGAATCTTTTTGAATTTCAGAAGATTTTGGTGCTTCATTGCTTTCAATTTCTTCTAACATTTCATTTGATTTTTTCGTTGGCAAGCGTGCCCCTGGCATTAAAGCATCGACATTAATCTTCAAATTGGTGTTCAGTTTTCCAGGCAATAACTTCTTAGGCGAAGTAAATTCTTCAGTTTTTTTATTAAAAATCTCCAGTTTATCTTTGATGTTGACAGATTTTACTGATCGATCGATCTCATCGAAATCTTCCTTAGACTTTTCCACTTCATTTATTTTCCCTTCACATTGTTTTGATGTTGAATCATCAGGAATATCCTCTCCATCTGATTCAAAATTTGGTTCAGGAATTGGCGGTGGTTTCGTGATCATAAAATCATCATCATCTGGTGGAATATCGCTAAATAGCGGAATTGATGAATAATTCGATGAAACCTGATTAAAAATATTTCTATCGACAGGTTTTGTTTCAAGATCATCATAATTGTCTTCCATATCCCAATTATCATCATCATCGGGTGGAATATCACTTAAGAATGGAAGAGTCGAACTAATGATGTTAGCTGGCACTACGTCGGATTTTTCTGAATTTCCTAAATTGTATTTCTGAATTTCTGAAGAAAATGATTCTATTGAATTTTGATTTAACGAATCTTCGTAGGTTTTCAATTCGTCTCTTTTTAAAATTTCAGAAATGAAATTCTTATCTTCATCTCGGGAACTTTGGACATTTTTTGGTGTTTTAATTTGTTCTGGTAGCTCATCTCTTATTTCATTAGTATTTATTTTCTCAACAACCTCAGCATTCTTAGTCTCAGTCTTTTCACTGACTTTCTCATTTTTGCCCTGGATTTCTGTTTGTTTGGTGGATTCTAAATTAGTGCTGAGAATTTCTGTTGTTTCAACATTCTCTTGTGTTTTAGGAACTTCAAATTTCATTCCAAGGATATCGGATACATCATCATCACCATCATTGAATAAATTCGTAGATTTTTTTATTGGTTTTAACTTTTCCTTTTGAATTATAGGTGGGGAAACTTCCTCATCATCATCATTATCATCATCAAAAAGAGAACTTGATTTCTTCACGAAAGTTTTTTGTTTTGTTTTAAAGATGTCATCAAAATTGTTTACATTTTCTTGTTCATCATCAAAGAGATTTGAAAGTTTATTCTTCTTAGTCTCTTCTTTCACATTTGTAATCGGCTCAATTGTTTTATTAACGCCTTTTTTCTTCATAATTTCCTCGAAAAAGTCGTCAGATTCTTCCTCATCATCGAAGAGATTTGTAATTCTTTTACTGAGTGAATTTATTTTAGATTCATCTTTAGATGGATTTAATGGAACTGCTTTGGTTTCATCATTTGGCGACACCTCATTAGTTTCCTTCTCAATTTCTGTCGATGTTTTAGTCATTGAATCAGCTTTTTTAAGATGAACATTTTTAATTGCATCTTCCGTTATCTTCATAAAATTTTGCTTTATCGTCTTTTCAATTGTTTTTGGTTTTTGTTCATTTCCTTTTATAATTTCATTTTCACTGTGAGGATCATCTTCTTTTGTCTCAATGTGCTTAATGAAGGCATCGAATTCATTATCGTTAAAGATATCAACAGGTGGTTGGTGTTTTATACTATTATTATCTTTTATTGGAACAGTTGGAAAAGATTCTTCTGATTCATTATCATCGTCAAAAAGATTCACTGCTTTTTTCTTAACTAAAGGTGACGATTCTAAATATGGTGGTTCGTCGTCAAACAAATTAACAATTTTTCTTTGTTCGGCTTGTGGACGAAAAATGTGACTTGAAGTTGATGGTACATTTGGTGTTGTGAAATTAAATCTGTTATTTTCTTCCTGAATGTCATCAAAAAGTCCTCCAGTTGGACGATTAACAACCATCTGATCACTTATTGTCCCTAATGACTTCGTTAGGCTCTCTTGTGAAGCCATTAAACTTGAATTCTGAGCAAAAGAATTCCCATCAATATTTGATTGAAGCGGCACTGAAGGTACATTAATTGAGTCAGTTGATTCCACAAAATGTTCAGAACCAGAATGTGAAAGTATATCGTTGTCTAAAAGACCGACATGCCAATTTTCGCTCCATTTCTCAGATCCAATGAGATGAGGAAGAACATTCATAAACTTATCTATTGGCCGATAAACAATGCTCGTTTCCGAACGATTGTCGCTTGGATTGTGGTTCACTCGATGTTTTTCGAAGCAAGTATCCATAAGTTTCAATCCATTATCGATAGCAATTTGTGGTGATAGCTTGACCTTAAAAATATGTCAAATGTTGAAAACATGAATCGATTAAATTGAAATCGAAGAATCTTCTTGTGTATAATTAACACTTACTGGCTGCTGTTTCGTCTCTTCAGTTTTTGAATCCTCGAAATGATCGTCACTTATCAAACTTTCACAATAATTTGTATTTTTAAGAGAATTAATCCTTGTTAAATTACTGAGTTTGATTTTTGTTTCATCTAATCCAAGTTTCATCGAATTTATATTGCTTTTGATTGATGTGGTACGGTTTTCAACTTTCTATTACAAGTCAACAAACTTTAATAAAGAGAAAAGATCAAAATTATGTTTTATAAACTTACTGTAGCAATATTTTGCATTAATTCTAAAAGCTTTTCGTCACATTCTAAACTCCACTGTGCCTGTTCGGCTTTTTCAAAGAGTTCGTGACTTTTCTGGTTGAATGATGACATTTAATCAAAAAATTAATAAAAAATATGAATTCGGTCTGCTCAGAAAGAAAAATTTCAAGGATGCACAACTAGGTTCAAAACAAAAGGACAGACAGACCAAATTAAACCCTAAGTAGAAAAAAAGTTTTGAGAATAATTCAAAACAAAAGCGTTTAAAAGCTCAAGAATATTTATGCGAAATTTTATTCTTCACTATTTGATTCATTGATTTTTCTACATTTACGTTTGTCTGCAATTACAATCTTTACATTGTATTGTAAAAGGTTTACCACACTGGTTTTGTTGAATGCTTATCGTTTAAGTTTTGGAGATGATATAATTCAATCTGCAACTTTTGGAACTGATCAGCTAAATTGTAGTATTCCTTAAAAATGTTCAAAAGCATTTATTTATCTAAAACAGAATAAGAATATAATTTTGTTATCTTCAAGGATTTACCTTAGCTTCGTGATCAATTTTGTACTGCAACCGGTCTAAGTTACTTTTAAGATCAATCTGCATGCGCTCAAATCTCTTAATTTCCTTCAAAATTTCATTCTAAACATAAATCCAAAATATGAATTCTAATACAACTAAAAACAATTCAAATCACCCTTACTTTTGTCATACAATCATAATTAAGAATTAAATCCTTCGAGTTCAATTGACAATCTAGAGACGATGTTTCGTGATTATGAAAGTAACACAAATTTATAAGATATCAAACGAAATATTGCCATAGTTTCAAATATTTCTACTTGTTATAAATAATTTTTTTCTAGATAGTTGAACCTGAGCAAAATTAATTACCTTTTCCACACACTTGAATACTCTTAAGTGAATGTGTAAGAACTGCCAACTTTTCTTTAGCTTCTTGTAACTAGAAATCATGTTTCTTGTTAAAAATATTTTTAATTATATGACTGCAAATTATTACTTGTGATGCCACGGTGTCATTAACACAGTTCTGTTTATAAATCAAATTGTCATACTTTGATTCTGGATTTTTCTTAGCTTCATCTGCTTGCTGCATAAAAGTTTCCATTTTATGATGAAGCTCTGAATATTTTCGTTGAGCTTCATTGCTAAGGAAATAAAAATAAAATTTATCATTTCATTTAAAGAATTGGAAAATAATTTCACCGATTTTTTGTTTCATTTTCTAATTCCGAACGAAGCATTTCTATTTCTTCTCCACTGAACATTCTTGGGACCATTTGATCACCTTTTTTTGCACCAGAATCACGATGTTTAGAAGATCGTTTCTGAAGCAAGCAATCATTACTTCCACTAACATTTTCTCGTGAATTCAATTCGCTTTTCTTTCTCTCTAAAGACATGTTTTAGTATGAGTATTTCGAAGATTAATAGAATTAGGTATCAAGCTTAGCGAATTTATAAAATAAAACTTTTTGCACGAGAGTTTATTTCTAGTGTACAAAGCATCGATTTAACAAAAAAAGAGGTTGCTATGATGATTATAACTGATTCTATTGATTCCGGGTAAATATCCTGAATACCTAATTTAGATTCATCATTTTTCTCTAATAGGCATAAAAAAAATGAAGTTCGCTGAAAAAATTAAAACACATTCTTTGTGACCTATAAAATATTTTTATTTTATTGATGTTTCCATATTGTAAGTTTATGTAAGTGACAAAGATATTTTTTCATGTTTAGAGTGCTTTCACATTTAAAAATTTTTCGATGCTTAAAATAAATTATAATGACTTGATAATGACTAGAAACTAATCAAGAGAATACAGAATTTAATCAATCGTTGAGTGCTAATTGAAAAGTCTTGTTGATAATAATTATTTCTTAGTTTTCAGATCATTAATTAATGACAGTTGCTAAAAGAGGAAAACTGTCTAAATTGAATTATTTCTATAATAAAATTAATCAAAATCGTCATTAAAAGTTTCTCTAGCTAAATAAACTTATTTTTGTTTCTAAAATTAGACAAATAATAAATAATCCTTGTTAAAATGTGATATGAAATGATTTATCTGCGACATAAATGTAATCCAACTAGGTAAATCCAGAATTTTTGCCATTTGAAATATAATTCTCAATCACTAAAAATCTCTAAACTCTAATTAAAAACATTTCGACATTAACCAAAATTAATGTAATAAACATTTTTTGTCAAATATGTATCAAGCTATGTCTGATTTTTATTTATTTAACAATTTAGCATAAATATTTGTTTTTGACTATTTTAAGCGTCCCCTAATGACTTGTGAATGTTATGAAACTATTTTAGGCGATCTGAAATGAGAAATCATTAGAAATATAAATATTTAAAATGTTCATGTATCTACAAGTTGGGCTAAAGAAATAATATCTAAATAGTTTCAAAAAGGAGAAAGAAGAAGATCTATCTAAGAAAAGTTTAAAGAATCCTGAGGATTATAAATTACCGATTCTATATCACTATTGTCTTCGCTTGCTGTATGACTTGTTGGGTCACCCATCGCAACACGAGCATATTCATCTGTGTCTATAGACTTGCAGAAATGAATGGCGTATTTAAGTTTCTCCATTAAAACAGCCTAAGTAAAAATTGTATGGGAAAAACAAAATATTTTAAATTAGTTCACATATTTTTGTAGTCTTAAATCAAACATATCTTACTTTGCATGAATATCGTGGCATCTTCAAGAGGAAGAAACATGTGTAGCTTTCTGGCAGAAAATGATCAGGTGGATTATATTTATCGAGAACTATAAAAATGAAATTGATTAATCAGTTTAAGTAAAATTTGTGAATATTTTTTGATTAACCTTGCAAGACGAAGTCTCTTCCACGAAAATCAGCGATACTCCTAGGTAATCTTGTTCGACCCCAAACGAATCTTAAGAAAAGTGATCGCTCTTGATTAGTAAACTCTTCCATTACTTCCCAAAACCTGTTAAAATAATTGAATTAATACATAATAATTGTTTAAAAAAATAAAAAAATACCATTGAACAAGTGGTGAAGTCGAATCGATGCCTTTATACGTTGCCACAGTTTTTAATAAGCCCAAAGGAATATCTGGAGATCCACAAACCATTTCTTGTAATTCTGAGGCGGAGAATAATGACAACAATGGAACTGGAATTACTTTGGACATTCCATCACGAACAGCTTTGATTTGTTCATCGAACTCATGCAAACGATAATTAAGTGCAAGTTTCACATATTCTTGACGATTTTCAGGCGTAATATGAGTATATTTGGTTGATAAGAAGACTTCATGGCCTTTTGCTGAAGGTGTTGAGAACGGTAATTCCATTGTTTGAAAGATTTTTGGATCATCATCCATGTCGCGAATACAAAGCAATCCAGTTACGTAATCACGATCAACTTCTGTTAAATCTGATGGTCGAAGTGTTTCACCAGCTAATTGACGCCAACATGGTTCAGCTAAGCAATTAAGACTTAAAGGCGATCCAGTTCTTATTGCTATTCCAATCAAAACACCCAAAAAGCGGAACATGTTCATATGCAAAACAGAGTTTAATGTTGGATCCAACAAGAAGCAATCACGATTGGCTCCAGCTTCGCCACGTCCATTTGGTGTTTGAATTAATAAAGGAACACTTCCATTTTGCAATTCATCACACATTTCTGCTATGCTTTCACTAAATCCACCACCACAATCGTCAACACTTTCGCCAACAAATTTTACCTTCCAAATTCTATGTGGAAGAAAAAGTGATTCTTGTGTCAATAATGGAAGCTTTTGAACCATTTGACCAAAGACACTTTTCATTCCATCAATTCCGGCCAATCCATTTCCCGTTCGATTTCTTGATCGTTTCACCTGAATTCGATTCAATTCAATTGTAGGTCCATGAGGCTTATCTCGAACCATTGTACACTGAATAACTTTTCTTAAACTTGCTTCCTTGATGCTATAAACAAGAAGATCCCGTAATGAGCCAAGTGACAAATCACCTTCGATTGAGAACATCGCCAAACATGGGCAAAGTAATTCAGAAAAATGATGCAATAAGACGAGACGACTTTGAAGAACTTCTGGTTCAATATCTCTGACTAAATCATATTCCATTGGCGGTGATGGCAATGTTCTTGCTGCCAATGTATGTGGACATGTAGAAATTGCGAGTGTATGAGCTGAACCACAAATTACTTGAACAATATGTTTTCCTTGAAGTGAATTCACTAATCTTGGCCTTTGAATTGCAGTCACAGTTCCATCTCCTAATTGGCCTTCATCATTATCACCCCATGTAAATACTTCACCATTGTCTGTACACTAAACATAAAAGATTAAAATAATTATTCATTAAAAAAAGCAAAGAAAGAAAGAAAAACTTACAGCAATACAGTGGAGTGAACCAGTTGCAATTGAAACAATTTTCTTTCCTTGCAATGCTGCAACTTTCTTTGGTCTTCGAATATGTTCACTGTTTCCATGGCCTAAGCGATGATAATCTCCTTTTCCCCAAGTATAAACTGAGCCACTTCTTGTAAGTGCAACGGAGAATTGCGAACCACATTCAACTTTTATGACACCCAAACCAGCTAAACTTTCGATTTTCATAGGAACTTTACAACCATCACTCCCACCACGACCAAGTTTTCCGTAATCTCCGTCACCCCAGGACCAAACATTGTCTATGGATTAGATAATGCACATTATACGATTAAATATATGAAATGTTTTGTTTAAAAATTAAACTTGCCATCATCAGTTATGCAAAGTGTTTGAGCATCACCAGAACCACATGCAATGTCTATGGCTCGATATCCAAGGAGCATTTCAACAACTTTCGGCTTCAATTGATCTTCAGAATCTCCATGACCAAGTCTACCATATCTTCCTTTTCCCCACGTTAAAACATGTCCCTCTGCTGTTATCTAAATAAATAAAAAGTTTATAAATAAATAATCCTAACTTGGTTTTAATGCAAAATTTACTGCTGCGCTATGTGCACTTCCACATGATATATCGACAATTCCTAGACCTGATAAACTTTCAATCAGTTTCGGTCTGTCATAGCTATCACGATTTCCATGACCAAGTTTTCCGTCTTCACCTTCACCCCATGAAAAGACTTCATTATCAGATGATAAAGCAAGACAATGCTTTCCACCAGAATTAACAGCAACTTTCTTAATAAAGACATGTTGTAAACTCTCAATTAAAGTTGGAACAGCAACGGAATCAGCTCCACCAATTCCTAAACGACCACCAGCACCATAGCCAGTCGCATAAACCTTCCCATCATGCGTTACAGCATAAAGTGTTTGTTCACCACCAACAATCTGAATTGGTCGAAGAAGTGATAAAGCTTCACATGGTGTTGGAATTTTAATTCGACTGCCATCTAATCCACCCAGTTGACCGCGATGATTATGGCCCCATCCGAAAATTGTACTTGCACCACCTCCCCAAGAAAAAGCCCAATCTTCAGGTCTTCGATTGAACCATTGAAGAAGTTGCGAATCATGATTCAGTGTGAAGATGGTGTGATCTTCAAATGGCATCTTTTCATATGCTTCACTGAGTTCATTTTCATTTTGAATTGATGCTTGAAGTGATGAACTTTGATAATAAGATGATGATGAAGTCATTGATGAAGAAAGTTCATTTGGAGCATTGTTGACAGGAGCTGAACCAGTAGTTGCCTCAAGTTTCTTTCGAACTTCAAAGCAAAAGGATTTTGGAAGTGAAGTTCGTCGAATCATCGCTTTTGCGACTCTTACAGCAGTACAATATCTCTTGAACCAAGACCATTTGTGTGCTTCATTAGTTGGTAAAAGATTGTCAACATTCAAATCACAAGCCAGTGCGATCATACATTGAAAGTATTCAGAATGCATCAAATGAAGGCCAGTTCTAACTTGACTTTCTTCATATTCATATTGTTTAAGAATCATTGGAATTAATGGCTGAATAATCTCCATTAAAGAAGCGTCTGATGTGTGTGATGCAAATCTCGAAGTTGTCAGATAATAATGAATCTTTTTTAGACACCAAATTCTTTGATTAATCGACAAAGTTCCTTTTTGAGCACATTGAGAAAGTGCTGAAATTAATCTTAATAGAACATTTGGATTTTGTGGCGCAAGCTTTGAATCTAAAAGCACCATGACAAGATCAATCGATGGCTGTGAGAGAATTTTTCTATCAGATCCAAGCTCTTGTAAATATGATGCTGGCATAATCGCATGGACCATAAATCGAAATCCCCATCCATTTACACTGTTATCCGATGTAAACTTCCATCTCATTTCATCACCAGGGATTCTGATTTCTTGGGCCCATTGCGCAAATTCTCGACCAGATCTTGTGGCAATCACACGACCCGAAGAATCCATGATGATAAGTGGATCATTTCGCTTCTCAGTTGAACATTGGGAATCAAATTCAATTCGAAGAAATTCAGCTCCAGGAATTTTCACATGACCAACAAGGGTAATATCATCAACATATGGATGACTGCTCTCTTGAGTCACTGGTTTTGGTGTTCGTTCCAGACAATGTCTTGAAGTTAAATCCTCCAACTCAGATATACACGTTTCAATGATCATATTACCAATTGTTACTGAACTTAATCCAAGTTCAATCAAAGTATTCGCAATTGTTTCAGCATTTGTTTGTATACCAGGAATTCTACCACAAACACTAAGCTTCAACAACTCGAGAAGATTACGTGACTCAGCATCACCAAACAAAACGAGAAAATCATCCAGACCCGATTTAGATGACGCTACTTCAGCGATCATTTCTTCCTGATGATTTATAATGCAAGCCATTACTGACATTGCACTTGTTGACATCTTTGAATGTCTAGCATTTACAGCGTTGTTGCAACTTGAAGCAGCTGACATTGACATTGAATTTGTTAAACTTCGATACAAGCTGTTAGATGTATTTGGCAGCGGATTTGATGGATATTCTGTATCATTTAACATTTCTCCTTCAAAAGGATTTTCACATTCTTCAGCTAAACTTTCACCACCACCATTAGCTATTTGTGAATTGATAAGATCACGTTGATTAGCTTGTGCCATCATTTCTTGCTTATCAAGTTCAATTATGTCTTCTGACTTTGCTTCTTTCATTATTTTATCAGTTTCAAAAATTGTTTGATGATTTTTTATCTGAGCATGACTTGTCAATGCTGCAATAATACAGGAACGTGCTTGTAATATTTTAATAGCATTTAAAATGTTACTTAAAGCTATTTGCAAGGCCGATGTTGACTCCAATGATAACACAATTTCTGATAGAGATTTTCGAGGATGTTTGATTTTGTGTAGAATTGGTGATGAAGTCGTTTGGTCGTCAAGTGAGTACATTCCTAAACTATGGCCTCCTAAAGGATCTTTCGAAACTGTAAACGGAACAGCCTCTTTCTTGTCTAATTCAGATTCAAAATCAGGCAAACTCCATGCAATGGAATGTGAACTTCCACAGGCAACACGATTGACAAAGACACCGTCAAGTCCAATAACTAACGTAGGTTTTTTATTGACACTTGTGTTACCTGAGCCTTGTTGACCATGATCATTATCACCCCAACCATAAACTTGACCTATTTGTAAGAAAAAAATGGTTACATTCAACAATCTTAAGGTTAGATTATAAATCATAATTTGTTTGATTTCATTAATGAAACCCGCCACTACGGGGCGGCAATTTCAGAAAAGAATTGCTAAATGTGAACTTACCTGTGTCAGCAACAGCTAAACAATGTAATGCCCCAACAGCAACATGAATAATTTTCTTCCCACGAAGACATTGAATCGGTGTTGGCTTTCGAACGTGTTGATCAGATCCATGTCCAAGACGATAATAATCACCTTTACCCCATGTCCACACTTCACCTGTTCTTGTTAATCTATAAATGATATGGTTAATAATTTTAAATAAATTGAATTTATGAAAATAAAACATACGCGAGCGAAAATTGTGCTCCACATTCAATTTGAATAATCCCAAGGCTATTCAATCTATCGATTGGTTGTGGAACACTGCAACCATCACTTCCGCCTCTTCCAAGCTTCCCAAAGTCTCCATCACCCCATGAATAAACAGTTCCATCTTCAGTTAAACAAAGTGTTTGTGCATCACGTGATCCGCAAGCAACTTGAACAACGCGTTGACCGACAAGTTTTTGAACCAATTTAGGTTTCAACAAAGTACTGTTATCGCCATGTCCAAGTCTTCCATATTCACCAAGGCCCCATGTGTAAAGTTCTCCTTGACTTGTAATTGCGGCACTATGAGCACTTCCACAAGCAATATCTCGAATTCTCTTAGTTTTCAATGATTCAATGAGCTTTGGCTTTTCAAGGGTTATTCGATTTCCATGACCCAATTTTCCATCTTCACCTTCACCCCAACTAAAGATTTTCCCATCGAGTGTTATTGCCATGGCATGTTTGCCACCAGAATGAACGGCAACTTTCTTCACAATATATTGATTGATGACTGGCACCTGTTGTGGACTTGATACGTTGTTATTATGCCCTAAACCAAGCCTTCCATTTGTTCCTTCACCACAAGCATATAAACTTCCATCTTGCGATACAATAAATAATGATTTAGAACCACCAGCAATATGAATTGGTTTGAGATTTGACAAAACTGACGAAAACATTGGAATCTTCACTTTAGATCCTTTAAGACCAGCAAGTTGCTCTTTATCATTTAAGCCCCAAACATAAACTCGACTCATTTTTTCATCCTTTCCTCCTAAACTATCTCTTCGACTAGAAATAGATTTGTCGTCGATGTTATAATTATTGTATGTTGTTGAATAAGTTGGCTCAATAGTATCACAATCATTAGCTAGAAAGTTTGCATTTGATAACATCGCATCGACATCAGTCTGCTTTCGTTTTCCAATGACATATAAATCATGAATTCGACATTGAATACCATTATTACGACATTGTTTTATGTAAATTTCAATCCAATTGAAATATTGACGAACGTTTGATAACAACACTACATGAGTATCATTTGATCTTATCGTAACCCAATTAAAGTCTTTTAAGTTGGAAAGATTATCACCAGTTCGAATGATAATTGTACTTGGCTGATGTGAACAATCATTAGGTTCAATTCTCACCGTCATTGCATGGATTAGAATATTTTCTCTCATCTCTAATCGAATCCATGGTCGTCCTTGAGTGTTTGAGCTTTGCCAGAAAGCTGTCGATCTTTCGAGAAGATTTCTTGCTGATCCTTCATTGGATGAAACTGTGAGGGATTTCAGACATTGGGACCAATCTTCGATTATATCATAAAGTTCATTTTCTGTTGATGCTGGATGAACAAGTTCCAAGTCACCCAATTGTCCACACCACGATTTTTGCTGGGGAAAATCAACAATAACTTCTAAGCCATTGACTGCAGTGACAATTCCTACCACATTCTTTACAACTTGGGTTCTTGCAATTGTACTTGAAGATTTAATCTTAACATGCGAGCCATAAGTGATGTTCGATGATTTGATATCATCTGAAGGTGGCTCAACCATCTCTAAATGAACAAAACACATCCAAAATGGTCGTTCATGAGTTTTAAAGTCAACTCGAACATTCAAATCATGTAATTCATCGGGTTCAACTTTCAGGACAATTCCAACATCCCCAGCACGAATCTCTTCAAAATCACGACAACACCGAACCAACATACCTGGACAAATGTGACTTCGCACATATATTGCATATTGGTCACCATTTTTAAAGTCATCACGTCTTGCAAATCTCGTTTGTTGTTGATTGAATGAAGATGAATTCAAGTTCTCTGAACTTGTACTCTCATTATCACTGTCAATTGTTGTGACAACATTAAAACTATTGATTTTGTTGAGTGTTCCTTTGGAATCTTCATCCATAACTGATTCGGGGTGATCAATTATCCATTGAACAACTTGCTCAGCTGTTGGAAGAATCTCAACACGATTCGTAATTTGTTTAAGTGCAAGTTCTACTGTTTTTCTTGAAAAACCCATTTCCATAATTTGAATGACAAGTTTCGTAGCTGGATTTGCTCTTGAAGGTTCTGAAGTGCTGCTACATGCGAAATTATTCGTCGAGATATCTTGGATTACTTCATTGTAAACAGCAACGCCATGAATCATTGTCGCTAATTTGACATTCTGGAACTTGACTTGAGGAATATTATTCTTAAAATGAGCTGCTAAGGTTTGACAAATTGCTAATGCTGCAATTTCCATTTCTGATTGTGTAAAGCAAGCTTTCAATGGACTCGATTGAATGGCACGGGAGAGAATACTTTGAACAAGTAACTCCTGCTTTGTTTGATGATCATTAGATATCAATTCCGATTTTTTTTCATCATTTTCATCAGATTTCGCATTCTTAGAATCGTCTGACATGCTGTCATCAGACGAATACTTTGCAATGCCAGGCGATCTTTGTCTAAGAATTGTTTTCAAAAGACTTTGATGTCGGAAGAGAACTTGGGTGGCTTTCAACGAAGCCAAATGTATTTGTTGATAGGTGAGAAGTGACAAGTCAAACCCACATGAGTCTGGACTATTAGTGGCGGTTTCAATATTCATTCCATACATCAATACAGCAAACGAGTTCAATAACATTTCATTAAGTGAAAGCTTCGATAAACTGAAGATTCCTTGTTCGATTGACTTTTCTATCTTTGCAAATGAAACACTTAATGTTTCATTTGATCCATGAACACTTAGAATGACCCTTCTTGCCATTCTAAATATTGAACATTTCATACTATCATAGACGAGATCAATTCCAATTCTTGGCCGTGGATCAAAACCTCCAATAACACTCAGTGCAGCTGCAACATTCAAGTTCTCATTATAAACATTATTCTCACAACGTTCAGTGTCAATAAACATATCAGCAGCTACGCACATCTTCTGCGATATGAAACTGTTGATGACGTCATTCCACAATGGTAAAGTGTGTAGTTTTCGAAGTAATGAAATCAATTCTTCAGCAATTGTTCCTGAATGTGATGCGCTTGAAAGAACTTTTGTTTTTATTCCTACTGGTAAATGTGTTAATGAAATATCATGTGGACAATTCATTAAAATATTTCCAAGTAACAAAAATAATTGATTAACGATTTCATCAATTCGATAAATGTCATCATCAGACCATTGAATTAAAGTCGTTTGAAGTAGTCGAATACATTGAACTTTTTTGTAAACATCTTTCTCGCTTAGAGTCGGTATTCGAAGCATTTCGAAAAATAATTTTATCCATAAATCGCTTGTGATGTACTTTGAAATGCTTTGTGATTTGAGAATTCCACGTAGAAATGCTACAGTTCGCCAAGCATCTAATCCCATGTTTGAGACATTATTACGTTGAGTTAAAATTGAATAAAACATTGTCACAAAAACTCTGACAGCATTATGTTGCATTTTATCGCCATGAACACCAACAGATGTCGAAATCATTTGTAATAATTTAATGCAAGCATTTTTAAGTAGTTTAGTTGGATGAATTTCATTCTGTTGTAGTTTTGATTCGAATAATTCTTCATTATTCTTGTCACTTTCCTTATCAGGTGATATTGTCTTGAAGCTACTGTCAGCCAATCTCAAATCATATTGTCCTTCTTTCCCCATTCGATAAGAGTTTGTGGCTCCCGTATCCCATTCAACACGGACCCAACCATCATCACCAACTTCACTAATAATTCTTCCTTCGCCATTTCCATCTTGTTCTCCCCATTTCCAATCGCTACCGCGAGCAACACGTGTTCCAATCTTCATTTGTTTTACCAATTCTGGTCCACTGAGAAGTCCATCTTTAGAAATGTTGTGACGAAGTTTTATGTCTTCTTCGTATACGATACTTAACTCCTTATCAGTCTTGTTACTCAATGGAAGATCATTGTTTCCTGTCTGATGTAACAAGCCAAGACTTGACCCTAACAATCCCGAATTTATAAGTAAGCTCAACTCATTTCCAGTGTAATTTTTAGCCAATAATCCGAAGATTGTTAAGAGAAAACGAGCACGTGAAACTTTCTTTAAAAACACATAAGTTCCCAGATTTGTTTGATCTTTGTCGCCGTGACTCCACTTTTGCTTACCAACAAAATGCTCTTGATTCACGTACTTTTGAAATTCTTTAATAGTCCATTCAAGAATATGTGAATGTGCAATCAAAATATCAGCTTTTTGATATGCTGTGATCAAGTTTAAATTTTCTAAAATATGGTCGTAATTTTCATTATTATCGTTATTTTCTTCTGCATAAGCTGAATTTAAAAATCCATTGTAGATGTTATACTTGGCAGCATCAAGTAGATTTTCAATTGATAAGAGTTCTTTGAACATTTTCAGACCTTCCTTTCTTGTCTGGTAACGTTGTATTTGACAGAACATTGCACGTCTCAATGTTTCAACATCATAGTTTTCTTGCATTACAAAATCAACAATTTGATTGTTGACATTACTTTTAAACAAGTGATCTTCATTTTGATTGTAACGTTCATTGAGTTTCAGAATAACATTGTTGACAAATTCATCATTTGTATTATTCATCATTACTGAAGGCTTAAACTCGCTTTCTGAGGGCTCTTCAAGAAGATTTATTTCTTCATTTAGTTGATCAGATGACGTTAAAAGATTTTCATTTGATGGAGCTTTTGATGTGATTTGATTGGTGATAGCTTCAGTACTGTCAACTTTGTGTAAGCTCTCTGATGATAAATGTCGCTCAAAATGTTCACTAACAAACTGTGCAACTTTGCTCAAAGATGAGTTGTGTGTGCTTTGAATTGAAGCATTCAATAAATCATCAATTTTGTCCGAATCAGTGTCTTTATTTCCATTAACACGACTATCTTCAATAATTTGTCGAACAATTGTTCGAAATCTCGGCTCTTTATAATGCTCGAAAAGTCTTTTTAAACCTGCTTGTTCAGGACTTATTGCTGGACGAACTTCATAAAGAAGAAAGCGACATTTTTCAAGAATTGGTGTACACACTTCTTTATAACTTCGATTCAGTTGTTGACGGATTTTAATTAAATTCCATTTCATCATATGAACGATTTTAATAATTTCAATTATTGGTTGTGGAATTTTTCCATTAATCCCAGTCATATCTGATAAAAAAGATCATAAATAAAAATAAGTTTTAATTAATAACATTTGTTCTGTCAGGACAAGTAAACAATTTCACTCACCTCTATCGATAACGGCCAGTATTAAAGTTCCTAAACTTTGGTGACGAATTAAAACTGCTGTTAAAAGTCTATCAACATCAATGATCGGATGATCTGTTGAATATTCTTGATGCCATATTAAATTATTCTCTTTACAGAATTTCTCAGACAATGAAATCCATGCGCTGCATAAAAAGATATTTTTTTACTTCATATTACAATAAGTATTAATTATCAACTCACCTGACGGTTGTGTCATTAGTTCGGCCCTCGGCTAGTCCATAAATAAAAGATTGAATTCTTATTTGCATTGGGGGGAATTGTGTTATCTGAACAGGTTCACCAAGGAGATTAACACCATCTGTCGTAGGCGTACTGCCAGCTGTTGATCCACTACTTCTCGCTTCAAATTTCTCTTCATCAAACGGATTTGTTATATTTGTTTGTAAACCACCACGGAGAATGATCGAATTTAACATTTTCTTACACATAACTTCAGCAGGTTGAAATGATGAAGCATTTTGAAGTATATTTGATCTCATGCCAAGTATCCAAGCTAACGTTTTCTCAGATTCAAAATATGAAAGTTTCTCATAGTTCTGATTCGTAAATTTATGGATTTTTCTTGAGCTTTCACACTCATATTTACCAACCAGAAAACTGTTGCTGCTTGTGATATCATCGAAAATCTTTTGATACTGCAAATTATTTAGTTCATTTGTTAGATCTTTTCCGATATTATTATCCAAGAAAGTTTGAGATTCAGTATCAGATGCTGTAAAATCTTTAATATCATAAATACATCCATTGATAATAATCCATCGACTTCCATCCAATAAGCTATTTTCAAAATCATGTTTTCTAATAAATTCTGTATCTGATATAATGTTAAGTTTATCATTATCACTATCACGACAAATTATTCCCGGCCATCCCATATGATCAGAATTCTTAACTTCAACATCATATATTAGACGATTTAAATTATCTAATGTTTTTAAAAGTGGGAGAAAATTTTCCATCCATTTGAAAGACGACAAAAATCCTGGTCGTGATTTTTGAACTAAAATCATTCCAAGGAGAAGTTCGTAAAGAAGAGAATCAGATATATCACTTTGAAGGATGAGAGCCACGTCTTCTTTATTTTGATTGATCACATCTTGTGCTTTTGTCAGTGTTGACACACAAAGTGATGACATGAGGATTATATAAGATTCAAGAAGTGATTCAGCACCGGACAAATCTTCATGCTTAGCTGAACAAATGTGAGACAATAAAAGTCTTTGAAATTTGTGAAGTAAATCAATACTTGGAGACGATGTTTCATCAATGAAGGAATGTACATCATTTACTTTTGATGAACTTTCAATTAAAAGTTGATTTAATCGTGATTGGGTTAATGTTGAATTATTATGTAAAAGCTGTTTTAAAAGATCCAACAATGGAAGTTGATCACAATCTTGTCGTTCTGAGTTAATGATTTGATTCAAAGCAGTCTCAAGTCCACCTTCAGCCATTATAGAACCGACAAGAAGATCTGTCATGAAGCGATGTGCAGATGCTTGTGTTGGATCAGGAAGTAAAGAAGTTAACGTTTGTGCACGTTCAGATGGTGTTGGTAATAAAATTGACCAACCAATCTGCAACGCATTTTGCGCTGCTTCTTGAATAGTCTTAAGAACTGCATTTCCTCCTGAAAGTTGTAAAACTCTTGACTTTATACTTTTCAATCGTGCTCCTGTAAGACCAACTTTCTTCGGAGATATGTTGTTACAAATCATTGCATGAAATTGTAGACACATTAGGTTTAAAGATGCAACTGCAATGCATTCTGTTTCTTGACTTGGGGGGTGATCGGTTTCACTTGCAGATGAAGTTGTTGCTGTTGTTAAATTTAATCCTCCGCACACACAATATAGCAACTGATCCAATAATCTAAATGTTTGTTCAGACAAATCTATAACAAATGGAATTTTTGGTGGAATACAAATCATTGATGAATGAGACCAAATGATACTTTGAGTAGAACCACAAGATATTCCACTAATTTTAAGGAATGGTGGTGTTGTTAATATTGGCTTTGCAATAATTGAATCTTTGGTGATACATGGCGGACAAACTTGTGAGAAATCATTCTTTCCAAAACCATACAATTCACCACTACTCATCAATAACAAACAATGTGCTGAACCAACTGATACTTTTTCAACTTCCTTTCCATTCAATCCTTCAATTTTTTTGGGATATAAAGATCTTCATTCACATTTTCATGTCCTAATCGTCCACATCTTCCCCAAGTGTAGATTGACATTCCATCAGTTGTTACTGCCATACTAAAATGTGGACCAGAATAAACGTTGCTAATGTTAGCAAGGCCTTCAATCAAGATTGGAACTTGAGATCCATTTGTCGGTCCAATTCCAAGCTTACCGAAATCACCATCCCCGAACACAAATACTTTGCCTTGATCAGTTGCACAAAGTGTATGCGAGTCGCCACATGATACATCAATGATTTTATGAGATTTCAAAGCTGTCACTAATGTTGGAATAAATTTATCGTCAGAATTGCCATGGCCAAGTTTACCAAATCTTCCTTGACCAAAAGTGTAAAGTTCACCATTATTTGTAATTACAGCAGTATATGTCGTCCCACATGATGCATTGATGATTTGTTTGTTCGCTAAATATTGTATTTTCGTTGGATGTTCCTTCGAAAGACATTCCTCAGTATGCCCTAAACGTCCGAATTCTCCCAAACCCCATGAGTAAATTTCACCGACTAATGTCAATGCCAAATAATGGCGACCTTCACAATGCGAAATTATTTTATTGATAATTGAATTTGAATCAAATCCATCAATTCTTATTGCTTTTGTTTGCTCTGACTGCAGTTTAACTTCATAAACATCACCAGATGTGCTTAATAGGTGAATGACATTTTCAGCGCAAGCAATTTGATCGACAACTATATTAGCTCCAAAATCTATCGTCGGTGCAGCATAGTTTGACATTCGTGTGTATTCATACATCCATTTATCTTCTGATTCTGATGAGAAAACGTTAAATTCTGGCGATAATCCATTATACCCAAGTGAAATAATTTGTTGATTTCGATAATTTTGGATTCTTGATGTCCACATTTTGCTGGGAAGGTGTGAACGACATATTCTATCAAGATGACTTATAATTATTACTGCTGCTTGTTGAGCATCAATTAAAGCTTCTTCATCTTCATCATCTTCGGGTAGTGAAAGAAATCGTAAGAAAGATTCTGTTGGACTAAATGGATGCTGGTCAGTAGTCGATGGCAAAATGCCAAGATTTTTATTAATTTCTTCATATCTTTTGAGTATTTTCACTAAAGGAATTCCATTGCTTTCCAATGGTGTTTGACGATTATCTTGATTTGTATTTATTTCCGACACACTTAAAAGAAGCAGAACACCTTCTAATGAACCTGCTAAGGTTCCTTTTTGCATCTCAAGTTCAAGTAACAAATTAAGAGAAATATTTCTATCTGCTTTAGGAATTTGATTTTGAATTTCGCCTGATTCATTCTCACTTGCCAGAACGATTTGTCTTAAAAACTTTATCGATTTCTCAATTGCTTCCATCCATAATGGTGAGAGATTTGAAGTGTCAAACAGAGCTCCAGGTTCGAGAGATAACTGAATAGTCTCGAGGGAATCACTCAAAAGTTCACCGCATAACTCAGTGTCACCTGATTTCCATGCTTTTTTTAAACTTGCAAAGAAGAAGTTTAATGCCGTTCGAGAGCCAATTTTTGCTAATTCAACCTTTGCTTTCTCTCCTTTCGATAGCTTTGTTTCTTTGATTTCAAAGTCATAATTCAAATTATTAACATCAATAAAGAAACTTTCACGGTTTTCAGGTGCAATTTTCTTTGATTTAGTTCTCGCAAGTGCCACAAAATATCGTTCATATATTTTTAAAATCATTTTTAATGAGAAACTTGAAAGACTATTGTCACTTGCTTGCAAACAAATTTTTCGCTGTTCTGCAAGAAGTTTTTTAATGCAGGTGTTGAGTTGATTATCATCTGGAGTAAATAATTTGAGAAAATTTAATAGTATGTATTTGGGTGGATTTCATAAAGATTAGTTATAATTATACCTGGAATGGGACCCCACATCCAAGACTCAATATATGATTCACTTGTTGTTGCATTGTTATTGGCTTTTTCTTGATGATTCTGTACATCCTCACTTAATTCTAATGATCCCGGTACTAATTGACAGTAATCACATACACATGAAGATGTCGGGCCACAAACACCCTCACAACATGAACAATTAAGAACTTTTCCACCACAATAATATTTACCATCGCTTCTTAAATACGATAATCTTCCGATGGGGTTGACTATCGATTGGTATTTTGTGTCTGATAGCTCATTGTCACTGATTAAGGTATTAAAAATGGCAGATCTAGTAAAGTAAGGATCTTTCAAGGCCCCATTAAGATTGCATTTCAGCCATTTCTCATCTAAGTATTCAAAATTTCGTAACCACATTTTAAAAATTATTTATGGCTAAGGTTGAAATAAATGGTTATTCTTTTATCATCGATTTTTTTCTCAAATGTCACTTCATTACGCCTTAGATTCCCATTCATTTTTCTGAGTTAAAATTGAAATTATTCTTCAGATCTCATTTATTTCACTAATATGTTTATAATTATGAGAAGATAATTTGGATGTAAGCACATACATTGAAAACACTAATTGATTAAATGGGTAAAATCACTGTTATTCTGAATTATAGTTAAAAATTTTATTCACTCTCAGGAAAAATGTGTTTTTGGGTTTTTCCTCTTTTTTCCTTCATTAAGACAATTTATTTTAGTAATTTCCAATACGACACAAATTTATGGAACATCTGTTGATATTTTAATTAAGAAAGTTAACAGTTTGAGCCACCTATTAGTATTTTAAAAAGAAATTGATTATTTTTTCTAATGTTTTTCATTCAACCTACGTGTTACTTAAACTATATTGTCTGAATATTTGTTGTCTGACTGTCATGTTTTTGGAAAACTTCAACAGAGAAGAATATATCGAATTTTAAATAAATTTAAAAGGTTGACGTCATAATCTTCTTAAATTAAGACATATCGAATCAATTTTGAAATTATCGATACCTACTTTAATGAAAATTTTTTAAAACTGGTTAATTAAACTACTTTAAAACTTTGGCGCCAAAACATAAGCGCGTATCTATATGTGTTCCACATTTATTTGTCAGCTTTTTATGTTTTTTGAACATCGTTCGGAAAAATTTTCAAAAAATTTCGTCTTATGCATTGTTTATGTTCGAGTCTGAAGACGAAAAAAATTATCAGCTGTTCGTAAACAAAAACTAGAGTTATGTAAAAAAGTTTCAAAAGCAATTTTATTTCAGTATGTATAGCGCTGTAAAGCATAACAAAAAAAGCATTCTAACAAGTGGTTTTTCCATTATTTAAATACAAACAGGTTGTTAAAATCAATGAAAATATGACTTTAAAAAAGTTCATGAAAGTCTGAAAAAGGAAAGCTTAATCAAAGTGGTTACAAAGATTTTTGGTTTTTTTCAGTTTTACTTTTATTATTAACTTAACATTTTAGCAATTGACATAAGGCAAATAATTACTAATTTATATTAGATATTATTATTATTTATAAATATACAAATTTTGAATTGTTATTTAGTACTTTAAAGAAACATCAATTATTAAAAAGTTAATTATTTTTGAGAGAGAAATCATTTGGTTCAAAGCTATTAAATATCGTACGTATCCATTTTCATTTCTATATGTTTATTCACTTTCAGATTTTGATGTTTTTCCAGACGCGCTCTCATTTGATTCAAATTCTTCGTATGAATTTCAATTTTCTCTGATAACTCTGTAGCTATCTTTTTTAATTTATCTTCTTTCCTAAATTTATTATGGAAGTGAACCTTAGAAGAGGATGGATTAGTTCCGGATGAATTTTTCTTGACATTAGTAAAACTCTGATTGGTGCTATAAGTTCTTGCGAATAATGGTGATAAACCACCTCTTCTCAGAAAACTTAAGTTATCTACATCCTGGTCCCTTCCGTTATCAAATTCCAGGATTAATTTCTTCATGTCTTCTGTAGATTTTTGAAGCTCTTTGTACTTGATGAATTCTTTTTTGTTGATCGTTTTCCTTAACAATTTGATGCGAAGACTTTCGCTGCGCTTGAAATGTTTGGTTTTCTTTTTATCAGATACCATGATTTAAATATCTTAATATATTAAACTTTTAGCCTGATCTTCACTGCTTGAGATCTGAACAATAAATGAAAAGATTTTATGCTGAATTCTGACATTTCAAAATCTGTAAAAATCTATTTATTAACATATGTTTGGAAAGCAAAGTAATTAAAATATCCCATATTGCAGTAATTAAAATATCATTAGCGCACAGTAAGAAAACAAAAAACAAGGATAAATACAAATGTATTAGTGAATTTATTGCCAATTATTCATAATCTCAACATCTGATCAATACTCTTATGTGATTAAGAAAGCTGGGGAAATAGCCTCTTCTGGGTTTTCTCCTCATTATATTGCTTCGAAAAAATTCAATAATAATATCAGGCAAGATATCAGGTAAATACATAAGCATTTAGGTAAAAATTCTTTTTCGATTTCCACCACTCAGATAACAAGTTGGTACCACTCTACTTTCAACAAATTTTATATATAAAATCCAAAATAATTTTGATTTTTAATATCACTTTTAAAACTGAATTTGTTAAGAACAGTGCTCATTTTAAAATATATTAATAGAAAATATTTTTTTTAAACAGTGAAAAAATGGGTCGACCAAAAGGATCACGAAACGGAATTCGGCGAGTAGCAATCAAATATCCAAAATACCACGAGCTTCATGGAAAGTGTTTTCAATATATCTATGTGAATAAAAATATATATTCAAACCAAAATGAAAGAAATGATGATTTAAATGAAATCAATGAAGAATCTCAACTTCCCATCTTTGATTCGGCTGTTTTGAGAGCCTACAGAGCGGATAATTTTGAAAAATGTATCAAGTTAATAGAAAAAATCTTAGATAACAATAACGATGAGTATAAAAATCACTACAAAATTCTTCAGGCAGCCTCATACACCATGCTTGGCAAAGATTTAGATAAAAGTCATGAGATTCTGGATGAAGTCTTGAAGGAAGAACCATTCAACACATCTGCCTACTATGGAAAAGGCTTTGCATTTTACTTGTCAAATAAATATGAACAGAGTGTTAAAATGCTTCAAAAGGCAATAGAAATAGATCCAAGTGAAAATATGGATAAAGCCAGGAATCTGATGATGAGAATCGACGTGAATCAAAGAAAACTCGTGGTAAAAGTTAAAAAAATGGAAGAAGATAAAAGCTTGACACTAAATTCTCATGATCCATTTGGTATGAAAAGTATAATCGACGCGTTCAATAAAAATTTCAATAAAAATCACTGCATTGATTTGAAAAATATTAGAGAAAATAGTAAATTTGGTGAAGATGATATAGAAAAAATGAAAGTGAACTGTTTCAAAGACAAAGAAATGGATTCCATTAAGAATGTTTGGAACAACGATAAAGGAAACAACACTTTAGAAGATGTGGAAATGAAAGAAAGCTGTAACGAACAAGTTGACACTGAAAATCCCCCCTCAATTACAGACATTCCAGAATGTCTTCCGAAGTCTTTTGTGCCGAAAAGTGCTGAAGACTTCTTTAAAAAGGGAATGGAACTTTATATAAGTGGAGTTCTGGATAAATCTGTAAAAATGTTTGAGAAAGCAACTGAACTTGATCCAAAAATGGCAGAAGCTGAAGAAATGGAAGTTAAAGCGCAATCACTTATTGATCTGATTGATATTGCTCATTTCAACATGACAAAGAAAAAGTACGAAACTGTTGCAGACATTTTAAATCAGGCTTTAGAAATTGATCACACAAATGATTACATAAATAGACTTTTCTACTTCCAAAGGGGTCTCGCTTTCTATAATCTTGGAGAAAGAGAAAAGGCTTGGAACGATTATGAGAAATATGATGAACTCAGCAAAAATTTATTATAACATATATCATATATTTCTTATAGATGATGGACGTTTATATAAACATAAATTTATATTTTTAGAGAAATAATTTTAATAAAATGTAGTTTTAACAATAAAACGATAAATGTCGTTTTTGATTTATAATTTCATTATGACTTCAAAAGATTTCCCTTTTTAAAAATATCATTTCTATAGCAACGTTGAGCTCATAGATCCAATCTGCTCTCTTTCAACTTATTTTTTCTTGCTGTAAACATGCTTGCTGAGCTTATTGACATTTTTGCTGTAAGCTTGGTTGTTTAACTCATGCTGTCAGCTTATTCGTGTGACTCACTTGTATATATCAACTTACTTGGATGGTTCACTTGTATACAATTTGAGAGGTTGCATGCAAGTGAATCATATGATTAAATTGAGATATCACGTGAGACATACAAATAATGTCACAATTTTTAGTTACATGTTTTAGTTTTCACTACAACATTTTCTTATTGCCTCTATTAATTTTCTTAAGCTATTTTGTAGTCAAAATTGTTAAAAACTTAAAAATATGCACGTTAATTATTTTTTTTTCAAGCGAAGTTAGCAAAAGCAATTTGCTTAAAGCTTTTATTGTAAGCAAATTTTTCATTTCTAAACAATTAAATAACTGCTTAAATTCAAAATTCTTCACTAGATTTTAATATTTAAAATATAAGTTTTCATTCAGTGATGAACAAGAACAATCTTATGGAAAAGTAGTAAAATATTTCAATAAACCCTAACACAGATAAGCCAAGAAAAAGTCCAGCGGTAGCACCGACAGAAACTGAAATGATATTACAATAAATTTAATAGAACGAACATCATATGAAATTATATTAAAATACCGAAGAAATCTGTTAAGGTGAAAATCTCTTCGCGAATATAACGAAGTTGCGGATATTTCTCCGTTGCACTCAAAATACCAATGCCATTTAAATACTGTCTTAGCAGCATTGGTTTAGCTTCATCCACGACAACGAATGAATTAATACAGTTTTGTAGACAAAAGCATTCAAATTTTCTTTCCTTTTTCGATGACTGAGGATTTTTAAACTCCAGAAACAACTCCTTCTTATTGGGAAAACATGTTTTGAGTTGATGATATGAGCAGATAGGTTTTGGATTTGATACTGAAATAAAATGATTAAAAAACATAAATTGGGATATCTAACTTTTCAAAATATTTATACAAACCTTCATTGAAATAAAACCATGGAATACAACCACATAAATCTAGTGCTATATTCAATCGACATTCCGACATGCAAAGATATTTTGTATAAACTTTAAAATGTGTCAAATTGGATTCACTGTGAAAACGGCAATTGCGTTGTGAAATAGATGTGTCCTCTTTAAGTGTATCTGTTGTGATTATCTCTGAAGAATGCGTAGTAAACTCAAAGGTCTCATTTATATACCCATAAGTACGTGCGATATTCATGGTTTCATAAGCACTATGCATGAAAACTGTTATTGGAGAAGGAAATCCAAGGAGGTTGAAAGAAGTACGACCATCAAAAATGTTAGCCGACACTACATCATGAACTAGCTTGCCATCAAAAGAAGAATGCAGCTCAGAAATTTTATTTTCTAATAGAAAGCTTGTTGAAAGATTATTTGCAAGAAAATTATTTGTGACATAACACAAACCATATTCTGTTAGCACTTGCGTGACTTTTAAATATTCATATTTCATTTTATTCTCCAAATATTTCATTTTTCTGATAGTTAAATCTTCAGTGAGATTATAAATAAGATTTAAATAAGTAGACGATGAAATGTTAAGCTTCTTTAAGATATTATCAGTATTTGAAGTATTTTTAATATTTTGAAAGTTGATGTAAGTTGAATTAGCAAGTGATTCCAAGAAGTCGAAAAGTTCTTCTTTTTCGTCATGCGTCAAATCGTGCATTCTTAATTAAAAAAGTTTAATCTGTTTGATTATTACATTCAAATGTTATTATCAGTTGAACTTACTGAATGTATTTATTATAAATATTTCTATTCAATCTTTCCATAGGACATACAGTAAAACTTGGTAGAGAAGTATTCCAATAATAATGGTCACGTTCTATTGAAACGACAATATTTTTATGCAAATATCGATCCCAACTTTCTAAACTAAAATGTATGGTTAAGTAGAGTGCACCACATATTAAACCCAACCAAAAAAACTTTTCAAAAATGTGTAGAACAAAAGTATTTCCAAGATAAACAAAACCATGAATTCCACTATGATTGAGAAAATTGTTCACAAAATCATTAACCCGTTTGAAAAAATATCGAAACATATTTTATGCTTAAAATTTCGCACAGGAACTTCAAACTTCAATCCTTTCCTTCTAATAAAATTTAAACGATAAAATTCAACGACGACTCTTTCGTAAAAAAGCAATAAATTATTCATTCTAAAATATCCATTTTCCATGTCAGAATTCTTTTGAACATAATAAAGGTTTCAACATTACAAGTGTTCATTATGA